CAGAAATTATCGTGCATTATTCTGTTATAAGTTTGAAATTAAATATTTGTATCCAATCTAACTTATTAATAAGGTAAATAGGAGCATTTTGTCTCCAAAAATTTGGGATGAGTTTGACCACATGTATAAAATATATCAGCCTTTACGAGTTATGGGTTATTTAAAGATACAAAAGTTTTTGTAATGAACCAATACACGATGAAACAATATTTCGCTTTGTTAAAAAATAAATACAACAAAATTAATGAAATTCATAACATATCAGCTGACAATTAAAAATGGCACGGAATAAGAATATCAGTATAAATGTATTGTAGTCAGATGTCTTAATATTTTATGTAAAAATTTACGTATAAAAATCATTTGGTATCATGTATGTATAATAAAGTATTTATTTTATTTAAATATATATAGGTAACATTATATTTAGGCATGTTAGGAATGAATCAAATTACGCTGAGGCTAATTTTTTATAACAAAGTAATGTCATATAGTCCAAAACTAAGGAGCAAAATTATATATATATATATATATATATATATATATATATATATATATATATATATATATATATATATCATCATCATCATCAGCCTATCAGACGCCCACTGCTGAGCAAAGGCCTCTTTCTCACATGGAGAAGGTTTGAGCATTAATCACCACGCTTGCTCAAGACGGGTTGGTGATTTCAAATTTATAATTGTGAAACTATAAGTCCAGGTTTCCTCACGATGTTTTCCTTCACCGTATGTCAGTGATGTCTAAATACTCTCTAAATAATGAATATATATATATATATAAATTCATTCATATTATTAATAGTAAACCCTTATTATCTATAAAACCTTTTAAATCCATCCAGATTTAGATTGTGTATTAACTATAGCAGATTGCTTCTCATATAAGGAACATTGATTTATGAAAGGTCAATTGACAACGTACCAGTGACCGTGAGATATTCGAGGAAACTGAAATGACAGATAATTGACAATAGTCTCCATTAACTGGGGAAATATAATATATTAGTATGATGAAAATTGTACCAAAATATTATATTAGGTCAAATTATTCTTTATTATTAGGTTAGTATGTAGGAATGTTATTTTTATTGTTCTATGACGATATTCTTGTAGAAATATGCTTTTTATTCCCTTGTTCAGTTATCCAAAAAGTTCGGTTATGCTAATGTCCAAAATAACATATATTTTTTACCCTGGTCTTATTGCTTTTGGAAATATGTATATGATTTGTAAGATAATTGCATGCACACCATATACATCATCAGGGAAGTCACTGATTCGAATCCTGGTTGTGCCGTTTTAATACATATGAATTTTCATTAATTTATTACATCAGTGATAAAACTATTACTTGCCTCCTTGTTAGTTTAATAGTTTCAATTCAATACATTTTCCAAAGAAATGAAATAAATAAATACGAGAGACAAAAGATATTAAGATAGGTAAATAATAAACAGTATTTTTTTGGGAATAATAGAAGACATTTTTATTTACCCTTCGCAAAAGTCATTCGCAGCCACCATCAATTAAAACTTTCCGGGGCTTGGTCAGCTTTAAAATGGAAACAAATAAACACAGAATTCTCTCCAAGCATTTAAGGTTTAATGGCGCCTTAATTGAGATGTAAAAAAGTTACATATTATTCAGAAAAAATAAAATTCGAGGAACTAACAAAACAATACGTATTTTGTTTCAATCAAGTCTAATATGAAATACAGAGAAATTACTTTGATGTTCGGTTCTAAGAAGATCAAAAGAATAATATTACTAAGAACGGCATTCATTAAAAACAGGAATATATTTTAGAGACAACAAAACGTTCCATAATTATTATATTTTTAGCCTTATCAGAGCCCACTGCTGAGCAAAGGCCTCTTTCTCTCATGGAGAAGGCTTGAGCATTAATCACAACGCTTGCTCAAGACGGGTTGGTGATTTCAAACTTATAATTGTGAAATTATAAGTCCAGGTTTCTTCACGATGTTTTCCTTCACCGTATGTCAGTAGTGTCAAGATACTCTTAGAAAATACATATGACTCGGAAAAATCACATTGGTACTTGCCAGGATCGAACCCACGCCCTCGGCAACGAGAAGCGGGCCCTTTAACCACTAGGCCACCACTGACTTTATACTGCATGAAAATATGCGATAGTTCAATTTAAGTTAAACGGGCCTTACATATCTCGTTCCAGTAATACCTACAATTAAGGTATCGACCAACTAAGCTAGACATGATAGGTTAATTGCTAAAGCAATCGGAACACGATGTTACTAAATATGTACTCGTAGGTTCGAAATCTGCTAATATCCATGAATTTTCGTTTCCATGTTTACTAATTTTAGTATAATCATATAAAATAATGTAATAATCTGTTAAATAAAAGTAAACATTGTGAGTCAGAAAACTTATTATGTAGGATGACAACCAGAGGTTTCGAGAAAACTACGAAATTTTAATTACATTTAAATTATATATTAAAACTAATAACCTATACCTAAGACTACATGATTGCATCTATGTTAAGATACTCGTAGCAATCCCATTCCATAGCTTGTGTGGTATCAGGAATCTTCTGGTTCACATGGTTTGGTGTTCGTTCTTCGAAGTCAGGAATGTCACTCGTTATATGATATTTTATCCATACAACGATGTTGCCTCGATGTTCATTTATTTTTAATATGTTCAAAGTAGCTTTTGCCTATATTGTTTCTTTGTTTTGATATCAAGTTCTATTATATATCAATTAGTTATTGCATAAAGAAATTCTTCTAATTTATAACATTATGCGTTTTGATAAAATCATTCTTTTCAAATAAAAATAAAATCGTAAAAAATGTGTTTACCTTTCCAATGTAATTAAAACTTGATGTAGACCAATAAAAAAGTTTTCTATACGCAATGGTTGGACTGTAGATAATGCAAAAGTTATCAAAAGATAATTTACCAGTGACTATGTTAGGGACATATAAAAGACGATGATTAAAGGAAAGCTGAGTTCAATGCTTATTTAAATATAGTCTAAATGTAATTATGTTTTTCGTTGTATGTGAAACATAAGACAAGAAATCCAAGAAACAAGTTACATTTAAATGAGTACAGTTGAAAAACTTACAGTCTGTCTAATACCTTAATTAATGGTTCTGTTTTTAAAACTTTATTATTATTTAAATAACAAAAAAACTATTATTATGTAAGAATTTTTCAGCATCCATTTGAAAAGATTTAATATTCTCTCTACGATATAAAATCGTCTAAAAATACATATGTTAGCTCCATAAAAAATATAGGTCACAAATATTCCAGCTAAAAAAATGTCTTCGGAACTAAGTGAAGATAATTTAATAATAATAATATTTTCACACTTTATGATATACATACATGTTTTTTATATACACGGTCGTCTATTTCCGTCACTGACATATAGTGTGTTGTCATGTGTGCAATGATTATAGCTTCCCACACTATATATTTAATTCCATTATATAAAAATAATCTCATACACATCATTTCACTAAATAAATTGTTTTTTATAAAAACTTAATACTATTGATGACATAAAAAAACATTAAAAAATTCAGTATTAATTAATATTTCTTTTCGTCTAAAGATTAATTTTCAATTCTGCTTCACATTTCCAAAGCGTTCGTTTCATTTAATATTCTATTTGGCAACTAGAAAAAAAAATTCACGACATTGTAATAACGTTCTTTTCATTCCTTAATTACTTTTCAAGTGGATAACATAAAGTCATATATTTACTTTTCTCAGTATTGTAAAAGGTAATTTCAGTATAGTAATTTCATACAATTTATTGTATTATTATAATAGAATAAGGTAGTTTAAAAGCTATTTAAAAATGTGTATTGATCATGTATGTACGCAAGCGACTTATAATAAATATTATGCTCATATATATTTCCATATTTATAAAATTAATATATCCTTTTAAAAGCTTCACTATGGCCATGTCACAGAAGCACTATTATTAAATTTACGTAAAATAAAGTTCGGATTACACGAATTATTTCCAACGATTTTATATTAATAAATCCGTACATAAAATTTAATTTATATATTGTTTGTACACTCTCTACTTTAGTAAGTGATATCAATTTAATTGGCTCTGAAGATATTAAGGAACGATGATCTTTCGATATTTAATTGTATCTTAATCAAAACCCACTTTCTTAGAATTGTGTTGGAGCTACAAAGTAATATTTGTATTTAATGAACATCTCAATGAATAGACACCCATTTATGAAATAAATTGTCATATATCAAGTATATGATTTAGATTGAAATAGAATTAAGATATTTCAATTATTTACTCAATAAAATAATGGCAGATTTTTTTCGTTTTACCAAATCTAAGGACCAGACTTTCTTTTTTCGTGTTATCAAAATATGTTAGTACAATTTCTTCCAAGCTTCATTTATATAATTATCATTATAAAAAACAAATAAACTCTCTGTAATTAAATTAATTAAACAATCACGTTTTTTTGGCTACGATTTCTCACGTAAAGCTAGTTACACATATTTATGTGCCTAATAATCGTTAATAAAACAGAATGTGTTTTATAGTCTGTCTCCCTAATTGGTGTAATGGCATCCCACAGTGAGAATAAAGAACACTCAAGACTATTAACCTATAAAATAAAAATTTATTTGTTAAGAAAAATGTTTTTAAATATATAAATAAATATGAAAAATAATGAAGAAATATGAATGGTGTATATTAAGATATAAGCCATGTTAACAATATTATTTAAATAAATTTTATTTCTTCGCTTATAATATCTTATTCTTGTAATTTTCTGTTACAATTATATTGTTTTCTAAACAACTTACATATCGTGTTTCTGCATAAATTATTTTTATTTAATCCTATTATAAGAAAACATATAGAAGAAGATATTACGATGACTCTAATATTCTAACACTTCGTCATTTGGCCATCTATCGAAATCCTTGCAGGATAACGATTGGAGCGAAACTGACATTCTCAGCCACGGCGTGAGCGGCATCAGTCTACAACGAGCTGACAGCATTAGCCAAAGACCGCTATGTCTCAAACGTACCAGCAGCAAAGGCAGCGCCTACAGTCTTAGAAACATCAGAAAGGACATCTCAAAACCGATGACCCAAGTCGAAAGAGCCCCTACTATTCCCGACGCTGGTTTCGGTACTATAGAGATAAAACTTGCCTATGATAACGGAACTTCTTCGTTGGCTGTAACAGTGTTAAGGGCTAGAGGCTTAATCGGTATGGACATGACCGGTCTGTCTGACCCCTTCTGTAGATTAGAAGTCCTGCCGCGTGGTAAGATTAATTTTACTCATTACATACAAAATCCATTCATAAATTTTGTACGTATTTACTTACATCGTGCTTTTGACTACTGAATATTTTACGAGATACTTTCAAAGAATTAAGTCGGAATATGTCAACTAAATGAGATTTTCTACATTAGCATACATATACATACAAGTTTAATAAACTTTATTATGATGTCTTTATAATAATTTCAGAAGGGACATACTTTAATCGTCTGAGGACAAAAACTGTTCACAAGACAAAGAACCCTGAATTCAACGAGACACTGCATTTCTTCGGCATCACTGAATCAGATTTGTCTATAAAATCTCTTGAATTGGTTATGTTCGATGACGACCGGTGAGTTGATGATAAAAAATATATTAATAATAATAATAAAACTAACTTAATATGCATACGAATAAGACAATTAAATGAAACTCATATTTCGCGGATATACTACGCGACTTTATTTTTGATAAAAACTCCTGGTAGACGACTGTGACTCACACACTCACATCTCGTCTGCCCGTGATCATTGCTGTAAACTGTAAAGTAACCGAAACGTCGGGAGTATGTAGTTTTTGATATAAATAAAAATCACGAAGCATATCCGAAAAATATTAGTTTCATTTAAATGACATACGAAAATCTCAGATCTCATTCAAATCCTTTAAAATATTATTAATTATCAAAATTGTAAATACATACAATTTGATTACTTCTTGGCATAGTTTTATGTGATTTTCTTTCATACATTAACAATTATAAATCAACTTCATGCATTTTATTCCCATACACATTTCCAATCACATCAAAATCTAAATCCTATACAGATTTTGGACACGTATAGCCCTATTCAATCTTGATCGTACATTTAATAATAATAATGTTTATTTATCTCAAACACATTACAATTGTATAGACATTAACAATCTGATCACAATGTATAAAGGTAATTAATTATACGTAAATAAAATCTACTGTCCCTGAGCTAGGTATAAACATGTATTTCAGGCGACAGTACTCTACTTAGTAAAGGATTCATTTTACCAATTTTACTAAAGTGGAATTTTTTTTCGTATTTTAAAGTTACGGGTGCGATGAAATGGGTTCAGCGACTGTTGCTTTACGTGAATGTCTGAAAACACCGGCTCAGCTGCGTCTTGCACTCTCCGGGTCTTCGGGTTCCGAACCAATAGGACCAAGACTCCTGCTAGCATTATGTTACAGTACCAAGAAACGGGCGTTAGTCGTCACAGTGTGTAGAGGAAACGACCTACCGCCGCAAGATAGCAACGGATACTCAGATCCATTTGTTAAACTGTACGATATAATCATTATTTTTTTTTTTGGAATTCATTTTTTTTGACAGGCAAACATCTTAGACCATACTGCCTTATTAAAAAAATTATAAAAGCATTGAAACCTTACTTATCTTATAATAATACATTATTATTATCCCATACATAAAACTAATTAAATCAACTGAATCAAATTACAGACATCTCGATCCGGACCCGTATCACAAAAAACACAAGACGTCTATTAAATGGCGAAACCTAAATCCTGTTTGGAACGAGGAATTTCATTTCGAGACGCGTCCAACTGAACTTTCCCGCCAAAATTTGACTTTGACAGTTTGGGACAAGGACTACGGCAAGCCGAACGACTTCCTCGGCAGCTTGGTGCTCGGAGCTAGCAGCAAAGGTAGAAGACTGAAACATTGGATGGACTGCATTAAATTCCCCGACCACCGTCACGAACAATGGCACTCGTTAACTGATATTCAACACTTGTAATTAATATAATAATAAAATTTAAAACAATATTGATGTCATAGATAAAAATATATACAGGTAATAAATATTCTATCGATTAATACGTAGATGATGATTTTTTTTTGCTATACCTTCATTTATTCTTGTTATCGTAGAACGTTACCGTATCGAAAAATTGATTTGTTTTGAATTGTGTCATTATATTTGCATAGAACGATTTTCATGTGCTTTAAAAATTATAGTTGAATTTTATGAATGTTGTATAATACATGGAAAAATTTTATGATGTATGTAAAAAAAAGACGTAAATTATTAAGGATGTTTAATTGATAGAAAATAATCATTTGATTTCTTGTTGCTGTGTTTTAAGATGAACAGTGTTCAAAATTTCAATAAAAAAAAATATACCTAACTATATAAATGTTCTAAATGTAAGAAATTGAGAAAATGTTTATGTAACAGCGCGTATATTCAAAATTTTTGATCAATGTAATTATGAAATGCTAGGAACGTGCCAAAACTTTTATTATCGTTAAATTATTATTGTTGTTAGTGTAAATGTCAACCCTATATGCTTTTAATTATGTATAATGGTTTATTATTGTGTTATTAAATAAAAAATATATTTTTAAGTCTTTGTTTCATTTCAAAATTGACAAGGCAGTATATTTGTATGCCAAATAATTAATATTTAATTATAATTTTAGTCTGTTGCCAATTAAGGCTTTGCTTTTAAATTGTTCGCTGTAAGACTCATTATAAAGTGAATAAATGAAGTAATATTTTTGAATTAAATGAAAAGAAAAGTTGAACCTATTCCTTGGTATTTTCAAATTGAGTTCATTATGGTTTTGAATTTAGAAAAATAAGGTAATTAACGGATTGGAGTAGAACTTGGCTCCTTTATTTTATCGATTAACTTTTTTTGCACTACGTCTAATGATTTGATATTGGGAATTAAATTCAATGTATATAAAGTACAGGAATTTGAGTTCATACTAATTTTCCAAATATTTGTAAGCAAACTGACATTATATTGTAATTTTCTATTTATACCACAACTTTTAAAAAAGAGAAAACAGTTAAATAATTACAACTTGTTAAACTTAATGATATCTAAGACTTCCGCGAGTATTCACCTACATTTATTACACCTACTTTCAATCCTTAAAAAGTAAACCTTTTTGTATGGTTAGTAAAATATAAATCAAACATTTGAGTGATCAAAAATTAAAAATATAAAAAAATAGAACATTTTAACGACATTAATCAAATGGATCAAATTAAATCCCGTCTCTTTCATTATAAATCAAATGCAATTACGAAATTTTCTTTCTTGCACTACTTGATGTTATAGAAGTTAGTTGACCATTCAAAAGTTCCAATATCTACCTATTAAAATAAAATATTCTATATTTATTTTGTTTTAAAAATGTATTGTTAATAGTTATGTCCTCATTTGCTTAAGTTATTTACTCTGTGGCACTACAAAACCAAAACGTTATTCAAAGTTTTGCTACATTCTGTGACATGTGAACTTTATATGACATATAAGAAACATCGTGTAGAATAGTTAAGTTTCTGGATTCTGTGATACGAATATAAATAAAAAAGTTTTTGATTGTATAACATGTTGTAATTTTCTCATATATAATGGCTTTCCTTTGCCCTGTGAGGATCAGACGAGGAAAGAAAAAGAAATGTAAGTTCTGAGCTTTTTGTGAAAACTTTGCAAGTCAATGACCTCAAACTTTCTACATAATCATAAATAAAACTTAGTAATGAAAACCTGCTCGTTCGTCTTCTTTGATCGAAAGAGCTCTACGGTTATAAAAACAGGATATCAAATTTATTTTAATAAGATAGGCGTTTATTTATTATTTGTTAAATGGACGGCTAGTAGAATTGTTTGGATTTGTTTTGAACGTCGTCGAGTTTTAAGAACAAATAAACAGGAGATTTATACGAATAAGGTTTTTTTGAAATCGTATACGAAATTAAGTATCTGTTTCATTTATATTAAGAATAACTAAACATTCGTTATAATTTTTCACTACTTTTTTCATTATTAGAACAGTCTTTAACAAAAGTCAATATTTGAATGATAAAAAATGTTTCTAAATTAAATTCTTAAGAATAGTAAACGAATAGTGAATTTCATAAAAATCCTTCTATTATAAGACAGTAAACTTAGTATTTCAATTGCATTTATGATAAAATATGTACTTATAACATTCCAGCCAGTAGCGGTGATTCGGACAAAGAACTATCACGTCCAGGCTCAGGTTTGAGTCCTGGTATGGGTCGGATCACTGGTTCTGCGAGCATAGAAACATTAGTCAGGGTCGGTATAGAGAAGGAGCATGGATTGAGCCCCGATTCAAAAATGGTTGTACTTCATGACTTTGCACCTTGCGTAGATGATGAACTCGAGGTAATAAGAAAAATTTAATAAAATACACTACTAAAGTAACTCTAAAATTATACATGACATATACTAATTATTCATTGTATAATATTTCAGGTGAAAAGAGGACAAATTGTAAATGTTCTGTATCGAGAAAATGACTGGGTTTATGTTATTGTGACTGATTCAAGACGAGAGGGCTTCATACCGCATTCATATTGTGCTCCCTGTGACCATCATGACTTGAAGAAGAAACTCCCGAGAAGCAGATCACCCACCGATTTAGCACATAGGGATGTGTCACAGTAAGTTGGTCATTTATCTATTGTGTTTATTCCTAGCTAAAGCTGTGAGTATATATATGCTAACAATATGGACATTTGTTTATTTAATGAATAAAAGTATTGATAATTTTGATTTGGAATGTTTCTATGAAAAATTATATCAATGATAGTTAAATAGATACATCAAAACCAATATAACCTGATCTCTAATATATATTATTTATTATGCAGGCTGTCATTGTCTGATGGAGCAACAAATGATGGTCATTCGGAACTGGGGAGTGAAGGAGAGGCTTGTCCTTTCAGCAAAGATCCATCGGGGAGATATGTGGTGTTATACACATTCACTGCTAGAGATGAAAATGATGTGGATGTTGAACGAGGGGAATTTGTAACAGGTAGGATATTATTTTATGGTAATATAGACAATTAACCAGTTATATAGGGTGTTCACTGTCATCAGAGGTTCCAGGACTATGTATATTAATTATATGTATATTATAATAAAATTGATATGATAATTTTCACTTTATGACCTCTACTTAACAATACATAAAGACATGCTTGCCAAGATGTTAGGATACATGGCCATATTTGTATGGTACCAAGAATCTTCTGGTTAACAACGCCAGTTGCTCGTTTCGTGGTATTATATTTTATCCATACAAATTTCAATATGATTACGACATTGAGAGTTCATTTTAATTTAATACACCTGTTACATTGTATGTATATAGCAGATATTCTAAATAAAAATATGAAAAATATTTACATAGTTCCAATTATACAAGTGTATTGTTTAATGTTTTTTATATATTAATTTACACTAATTTAAGGATTCTCATGTACATATAACAAAGAAAATTATATGAAATATATTATGTTTCATCCCTTTTTGCATCAATCAATCAAATATTCTTTGATCTTCAGGCTAAGCTGTATTGTAATTGGATTAAATAGTTGAATGAGATGGTTAATTAAAAACTTTTAACTAATATGAAGTAAAATATATAAAATTAATTACGATAATAATTTTAAACATATATATGTATATTTGACTAGGTCTACTTAACTATCTACTACAATTATTTGATGTCCAAAGATTTTTTAAATTCTTGCGCTGTGAAAAGAACTGGTTTTTTTAGTGCGTACGTCGTAATGAGAGCCTTAAAGTGTTGCATTATTTTTGTGATCTTATTTTTCTTATGTTCTTAACATTCCTTTTCAAAAAACAATCAAACAAATTAAAATCTAGATTTTATTTTAGTTCGAACTTTATCTAAATGTATGCATTATAAATATTTGTTTTTCGTTCTACATATCAGTAAGATCTTGTATACTTATTCTTCGAAAGCAGAAATCTCGTTTTCTTGCTTTAGTTACTGCAGGCGAACCATATAAATGAATTAGTAAAATTTTTGAAGTACGTCGTCCCTGAGAAATATTTTAAGGCACTCAGCCTATTTAAATTCCTGCACATTATTTCTTTCCTTCGAAATAATTCGCTGCAATCGTCATTTAAAAAGTAATATCCAGTTTCTCAGGAAACCACAAAAAAATGTAATGCTTGTCTGACAATGTAATAATTTTCGACTCCAATGGTTTTTATATAAAAAAATCTGTCTCAATAGCTTCCATACTAAACTCAACTGAAATATATATTAAGATAAATTTATAACATGAGTTATTTTAAATACAACGTATTTATTATCATAAAGATAAAAAAACAAAGTTAGTTTAAATTGGTCGCGATAAAACTAGCATTTTTTTGTAATGTACATGCATGGATATATGTATAATAGTTTTAATGTCTAATATTTCATTGCAGTTCTGAATAGAGAGGATCCGGATTGGTATTGGATTGTGAGGAGCGATGGCCAAGAAGGTTTTATACCTTCGGGATTCGTATACCCAGCTGTTGTTCAACGTGAGCATACATTACTATAACATTATACTTAATTAAGAAATTTCTAATCATTTAAAATACTAAGACTAATTTTACTTAGAAACTAGACTTCGGTTTTATTTTAAATTACGTATGAATTTCAAAGAACTTGATAACTTATTTCTTTTATTTAAAATAATGGACGTAAAATTTACGTTATATAAATGTAGTCGATCGAAACTACTTAGTTGTATGTACTTAATATGTAAATGAAATTCATTATATGTAAATATTTTGTTTATAATATTTTTTATTATAGCAACACAACAAGACACGACACAGACGCTGTCGTCACCGGCGGCTAATTCTAACAACACAACGAACAACAACACTAATATATCAAACGACGACGGCAGATACCACGGGACTGAACTAGTCATGCTATACGATTATAAGGTAAGCTATAATAAGTTCGTTAGCTATAGCTTTTGCAAGCGACTTCGTATTCTTTACTTTCAAAATTAGTAATGTATTGTACGGGGCAAACTCTATTCCTCCTTAAAGACATTAAATAAAAAGTTTTTGGATTTTACCAAGTTATGTATTTTATTACTTTTTTCGAGCGCTTGAAAAGTGTCCTATGTGTTTATCCTGGTTCTAAGCTATCTCTCCGCCAATTTACAGCGTATCCCGTAAAGCTGTTCTTGGGTTAAAAATAGACGACTTTGTTTTATATATAAAGATTATTAAGTTAATTAAGCAAATAAAAACTATTAATAAATGTAATCCATATATCATTTCTATAGAAAACGAAATTTATAATCTGTTATGACTTGGTAACGGATATCAAAATTTTTAAATTACAATAATAGAGCATCATGATTTTAATGTCAGTCGCATTCTAATGAGAACAACAAAAGATTCTAATAGTTTGCCTGCATCTGTGTTTCTTTAGAATTATCTTCAAGAAAACTATTACTGAGTTAGAGCGTTCACTACCTACGATATTATTTGAGCCTTCAAAAAAAAAAACAATTATTCTCATTAAGTTTTAAATGAAAATATCAATTTTTTTACAAATACATTTCGAGAGCTTGAATTGTAGTATTTCAGCAAGTTTTTTTGTTAGAACGTAAATACTCAAATGCAGTTAAAATAACTATGTATGGCGCTGCTTGTAAATTGTCATTTTAATGAAATTTGATAATGGCGGCACAAAATGGCGGACTAGCCACTCATTGTTACTCCATATTAATAATACGAATTTAAAATAAAATTTAAAATTCATATAAAAGTTTGCTTTACAAAATGACTGTTATGCTTTCCTTTCAATATGTATAATGAGTTAATATGATTTTTTTTTAAGGCTCAAGCCCCGGATGATTTATCAGTGAAGCGCGGTGAATGGGTTTATGCAGATCTAACCCAGCAGACAGTAGAGGGTTGGTTATGGGCTCACGCTCCCAAGTCGAGAAGATCAGGATTCATACCTACTGCATACGCCCGACCACCTCATACGACAGCACTATGAAGAACGGCATTTTATCAATATTTCGGCCTTACATATTATATTTTAATTTGTTTAAGACATTCGTTCTTGTACTTAGATTGTAAGCTATGTTCGCCTTTTGCCAGGTTGTAATAATTTTTAAGTCTTCCATATTTTTACTGTAATATTTTTTTTATGTTTCATATTTTGGTAATAGATTTTATAAAATTATTTCCGTCCAAATTTGACTGATACACTATTATCTTTGGATAGATTAAAATTAAGTAGTGAATAAAATTTCATTTAATAACATTTTGTTTTATTCTAACCACATCTAGAAACAAATGTTTGATTCAAATTTATTCTAATAGAAGGTTTTTCTTTTTCTTCCTGGCCTGTTGCTTAAGGTCATCCTTGATTTTCCATTCTTCGAATTGTTGCTCTACTTTCTTTATATCCTGTTCAGTTACAGTTATCGGTAGTTGCAATTCAATCTGCTCGCTTCTAATCAGTTTTAAAGCATCAATTTTATCTTTGAGGAACGGACCTTGCTGACTCTCCAGTAGATTCCTATATTCTGTTAATTTCCCCTGACGGATCTCCTCACAATGCATCTCAGTTAATTTTCGTAAAGACTCCTTACGTGAAAGCTTGTGTAAGGACCTAAAATATATAAAAATAAAAAAATAATCTACACTGATAGGTTTAATATATTATATAAAACTATTGGAGGATAATAATCAGTCAACTGAATATAACATGTAATAGTTTAAATAATTTTCATGTTCTTTCCAGTGAAAAGATAAAATTTCTAAAATGATTACATACGTAAAATCTTTGTTTAACTTACTCAGGATGTGCTTTATAAACAATATTAAGTTTCTCTAGTAGCCATTCAAACTTTTTATAATCATATTGACGGAGGAATTTCAGCAGTTTTTTCCTTTTATCTATAAGTTCTTGAGCTGTTTTCTGAAAAAGTAGTAAAACATATTAAAAAATTAAAGAACAAATGTTATTGGGACAAGCCAATTTGGAGATCAAATTCTTAATTTTGATATTAAAATTTCACTAGCTTTTCAGAAGAGTTGGTTTATTTACAATAATATTTAAAATAACCAAAGAGGTTTAAATGTTTCAATATTGAAAGAATGTGAATAGGATATATATTTTTTATGTTAATTACCTTAGCCTGCACATTTCTTGGGAATTTTTCTAATGTGTCTTGCAAGCAGCGGATGTGACCCGTTATTCTTGCAACTGGAAGAGATTAACAAAGGAGGAAAGGAATTAATTATCTGTTTAAAAAATGTAGTCACTAAATAAATAAAATGTTAATAATGAATACTTTGAACATACTTCTTGTTTCTGCCGTGTTTTCATCATATTGGTGTCTTCTTATTCTATTTATCAATTCCTTTTTCACCAGCTTATTGTATTCTTTCTTCCCTCTATGTTCAATCGAAAATATTTGCTTCACCGCCTCCGACGCACTACAAAGTACAAATATATAATCATGATTCATAACCTAGAAACATTTATTTATTTGGTGTTTTAATTTAAAGAGGATTGTAGATGCTTACTTCTTAATTTCCTCACTCAGCGCATATTCTTCAGGTAAAGCACTTGGTGGTATTACTGGTAAACCCTCAAGATCACCAGATCTCTCTGGTTTATAAGCAGGCACATATTCAGGTCTAACCCATTTTGTATCGACCAACTGTTTAACACCTCGGATTTGTACAATAGACGGTATTAAGCGACGTAACATTGCTAGGTATGACTAATTTTATTAAAATCTTGGAATATAAGATTAAATTGAACCTTCTACCTCAAAACTAATGTTGCTATAATATCTGTCACGTAAAATGTCAATGGTAAATGAACTAAAATAGAAAAACATAGACAAAAATCTTTTTGGCATAGACATATATTTTATGCCGAAACATTACATAAATTAAGGTACATTTTTATATACAAACGTATTTCTGGGTAATAAAAATAAATCAAATTGACTTAATAATCCATTATTTAGCAAACTATTATTCGATGTAAGTTTTTGAATAAAACTTCTTTACGTACGCTTGACTTGGTAAGCTGGTGAATGCGTGACGAAAACGTTACGAAAAGTAACGAAAATAATTATATATTTCTTTCATTTACTTTCAAACCTATGTTCTATTTCATAACCTACGTAAAAATATACAAAATAATCCTTAAATTTGGTATAGGAATAAACATAACAATTCATTTGTTGCAATGTTGTATCCAACAAATTGATTTAAGCAAAGAAATCTCAAATAACTATACACATTAATATAACGTTAAATAATTCTTATGAATACTTTCAGCAAAGGATCCTTCAACCACTTTATCCCAACCTACATCTAAAGACAAACATAATCAAAGAAGTTTATAGGATATTTCTAATTTTAGTTAATAATGACGAATTTATTTCATTTCTTAATAATGAATAATCATGAACAGTTATTCATCCTTTTCTTGTATAATATTCATATATATTATTGTGGATTATTTCAAAAGTATCATAGCCTCCAAACAAGGGTAATAAAAAAAGAATTTAGGGAACAATGTAATTAAAACACAGTAATTTCATAACCACTCTTTTATTATTGCTTTAAATTATGAAATTTCAAACATATTAAACTAATAGCATTTGTACTAAATGTACCATGACTGACAATCACTGAATTCGTAAAACTATTTAAAATCATGAACAATTTATATAACAAAACAATTTAATAATGTAATATAAACAACCCAATGCCATAAATAAAATTCAATTTAACATTTTCGATAATTAAAAAAAAAAAAAAAAAAAACATATCAAATTATATTAGCTTAATCAATAATTACTAATTACATATTTGAAAAGTATTGGGTAACAGATAAGAAAAATAGCATTCCACTGAAACATTTTAAGGTTGACTTTGTTGAATGGAATGTTTTAAATGTAATTTACACACTAATTTAATTCTAATATCAATAAAATTAGGATTTATATATGTTTGGCTATAAAGTTAAACAATATTTATTAAGGAAAGGATTCATTGTTTGTTGAAAGATAAGTATGAGAATGTTGTTGACTATTCATGAAAGAATTGAAATTTAAAAGAATTTTTGACTTAAATTTCATATAGACAACTGCATTACTAAGACAAAAAAATCCTTTTCCTATTCTAAATAAATGTTAACCCATTGTGCCTTTAAATAGTTGTAATTAAAAAAATCTATATTCAAATATAGTTCGAGAAAAATGTACCAAAGAAATAACTTTATCAATATTAATGACTATAAAACCGAATGACATTTTTGGTACAATCTAGATTATTTACTTAATACATAGAAGACAAATGATTCACTAAGACATACAATTATACAGAAATATTGTGAAAAATCTATCAGAGAGTGCAAAAAGTTAAGAAGAAACTTATATATTTTTATTTCTTCATTATCTACTTTTGGCTGTAAAATAAGTCTATCTCCATATTAAAAAGTATTAATAATGAATCAAGTTTAGTGCAGTATCAAGGAATTCACATTTAAAATTGGTTCCTTAAATAAAGGTAATACTGTACTAGCTACATGCACTTTGTTGGCTAAAAATTTTCGACTTTATTACATACAATTAAATGTAAAAATATTTTCTATTTAAATTGGATAAATTAATTCATTCAATGTACACACACCCTTATAACTAAGCACACTTAATTATTAAAGTATGTCTTTATACCTTGTGTTCTTACTATGGATGCTTTTATAGAATAGCATATACTTATATATACTACATAAACTATAGCGCCTTGTATTATGATTAGAAATAGTAAGACCGAGAGACTTTGTAACAAAAGGTTTTATTTGAATAATATTTTATATGAATAATGTTTGTTAATTTATATAATTTTGGCACCAAATTTAACCAAAATCTTAGTATTTGCGGCATTGTATGAATAAAATCTTTTATTAAACAACGTCTGTTGGTCTATTTAATATTCATAATACTCTTGCAGTATTAGAGGTGTTTTATTCAATGATTTCACATACAAAGCACCTAATGTTTGTTTTTGTAAATGTAGCACACAAACAAACTATTTGAGCGACCTATTAATATTATAGAATGGGAATAAAAATTCAATGGAAAGTCTGTATAAACTATTTCGAAATCTATTGATTTATCTTTGAAGCTTTTTTACTTTTTAAATTGTAAGACCGTGTTCACACTATAATAAGGGCAAGATACACATGGTCGTGCAATAGCTGCTATCAACTAATCTAAACACACATATGTGCTAAATGGTACCTAATAATATTGTGAGAAATCATTTTATAACTACAAATACAAGAGACAAACAGACTATTGAATAAGTACCTATTCTGGATCTAAATTGTTTATTTTTGGATCAATTTAGTTTTTTTTATTATAATACTATACTGTTTCAAAACACTACTTATCATATAAATGTCTTTTAAATAATTAATCATTGCAGTAATTATGTTGTTAGTTAAAAATTATGTAAATTTCTCTACTGTATTGAAGCCTAAACACAATAATGATGAGATTGATCTAGCTGGAACAATCGATAGAATAATTCCCATCAAATTCTGCTATACAAAGAATTAACTACTATATTAAAACACCTTAAATCAGACTAAAAGAACCATTGATTCTGATAGCTGGATGTTCTACATTTTAACTAAGTTTTCACCAAAATACCATAGATAATAGATTTAGGACAAACTACTTAAAGTTAAAGCGCCCTTAATCTGACCTTAGTTAGTTGGTAACTATGCAACAATATATATAACTTAATCTATGTTTCAGCTCATGTACGATTCCTTGACAAAATGGGGTATTTTATAAACAAAATTTTAGTTATTATTCTAACTATAAATATAGAATACCCCATTTTCTAAACCGAGACGGTATATTTGAATCCTTGGACAAAGTTATCATACCATTAAACTTTAACTGACTGAATAATTAATAATTATATAATAATATTTATTTCATTAAAAAAATTACTTACTGTACGGTAAGTGTTACAGGTAATGTGAACTTATATTAGGTAATTTGGATCTAGATTATCTTAAATGTATTTTTATCAAGAAAATCTAAGAGTGAAATTTTGCATTCTATTTGCTTTGTGTTGTATGGAAATACTTTAAATTGTTTTTGCATGATTTGAATAAGTTTTTTAAACATTACATCCATATACTTTACCGTGACTTTTCTCATTATATTTTACTCCTTCTTTTTGCCTTTCTTCTTGGTAATGCGTTTGTTGTAGTTTTGTGCTAGTGCGTTTATTATGGAAACAATGAAGTACAACACCATTGCTAATACGAATTTCTCTAAAATGCTCGACAGTATTGAGCCTTGGTTGTCTTGTGACGTTGAGTTATCGTTTTTGTGTAAACGCGCCTTTTGATTCCTCAGAAATTCTAACAATGGAGCTTCCAGTTTCGGTCCTATGTACGGTATTTTTTCAACCCAAGATAAAGCTTGGCTGCAAGATTAAGAAACATATAAAATGATCAAAATAATTATTATGACTATATATGTACATCATGATAGCTTATTTTTATATAGTAATAAATGAAAATAACATGATTTACCCGACTAGAGTCTCATTGAAGGCGACGATAACAAACATCTTTTGCAGATGCATTTTGACCACGGCTTTACCAAGGACCGTAGCTCCAAAGAACGTCCAAAATGGTACCAAAAAGTGACCACATGTCAAACCGGCCAGATCAAACAATGGATTTGGTATTGAAGCACACGCCAATATACCAGCGAAACCGACTTTCTGCACCAACTTCTGAATCATTACCTTCGCCCTGAAATCAATTATTACCAGATCATTAATATTATATATAATATATTTATACAATATCATCGGGTATAGTGCAAATCCTCGTAACTAGCATTGCTGCTTTTGAACTGAGTTTTACAGAGGAATTTAAAAACTAAATTATGATGTCTAAGGTATTTCTTTCACAGTGAATCTTTAATTTATTACTCGTTGTGAAATCTACCTTAAGTCATTATTTTAGCTTCCAATGCAGATATGCGGCATTATCCAACTTTATGCAGATTTGCACTATGCCCTACGATATGTAAATGATATTTTAAGTACCTCCCGGTTCTAGAATCGTCTTTTTCGTTGAGACCTTCGACGCTACCTCCAGAGATCCTAGCAGCTCGTGCCATGAAGTATGGAGGCAGTTCACCCAAAGCCGTACCAACGCCCCACATCATAGATTCTATACGGACTTTAGCCATTATGTTCCATATAGACACCGCATTGTTGGGATCCACCTCGCTCGGACATATTATACTGGAAGTTATTACATTATTATATTAATAAAATATTATTAAACTAGTTTCTGTTTGCGACTTTGGGTGCTTTAGTTTCAGAATCAGAAATATATAGTAAGAGGATTTATCAACTCATTTTTTTCTTATTCACTCGGATGAAAAGTATTCAAGTCTTTTCCCTTGTTCTAAGCTATATCTCCATCAAATTTTCATCCAAAGCCGTACAGACGTTCTTGATATAAATAGTGTAACTAAAACTACTTTTTTTAATATATAAATTAGTATATAATTACTCATTAGGGTACGGCGGTGATGGGAAGTTCAAGCTTCCACACTCGTACGCTGCTAGTGTGACCCTCGCTATATGTGGTCCAAGGTATAATAGGAATGTATGAAGCCCAGTACCGAGACCTACTGAGCTACAAACACCCAATATCACCCACCATCCCCACCAAGCGAGGGTTTGAACGGCATCCTGACGGATAGAAAACATTTGTTATGATGACGTCATATATCGTTAGTTCATATGTATAAGGTCTAATGTGCAAAATGACAATTTTAGTTGCAATCTTTTACATCATAACTGATGCTTTTGAAACTTTGCATAGCAACTATGACTTACATGTACGTCATTTAAGATTAATATTTTTTTTTGTAAAGTAACATTTTTTTAATAATGTATATAAGCCCTTGTATGTTAAAGTGTGTTACTTATTTCCCGTTACTGCAGTAATAACTAAGTCTTTCCACCAAAAAATAAAATTTTTCATGGATGTTGTAGAATGAAGTGTTTAAAGCAAAAAAAATGAAAATGAAAATGGCTAAATTGCCACATCGGTCCTAATACATAGGACTCATCGATATAGCGACATCTAGACGAAATGCAGTAAAATTTCATCGTAATATATAAATGTCTAGACGAAATCGTTCAGTCGTATCTTAATTTTATATAGGGGAGCGATAAAGACTGTATGGAAATTGAGGGTGAGCAGTTTTAGTAACATTATACTAAACGAGACAATTTGTTTTATAGCTTATATGTTATTTAGTTCTCGTGTTCAATATGATAATTAATTTCTTACAGTATACATTGTCATACTCATGTTTATTAACAAATTTGTCATATATTCTTTCCTTACGATATTTCTATATATAAGTATTTTACAAACCTGAACGTAAGGTTGGTGCGGGCCCTTGATGTGGTAGGAGAAGGCGATATTTATGATCGTTAGAAATATAAATAGGGCTAGTACTTTGTATGCTAACAATCTGAAATCAAATTCACATGTTCAGAAATGTATGCATATATAATTAATTAAAAAAAATATCTATATATCACCTCTTTAAACCCGTAGAGCACAATATAAGTAGTTCTCTAAAAAAATATTCCAGCGTCGTAAAAGGTTTCCGCCATAGTACCAAACTTTCCGTATCCATTAAAGCGGCTTTTGTTCTGAAATCGTAAAAAAAAAAAAATTATTGTTATCTATCATAGAAATCATAATGAGATAAATGACTAATTAATTTACTAATTACTTAATTACTAATAATTAAGTGCATTCGACTCTTCAATACAGGTTGCGACTTAGTAATTATTCTTTTATATTAGAGATTAATAAGAATATTTTTCCTTTCATATACAAGTAGAAACTGTTACTATATCTATGTACACATCGAGAGACGTCCTCTAGTAATTTATATCATCAAGCTTTTAAGGTCCCCCTGTCAGGTCAATGAACTCTCGTACTCATACCACTTATACATTTAATATGAACTGGGTTATAACTTAATTTATTACATTTTATTTATATATAGATAAGAATTATAATGAAAATATTTACGTTATGAATATTAAAGAAGTTTTTCTATATGTATATACATATATTTCAATTCCTACAGCAAGATATTTTATGTTATGCCAAAAACAAGAATTATTAAACTGAATAAAAGTTAATATATAACTAGGGTTACATAAGACATTATTTAAATAAATATAAAATTATGTCAAGGCAAGTCGAGATGTATGAGAATTGAATAAATTTTTTCTTTGAAACTTTCTCAATTTTCTATTACGAATGTTTGTATCAGTGATTTATATGGACCAGATATATAAGTATTAATTAATAACTAGTATTTAATATATACGTATACAAAAATTTTGACTGTGTATCAGGAATAATTTGCTTACGTTCAAACACGTTTACACTGTAAGTACGTAAGTAATAATTAAATAGAAACACATTAATTAATAGCCTTTATTAAGAAAAAAAACACATTCTATAAGAATAGGAAGTATTTGTTCAAAACTTGGATGTTATTAATTGACAGGCAAATGTAATTCGTTCATAAAATTATGTCAAATTAAAAAAAAATCAAACAATGTGTAAAAGTCATGTACAATATCTTTATCTATACAGAAATCTCTCTCTCTCTTTCTCTATCTATCTCTTTCACTCTCATTCTCTTATAAATATACTAACTTGATCTCCTTAGGAGGTGAGTGCAAACCGTTCCTCGAACGCTGCTCCGTCTCTACTTGAACTGCGGCCGCCAGTTTGTAGTATCCCAAACGGGATAGCTGTTTAATATCAAAACTCCATAAGTCATCATGTATTTAGGAAATTAACAGTAAAATAATACACGCCACTATCACGTATCTAACATGCAAACTAGTGGTGTGACATAACACTAAAAAAAACGGGTGCAGTTAATGAAGCGTATTGGTGACTAATAAAAAAATCATTTATATTTCCTACGACGATTTCAATTTGTAATATAAAGTTGTCCCATAAGGTTATACAAATACAATTTCTATTGTATTGAAAGCGATAAAATTTAAACGTTTTTTATATATATTTTTCTTATGTCCTAAAAATGTTGTCAACACCTGGCAACAGACACGACCCAGACGATTCCCGAAATAAATGAGATCCGCGAGTACATATTTATACGACGAATAATAAAAAAAAAACTTCGGAAACACGCAGACTTTTTTAAACTAATTAAACTATAATAAAAAAACTATTAAAATTATAATTTGTAATAAAACAAACTTTAAAAATCATACCTATAAACACGTAAAACACACACAACTATATATAATATTTATATATAAATATATTATTATTTAATATTTCAATCGTATCTCAAGCACGTATGTATCGCCCGCGGTATGATACCACTGTGACAAACGTAATTTCACTTTCAAAATCTACTCTCTACATTTCACCAATCTGTTTCGAGTTAAACGACCTTTAGTATGAGATTGTATACGTCATTAGCATCATTATTTACACTTGAAATTAATAAATAAATATATTTATATATTATTATATAAATATATTAATAAATTATTCCAAATTTATTATGTTAAAAGCTGACGTTACAGTTTTATCGAATAAATAACAAATCTACATCTATTTCGTATTGTCTTATTGATAAAGAAGACAAGGTTGAAAAATGAGGTCGCCTCTGAATAACAATGAAATAATATTCAACAAGCCATTGGGTAACTGTGTTTGTTAAAATCATGAACACACATGCCAGTTGCTTCAGTTGACATAAAACAAAATCATGTAATCACAATACGTAGTGTACTTTATATTCTCCGATTGATCTCATTAATATATAAGTGAGAACGTTAATAAACATTCAATTCCAAGAAGTACGCAGCGGTCATTAATGTATCATAATAAAAATTCATCAATGTTAAATTCATTGCCGATATTGTGGCGTTAATCCAAAACCGAATTAAACCTCTCTAACATTATAAAGCATCCGAAATTTACGTATAACAATTTTATACTCTAAATCCATACGAACAAGGTATCAAACCGTTCGTAGATCTGTATTTTATTGAATATAATATGTATAACAATGTAGATAAGGTCGATAATGAAACAGTTTTAATTAACGTACACAATGCTGTAATATGGCGTGATAGTCGCGTGTATAAACGTATTGACGGTCTAGTGACCCGCAATTTCCGATTGAATATAGGAGAACCTAGTTAGCAGGTTCAATCAGCTTGAAAAAGTTATTATTTCCATAGATTGGCAGGATGCATTTCCTGTTTCTATTCTGTTCTATTATTAAAATTTATTAGCAATAACATAGTTTTAATTTTCTTTACAGTAACAGTGCATAGCACAAATCATTCGGTTTAGTCTGTAAGGCTTATAAGCCATACAAAAGTAGGTTAAAACCCAAAAACTAATAATAATCTATTCATTAAAAAAATACTTCTAAATAGTAAAACCTAATATAAATTCAGTCACATGACTCTCTGTAAATTATTAAAAAAAGCTGATCCATAAATAAATAGATATGAATTTGCGAGCAAAGCAAAATTGTATTCTGTCCTAGAAAACCTACAAAAATAGTATATATGGGCAAAAAAATCAGTTTTCCTATATTGTTCAAATAGTTTCCAACATAATAATTAATTAATCAAATTACAACAAGATTCATGCGAGCGAGGCAGGCAAAAGTTAGGAACAATCATCAATCCAAAGTGAATGAATACAATTATCAGAATCTCTTTGTTATAATGTATAATGATAGATGTTATATAACATTCGAGTTGACGTTTCTCTTTAAATTTCGTAACAACTTTCTCTTAGAGCATGAATGAGTGATGCAGACGGCAATGTAATAGTATAATCTATGAATATATTTTCAATATATCTGGAATTTCTGTTTGAGTTTCCATATAACAAATGTTTATTTTTTACCTACAAACATGACATTTAGACGCGATAAAATTTAAATTTGCATTAAAAACTTTATAGTTGTAACCATCAAGTGCAAATTAACCAATTTGCACTGTTAATTACTGTTAAGATTTTTAGAAACGATCTGATATAATTTTTTTTTTCACAGTAGTTTATTTCGCAAAGCAAATCGCAAGTTCCACTTATACTAAGCAATAGTAGATTCAATACATTTCATATTTTTATACCAAATTATATGATATCATAATAAAAAATATATGGTATAAAGACAAAGGAATATGACTCGCATTATGAATCAGCACTAAAATGCACTGTAGCCAAATCTGGCACAAAGGATCTTGAACATTTTATATATAAATAACAGCAGGTGAAGACATATCATTAGTGTGTGCAAATCCTGTCGGTTCATAAATATGATCTCATATGCCTTCATACAATCAAAAGAAGTTTTATACTGAGATAATCCAATGTTTGTAGATAACAAACTTAGTTATATGAATAAAACTGAAATTTACCAATATAACATTCTTCCTGAAGTCTCACTTACCTAAAGTAAAGTAAATATTTCAGTCACAATAACAAAATGTATAATAAATAATTAACAGCTCTCAAATGTGTGATTCAGAACAATGAAAATTATTGAATTAATAAAACATGATTTATATACAACTGTATGTGCAAATATTAAAGCTATGAATGTATGGGTATCATACACACACATAAATTATAACACACACACACACATATTCAAATAAATTCTATAAAATACACATTCACACATTCTATTATCTACAAATTTAATGTCAACAAAATAATCACTACATCTTTATCTGAACCTTCCAAAAAAACAGGAAAAATTGTCTTTGAATAGGAATATCCAAAATGGTAATTCAGAGAAAGATAAAACAATCATCATAAAAAAAGATTATAGCAGTGTTTCTACATGTATCTTGCATGACACTAGCATACAGAAGCACAAAAGACATTTGTAAACACCCTTGTACCAGTTCATTTTTGTTGCCTGTAGTCCGTTGGCCTCGTTTTCTGCATTCAGCTCTGAGTTGTTCCTTACTCATAGACGCCAGAACTTCTGGACTTAAATTTTGACGAGTCTTGCTATTATCAGTTATAGAGTTTTGACGTGGTATAGCAAGAGATGTAGCTTGATTGCGTGCTCGCCTTGTGCCAGCTATTTTTGTCATTATTCTGAACAATCCACTTACTACAAAGCACTATTTTACAAATTTCTTCATGTCAATACAATATTGTTTATTGAATAGTCTCTTTAATACGAAAATAAATAAACGTAAGATAACGGAAACTTATTATACAAAAATTAAATGTAAATTATAATTTTATGGTTTGTTAATTACGTTCTCGTCATATAAGAATTTTTTATATATTTTTAATAATTTATATACTCATGAAAAATATATATTTTTACGTAAATATAAATAGATATGAAACGTAAGTTTCATTAATGCTATATTTATTTACGATATGAAGCCTGTGTGTGTACAGATGCAGGACTATCGATTTTATCAGCCCGCCGATGTATATTATATATTTATATGATTATAATCATATGCTTATTATTTAAGGCATATACAGAACAAAAAGCCACCGTCAGCCCCTAATAAATAAGCTAGACTTAAATTATTAGATATCATTCTGAATAGTCAGCATAAATTGATGCAACTTCTAACCTAACAGAACAAAATTTGTTAACAAATAATACTCACATCAAAAACAAATCCACGTAGAAATTTAAAAATATAAACAAATCTACAATTGTTGTCTTTCAGTTTTAAATAAAGCTATAGATCATTTTCTTCACAAAAACATTTACTTTACATAAAATGTATCGAAACTGAGCATTGTTGTCATCATTCAAAACTTGAATTTCCTCTGATTTAATTTTTTATAAAAATATATTATATTATTTTTCAGTTATATCCAAAAATAAGGCTCTAATTGAATATTAATATAAAAAATATATTTTGAAGATATTTTCCGATAAAATAGTTTTTATAATTGAAATAGTAGTTATTTTACAAATTGGTTGATAAACTTTGAAGAATTATGAATTTCGGGGTTGAACCGACTTTAAGGAAAGAAGACCTTTAGTTTTATGATGAAAATATTATTCCTTTTAAAAACTGTTTTTGAAAATGGAGTTATGATTCCCCATTTTACCAACTTTTTATGTTATAAATTTTACGTGTAGCAATTTTATTCTTTACTGACGTGTATTTAAAATAAGTTTTTAATAAAATAAGGCTATAATTTAAAATATACAGCTCACACATAATAAGGAAATGTGAATTAAATATTTCTTACTTAAAATATTGTGAAAGATTTTTATAATAATCAGTTGATTATAATTTTTAATTAAATCAATCACAATGAAAATCATGTAATTTTTTCGTTTCTGAACGATCTATATCAAAACGGACATCCAACTTACGTCATTTAGCGAGTTTTTCAATTTAAATACTTCAATACTTATATCAACGGTTGTTTTAGTACTTTGTTTGAAGATTTATTAACTTTAATTTCTGTAGTACATATATGTTAAGGTAAATTTTATTTAATAATTAACTTTCATTTCTTACTACATTAATGACCATATTTTGTTGCTTCCTCTTTAATTAGCAGTTTCCGAATTTAAAATTGCGTTAGGAGTAACCTAATTTTTTAATAAGGATGTATTTATTAGTCTCATAAAGTATCAGAATTAGAAAAAAACATTATAAATACTCTGAATTCTTTGGTTGTATAGTACTTTACTTTCACATATTTAACTGAGCATTGTTCCTATCGACTTAGTGAACAAAAAAGTGCGACAAAATTTTACCAATTGGTTGTTTAACCGTACTAAGAAATTTATTTTTGTATTCCTCAAGATGGTGGCTGTGTTTACGTTCACGAGAAGCGACAACGATATTCTACAGGAATTAATGCGTGTGTTCAGTACGGGGCGTTGTACAGCTAGAGAGCAATGGAGTATGCAGGCCGAACTGATAGTAGAGCCACTTGGTTGGGATGCTCTGTGGAAATTGTCTAAGGATTTCTGTAAAAAATTCGGTATGTTCATATATATTGTTTGCAATACTCGCAGTTTATACTAATTTGAATTTAACCAAATTTGTGTGTTTTTTTTTTGTCTTCGCTCTATCACCTTCAAACCTTTAAATACAAATTAATGTCAAAATTGCGATTTAACTATATTTCTTCTATTGTTTGGCTGACTATAATAAAATGTTGATTAATTTCTTTAAACCATTCTAGAAGTGAGATATCCCTGTGTTGCATACATCACAGTAACATTGGTGAACTTTGAAGATATCTCCGCCAATGTGGATGTGCTGAGTGTTCAGCACGAGGCTGTGACTCTACCAGAGAGTATTGTAAATGTGCCACTGATAGAATTGTGGCCGACAATTAAACAGAGGGAACAGTGTGTTAATGCAGCTAGCACGGCAGAGTTTATTGATATTATGAGGTGAGAGAACACATTTTAATTAAAAACGTATCAAAAACAGTCATAAAAAGTAAAAAATTGTAATTAAATAACAAAGTTGATTGAGATTATTCAGGATTGAGAATGAGACAGATTGAATAAAATAACTCAGATTTAACTAAAACAAATTATTTTCAGTAGATACAAAATTTTGTATATATCTTGCAAAAAATAATGTACCTATTCTTCTTTTCATATATAACACCTTAATTAAACTGTACAAATCTTGTACATGACAAATTATTACAATAAGTTTGAATCATTACATGTAATAGCGTTCATAATTTTTACATTATAAATCTACATTCATAATTTCATGTGCGAACATGTATAAATAACAAAATGCTAATCTATACTTCATTTTACAATAATAAACTTGTGTAATTAACATTTTATCATAATAATTGTTTGTTACTTAAAAATATACTCATACAAATGTGATTTGAATTCATTAAAATAAATCGGTTTTTAGATTCTTTTACGATAACATATGGATGCCATGGGATGATCAGGATGATAAAATTCTTCTACCAAACACAATAGAGGATCGTATGAATCTGTGGATGGAACTACATAACGGCACTATCCCGAACTACATTGCGAGATCAATCACTTTATTGAGAACTAGTGCTATCAATGCTCATCAGAAGTTACAGGAACTCGATTCATCTTTATGTGAAGGGGATTTTGCTGATGACGATGGTATGTTATTCAAATATATGGGTGGAGATTTATTGATAGTTTTATCAGTTCTAAATTAAATGCTTTTTGATTGTAAATCAATATGATAATGTCACTGTTAAATATCGGAAATTGTTCTAAACTAAAGTCTAGTACTATTTCTAATAGATTATTTGATGCCTACCATTTTGTGTCGTTATAATACCACATTTAAAGACTACTATAGTAGTCTTAAAATGTCTATACCATAAATTGTTGAATATTTTATACTTTCAGATTCCCTATTACCACCAAACTATATATCTCTCTGTGCTGAATTAAATGCGAGGTTAGATGGACTGATCTCTAAATGGACATTATACGAAAATCCACTTATCAGAGAACAATATTTGGCTAAAACTATGAAAAAGTGTCAACGGAATAAGAGCAAAAAGAATGTAAGTACTATAAATTCATATTTTGTTTTCCTAGTTTGATTATATACATGTAAATTTGACAATGAATACTACTTATTTACAATTTACTAAGTCTTTAAACTATATTATATTTTTTTGTAGGTAGTAGCACTATGGCAGGGTGGTGATATAGCGGAATTCAAGAATATAACCAGATTTCTAGAAACGAGACTCACAAATGATCACACACTGACAATAACAATGTCAGCGGAAGAAGCATTATCATTAGAACCAAATGAAGTTGTTGTATGTAGCAAACAGTATGAGATACCTGAAGTATCATTGTCACAAATAACTTTATGTAGTATAGATGGTGAGTAATAACATTATAATTCACTGTGTATTCAAAAGATAGCTTAAATCACTTTTTATCTATGTTAATAGTTTTGTACAACTTTTATTTTGTACACATTCGTCATCATCTTATTATGATTGTCCATTATCACTATGTAGAACTAATTAGTTATTAAGTTGTAATTTTATAACAATGAAATAGTCGTATTAAGTTAAAGGTATTGTTTTGTTCTTTGTCTTTTAACACATGTATATAATATTGATAATTATTATATATATTTTTTGCTATTTAATATTATATTTATTAAGTGTATTTCTATCAAACCAGGAGCTATGTTGAAGGCATCGGATATGAGATCATGTTTATTAATGTTGAATGATGAATGCCACATACAAGACATGACACTACACTGTTCATCCGTTAATACAGTCATAGTAATGCTTTCTGGTACATTACATGTTAAAAATTGCATGCTTTTAGATGATTCCAGTAATTTCCAGGTAAATAAATATTATATGGTGTAATTCATATACAATTATAAGCTTTTAATGTAAATATAGTTTGTTTATGCTTATTCCAATTTTCAGAGTGATTTTGCTCAAGGTATTGTAGCGATGTCTGGTGCGAAGGTTATATTAGAAGATTGTACATTTGAAAATTTCTACTCTGGTATTGTAATTCATAAAGGAGCTCAGGTTAGTTTGTTTGTATAATTAATAATAATTTTAATACTCAAATGCTTGCAAACAGCTTATTATGTCTCTTTAAATTTTTGCCTATGACAGTTTCAAATCACTTCCAAAAGGGATTTTTTAAGATTGGTTTGTTATTAATCCTAATTAAAAAAGAATCTATATCCATAGATATATATATGAAACAACAGTGAAAATGTGATTAATTATTTAAGTAAATATCATTGTTATCAAAGTAATATTTATTTTCCAGATGGAACTTAGAAATTGTTTGATAGAGAAGTGCGGTGTTGGCATACAAATATATTCCGGAGCTCAGGTTAAGTTAGACGGAGTCATCATTGAGGAATGTACGGAACAGTGCATAAGGTGTGAAATGGAAAACGGAATTGTTAAGACTGAGTAAGTAGATTTAAAATTGAAGTTAATTTCTTAGTAAATCTGAGTAAGTATTTAAAACCAATTAAATTAGCTGCTGAGTAAGATAATTTTGAGTAAGTGAATATTTTCGACTTAAAAAGTTAGTAGATACATGATATGTCATACTTTGTTAGGTCAGTTAGAACAAAGAAAATGCTTGAATGCGTTTGAATGATTGATTGAATGAATGACTGATTATTATAATATAAGTTGCTGCATAATATAAATACATTTAATCAATTAATTTACAAACTATTACAGAATGGATGGCCTCGAAATGATAAATTGCAAGATTGGTTCCGGTAATCTACAGAAAGAAATATATGTAACACAAGATGTCAACATGTAATGATAGTGTTAAAAGTAAATGTACTGTATTTTAGTTCAACAAAACTCTTTAATAATAATCCAAACTTAATTATTACCATTAATCTATATTTTAATTAGATTATTTTAGTTGATGTCAGGGTAATGTAATTTTATATGTAACAATGGTGCTTAATAATTTTTCTTTTACTAACGGCAACTGTGTTTCTGACTGTATGTTTGTCCTTGTGTTTCTGTGTATCTCGAAAATTATATAAACTAAGTAAATAATAATATTGTGATGTTCAAGTGTTTGAAAAATATTCGAGATAATTCTTTTGATAACATGGAAAGTTGTAAGAATTTTTCATATAATTTGAATTTTACAGCATGAATCATAGTGGTTAGTTAATTAATCAGTTAATTGATTAATTATATATATAAAATTACTTTGATGGAATTAAGATGCTGATTATTTTGTCCCGTCAATATTATCTGGCCGCTAACCACAAGTTTTCACGTTTAAACTACAGACGGAGAGTTAATAGTTATTAAACGTGACTGCAAACTTGTGGTAAGCATACTGGTAATTTAACGCCGGTATTCAACTTTAACGCGAGCTTTAATTTATTTAGTTTCCGGCAGAGGGACGCCATTTTGTTTTTTTTTTATTTTTATTTAAATATTTAGAGACGTATGAATGTTTTATTAATAAATAATTAATATTAATGTGGTGTTTCATTTTATTGTTATATAATTTCACAGAATTTTAAGACAGTTGTTAGAAATATGACACTTTAGTAGGGGTCCTACAGTCCCGAGAAAAACTATGGTATTAATTTGTTTCAGAGGTGTATTTTTTTAAAATATTATGGTAAATTCTGTAAAAATTATTGAATTAAATATATTTTTTTAATAAAAACACTAGAAAAGCCCTTCATAAAACATAAGATAGGAGTTTTTACGATTTTATCTAAAAGATCCAAGGATATGTGGAAAATTTACTTGGTATATAAAATTGAAATTCATTTAACAGAATTAACATCAACTTTTTTTCATGCACAATTTTTACAACCACTAAAACATTACTTTAGAAATAAAAAAAACCTAGTCAAACTTCAAATCAAATTTATGTTTCCATATTAAATTACTCTCAATTTTTAAGGATGAATAAAGTCTTAAGGAAATAATTACTGTATTTACTTCCTTTTGGGCGAGTATCCATTTTTAAATACAACGATTTTTTTCAGATTATTACGCCTCTTTCCATTATTTTGAACTACATACTCTCGAAGTTTCGGTTACTTTTTATCAACCGTGATCACGGGCAGACGAGATGTGAATGTCTGTCAGTTGGTCTTGTTATTTGTCATCTAGGAATTGTGATTTGGTGTTCAAAAAACCTTGGTGGTAGATACAACGCGAAGTACATCCGAAAATATTAAAATTAGATTAATATTTTTAATATGAAATTTTAGTTTTATTTATCCTTTCTCTAGCCCAGTGATTCCCAAAGTGGTCCAGGTGGACCCCCTGGGGTCCACGGGAGACTTGCTGGGGGTCTACGTAGGCGTGAACAAAAAATGGGGGTCCACGAAAATTTATCTGCTTTTGATAGTAAAGAGCAAAAATGTAAGCATAGTTTTTATAAGGGCCTACCTACATTGTTTTAAGTACCTAACTAAGCAGATAATATTTTAATAAGGCAAGCCACTGTTACTTGTCCAAACTTGCGTATTCGATATTACGTACAATTTCGTGTACAGTCTTGCAAAGCGCTATCCGCCCGACAATATAGAGACAGAACTCAGAAGTGACACAATTTTTATTTTTTGGCGACTTTAAGAATGTGGTAGAAATGTAGCAGCAGGGGGTCCACCGAAACCAGTAAAATTTTGAAAGTGGTCCACGAGAAAAATAAGTTTGGGGACTACTGCTCTAGCCCATAAAATTGGTTACCCTATATTATCCATACATTTATAATTAACTACCTTTCCGCCCGCAGCTTCGCCCATTTGGAGTTGGGTTATATCGCGTTTCCAAGAGAACCTTTCAAAAGTCTGGGATAAAAACTATTCTATGTTAATAAAATAAATAAAAAAAAATAATAAAAATGTTCTTTCTCAAGGTCAACTCTATCTCTGTACTAAATTTCATTAAAATCAGTTCAGTGCTTTAGGCGTGAAAGCGTAACAGACAGACAGACTTACTTTCGCATTTATAAAGTAGCCTATTTGATATTCCTGGACGTCAGCTTCCTGTATACAAAATTTTATCAAAATCGGTTCTGCCGTTTGAGCGTGAAGAGTAACAAATTTTCGCAATTATAATATTAGTAGGATGATCTAAAATTTGTACGAATGATACGTATGAAGTATGTATATTTATTTTGAACTAATAAAATAAAGTGATGTCAAAGTATTGCTATACCCATTATCCTAAAAACTAGGAGGTCTGGGGTCGCAATTTATTTATGTGAAAGTTGATAAGAGATGATGTTAAAAAAATTAATTTAAAAGTATATAGTGATAAGAAAAAAAAAACGTTGAGGAATAAAACCACGCATAAACGACTGAATTTTGAACGATTGTTGTGCAATATTGCTTCCGTCCCGTGCCACAGGCAAAGCTAAGAGGTCTGACATTGAACAGAAAAAGCCAAGTCCTAAACTATCTCGTGAGAGTAGTTTAATTATAAATACATTTAAATAAACACATTTTCACAATAATGAACTCTTTAAGGTCTTGAGTACAATAACGTTCAATCAAGTATTACTGTCAATATGAGATTAAAATTATTTAATGATAAAAATACAGAGAATACAGTAGGTATGTAATCCAATAAAAACACTATTTCAAGTGCCATTGTTTCATTGATTGTTGGTAATTAAAAATACATATTTTTGTGAACAATGACTTATTTGAAAAGAAGAGAAATAAAAATATTAATGGACTCAAAAAATTGTTTGTTTCATCGGGATCAAATGGAGACGAAAGTTGGATAAAAGAATGATTTGTACTGAAGTAATAATTGATAAACTTCTTGTTTTCCTCTTGAATTATTATACATCGAAAACTGGATTTTCATAAATCATAATTATGAACCATTCATAATATTTAATTAATTACGTTTTGAGGAATCTTTGCGGATGTTTTGTTTTCCTGTGGCCTGTGGGTTGCGGGAAAATGAAATTCGAAAAGTAAATGACATATAATAAACGGAAATGACATCTTTTGTGTTCAGTAAAAAGGATGTATATCTAAAATATTAAAAAAAAAGTTTACTGTGATCTTTTAGGTCCAAGGCAGTATTTAAATATATTTATCAATCTTTTTATTAGGTAAATTAAGAACGAAATGAAAATCTAATTGGGATGGATTACAAAGTTGCTTGATTATTAACGCAAAGTCATTATTATAAGTCATCATTATGACAGAAAATAATTATGATGAACCAACACGAATTAAGTATGACGAGGAAGAATATATTGGAAAAAATAGGTACCTACGCGCGTTCTGTGGTTTAAGTATACAGGAAAACACATAGGTGTATCTATTTCTAGGATAAATAATTATTTGTATAATCATAAATGACAAGTAGTGTGTTTTTTATCACAGGGTTAGATTCGCTTTTTACGACGTGAAATTTTCAAATCAGTAGTTACTTTAAATACAGTAGTAGTAGCAGAAGTATTCCTAATAGTAAATTTATTAAGAAATAGCTGCAAAATTTGTACAAATGAGACAATGGAAATTCATTTTAAATACTTAAAAATTTAGAAAAGTTACAATGTATTTTTTTATATGAATCTTATTACGATTTTGTTTTTGTCCCTTGATTTTTTTTTCTGTTTTTTCATTAATACACAAGTCATCCTACTTTTATTTAGTAAGGCTTGTGCCTTATTTAGTTAGATTTTAGTTTCATTTTTTTTAGTAATGTAATGTAATGACATAAAATTTTATGTTCAATAAAAAATATACCCATATATTATAACTAGAAAAAAAGCGTCGAATAATATGTATATATTTAATTAGAATAAGAGAAAAATAAAGACATTTCAGACGTCGCACTTCGGGTCTTGCTGTTGTCGACGAATTTTTAATTATATCTATTTCTATTCTCATTTAAGCATTTAGAGTCATATTGTTTAACAATAGTTGCATAAAAGGAAGAATTAATAGTATTTTCATAACAGTAAAGTAGAACTAGAATTGAGATTAAGTATATCACAGTCAATATTGGCAATTATAGTGAAAGGAATGGTGGATTAAGACGAATTTTTTTTTAAATAATTGGAGTTGTAACATTTTGATTAAAATTCTTCATCAACAGATGGACAATTTTGAACTCCTATGGTTTTTTAAACATTTTTGTACCAATACTGATAACTTTTCCCTTACTAGCGTTAGATAATTTTATAATCTACATTTAAAACGAACGACATTTGATTTACTCATTAAGTTCAAATGCAGTTATTATCTGAGATTTCAATATAGTTGCAAAGCAAATAGATATGTATTACGGTTAAACATGATACATTTTTGTGCAACATCGTCCTTATTTTTCCTGTAACGTCCTTATATATTGAGAGTTGTTCGTCCATTTAGCTCAGTGTCCTCAGTACTTACACTTCATACCGTTAGTTGACTATGAATAGCTCAGAGATGCATTGCGCGCCCGACTATCATCTTGGACATGTCGTTTTGGAACACTCCAAATTACATGGAGATACTGTTTGTCAGGTGAGTTTTTTATGAAGAAATATATCCCCAAATAAAAATAGATTTATTTAATATCCTATTATATTAACGAAACTTTTTTGTAATTGCACAAATCTAAATTTTTCGCGTGTACCTATATATTTAAATATAGGGTTTTAGGATCTCAGATGAGGATTACGTTTCCTATAAAATAAGCTAAACTATCGAAAATCAGGAAAAATGTAGTTATATTTAGACATATCCCTATGAAAAATATATTATTTATTCTCAATTCTTAATATTTCTTGATATAACAGTATTATTAGTTATTGTAGCCGTATTTTTTTATAATCACCAGTAGTTCTTTTGTTTTTCTTTTTTTTATTTATTTAAAAGACGTGATAATCCATGCCAAGTTATATAAATCTAAATGTACAAATACGTTTTATTTTTTTCTGTAATTAAAACAATATACATACTTATAAAATAAAGAATCTATGTTAGATTTTTCTTCATTTATTTTTACTATAAGGAAGCATTTTTATTAAATATTGTGGGTTTTCACTAATAGTAGTTGTATTATAAATAATTATAGATCGATGCAGCAACAGGCGATGAAGAGACTTATTCTTCGGTTGTCTCTCGGTCTATACGATTGGCAAGAGCCTTAAGAAACTATGGACTTAAGCCGGGGGATGTTGTGGCTATCGGTGGAAGGAACCATTTAGATCTCCACATACCAGTTTATTCAGCTCTCTATGACGGTTTACCCAGTGTTGGTGTTGATCCCTACTTCAAATATGGTAAAAAAATATCTAAGTTCTTAATTTAAGTTGTCACTTTATATGTATTATTGTGAATGCGAAAGTTGTAAATATTTGTTCTCTGCTTGGACCTTTACATCTTTAATTTATACATTGCATTAGAGCACGCGAATGTTTGATTTAAATATGTAATATTTAGAAACTGATATATAATACAGTGTCTCACTATTCTGATATATAAAATAATTTGCATAATGAAACAAAAAATTTACTTATACATACATTTATACATTTCCAGACGAAGTCCGTACTCTATTTAACTTGACCAAACCTAAAATAGCGTTTTGTCAGAATGAACATGTAGAAGTGTATAATAAAGCAGCGAGAGATCTGGGCTTGGAACTCAAGATAGTGACTTTTGATGATGGGAACTGCACAATGTCGGAGTTCGTCAACAAATATGACACAAACGAACCCTTGGATGAGTTTCAGTAAGTATGATATCTTTATGATAACATCAAAAGCTTTTTATTAAAAGATACATTTTATTCATACTCGCTGTGAAGAAAATAAGGCTTTATCAATGGCATAGTTTCGTTTTAAACAAGACAAGCAGAAAACTTTTGTAATAATCTCAAAGTGAACATATTTTAAAATGACTTTTGCCACACGTTTTCCTCGAGAAGTTGATCAATTGATCGGACAATTACCGGTATTGTTAAGAAACGTAACCGTGTTCCGTATGAAAGGTACTTGTGTTGTTAAGAAATGCAGTCAATCAGCAACTACAATGTTGCATGACATTCAAAGGATTCATTTTTTTACGTATATATAGTTATTTATATTTAAAATCTTTATCCTTTTTTCTTATACGGAAATATTATGTATAAACAATTTTTGAATCAAAAATTAAATAGTACTATATGTTTTGGGGCTAGCGTAAATATACAAGTTACCGTTTGAAATTATTAAACATATAAATGTAAGGTAATTATTATATTATATTGTAATAATGGGAAGATTTTATATATATTTGACGTCTGTTTATGTTAACACTTCTTTCGAGTGTCGTGGAGAAGATGCTCGAGAGTGATGGGTCCTGGTTGGCGGTGTCCTCCTTCTGTGAGACGGTCATGTCCACGAAGGAGGCATCTCAGCGGGAAAGGGAGAGGGCGGCTGATGCTCCCTCCCCCCGCAGGCGACGTACGGGGGTGCGTCGGAGGCAATTCCTACGCCTCCAATAGCACCCCTGTGTTCCGGGCTGGGGTCGGCGTGGTAACCCGGCCCTTTTGAAAGCCCGGCGTCGTCGGGGTGGTCCTAATTGCCGGGATCGCCCCCATTTTCCGAGGGAGTAAGTCCGGTCTTTGCCAGGACCGGCCAGTCTCTGGTGTGCCCTGTCGCTGACAGATCCGGGGTACACCGACATAGCGGCCGATGGCTTTCGCAGTGGTTTTAGTGAGTAGGGGCCTGCCCAGGCCGAGCCTCACACATCCCTTCCGGCCCCACCAAGGCCGGTTGGACGGCTCGTAAAAAGAGTTTCCACTACGTCATCAAAAAAAAAAAAAAAAAAATGTTAACACTTCTTAATTTAATTCGCTTCGAAAATTTTGTAAGCCAATAAAAAGGTTTAAACTAGTTCGTATTAATGATCAAAGAGTTTTTCTTTAAATCATACACACGAAATAATACTATATACAACTATGGAAGTCATAAGTAACCGTATAACTTTTATATTATCTTAGATGTTCATTATTAAGGTAAAAGGATAAATGAATATTCTGACATAGACGAAAGTTGTAAAGTCATGTGCACCATCATTGGATGTTTATTTTCCTGTATGATTTAACGATAATAATATAAATTAAAATCTATTTTATATAATTGCGTAATGACTTTAGATTTGATACGTGACACATGAACAATATCAATTTATTAATTATTAACAAATGTATCCTTACTTATAACTGTGAATGATATTATTTCTCACTTTATTTCGAGTATTTTAGTAATAGGTATTAAAATATTCCAATAAATCCAGTTGATAACAAGGTTTTTGATGCCAACGATTTTTGTATGGAAGAAATACAAAGATTAAAACGTGTTATAAGCCTTAGAGTTCATACCATTGCAAAACTTATCCGTTATTTGATTTTCCTAATAGTCGCAGCCTCTATTAATCACAGGGTTGAGTCAGATAAATTAAATCACATTTCTGAAACATTGCGAAATATTTCAAGTTAATTTTATTTCAGGGTTGCGAAAATCGATGTGGATAAAGTGAATGCATTCCTTGTGAGCACAAGTGGTACTACTGGAAAGGTTAAAGTGGCAGCTTTCAATCACCAGCCGTTTATGTTGAAGTGGCTCAAAGTACTTAAAATGTCGCGAATGGTTAAGTAAGTACTGTCATGTAATATGTACGTATATATGTATATATATTGTATGTTGTATCATTTTTATGTACTTTTACATATTGTTATGCAATAATATGAAAAGCAATTGTTAATATTTAGTAGTTAGTTACCATGCATATTTATAACGAAATTTGCAAATTAAAATAGTAAAAATTAATGGATAAATTACAGGAATAAGATTTTTAATTTCGTAAATGTAAATACTGTTTTTAAAAATTAATTCTCTAAATAATTATTTCATATTGAAGTACCTAATGAATATGTAGGTAAATTGTTGGGATTTGGAAATGACTAACAAAAACGTAACCACAAAATTTTGAATGGTTAAACAAATTCATTGAAAGAAATAAGGATATTATTATGTCTTCATATTAACTGTCGTCTAATAACTCACGGGGAAGACTTTTATGACGAATTTTAATGACAACCAAATTAATATTATTGTGTTAGGTCATTATTTTATTGCGATGAGGACAATCGGATAAAAATGACAAATAATTAATTTTAATTCGTTTATTATGTTCATGTTTTATTGTTTAAATTGCCGGAAAATATGTTGTATTAATAAATTCTTATTATTTATGCTAAAGACTAAGGCAGGTCAATGGGAATTAAGGGAGGAAATATCTCCACTTTATAAATAATATACTAGACTCTCTAATCATGTATATGTACCATCCAACTGGGCTATATATATTCTTACATATAGTCTCATAGCTTATATAAAACTAGGAGATGCACATTCGTACAATTGTTTCCAAATTAAACTCTCTGTGCAAGTTGGAGTGCAGTGACTTCAGCGTTTTGCTACCGAACCGTTTTATTTTACTCAATAATATTGATTGATAAATTTAATTAAAAATTCCATCATAAAATAATATATGATAATTTAGACTGTATGGACCAATTAGAGCGTATATCTTTGAGTTTTGAGATATTACAATTGTCCAACCATACTAAATCAGATATTTATTTTATAATATTCCATACTAATTCACTTAATTATATTATATCTCTTATATTTCAGGGGTCACAAAGGTACAATGTTAATATCACCAATACACTGGATATCTACGTGCTTCACAATCTTCTCAACTCCTCTGACAGGTGACACAAAGATACAAACATCAAAACCTGATGATTTTGATCACATAGTGTACATCATTAACAAATATAAGGTGTGTTGACTATGTTCTTTTGTTTTTTCATTTATACACTGTGTTAATAGACATAGGTTAAGGAAATATTTAGAGCAACATAAGAATTAAATAATAATTATGTATTTTACAGCCGAGAAACGCTCTAATGAGTCCAACACTGATGTCCTACTTGATGACCAGAAAGGACGTTGACTTGGAGTGCTTCAGATCAATCACGGTCACCGGTTCGAAGATATATCCTGATGTTTTCGAAAAATTCAAGGTATTCTATTACTACACAATTCTTTTATCATATTCCTAGCTCACACTGCTGTTTAAGTTCTTTCAATTTTGGAAACTTAGCATTCTACCAAAGTAAATGAAAAAAATCTTGGAAGGATAAATAATTTTCGTTATTTTTTTTACTTGCTTATTATTTTTGTGCTGTTCTTCAGGCTCTATTATCAAAAGAAGCAGTCGCATCTATCGCGTATGGACAAACAGAGATGCTGGGTCCTATTCTGCTGCCGAACCCAAAAGGCCCCAGCGGTAATTGCGGCCAACCTCTGCCCTTCTATGATGTTAAGGTATACAGACATGAGAAATTTAATTGTAAACTATTAAAATGGGATGTTTTTCTATATAACTTTTTTTGTTTTGAATGGTTTTATATAAAAATATTTTTTACAAAAAATTTATAAGGTTTTTAAAATACAATAAATATAAACCTATATTTGTTGTCTTGTTTTGTTTTGACTTGTTTTATATAAAATTAATTTTAACAAAACGGTCGATAAGACTTTTAAAATATGATCAATGTTTTCCTATATTTCTTGTATAGTTTTTTTTTTGTAGTTAATAAAATATTGTATTTGTTTACAGTTAATAGATCAGGAAACTGAAACTGAAATCAAAGAACCTCATGTGACAGGAGAGATGTGGGTGAAAGGACCCTGCTTTACGGTATGTAGAACACTGCTTGAAGATTTTTTACATAGTATTTATTGTTAACAAGAAAACAAATAATTTAAAATTAATAATCCGTAAGACCAAATTTAATATGTCAGTACAATATGAAACAAAATTACCTGCTAGAAACGTAATTAGTTAAATAGAGCAAGCAAAATATTATATCAAAAAATTAATAATTTAACGAAAATTACCAAGCTGACGAGCCACATTTATTTATTTTTGATTTTTTGCTTTTATATCGTATAAAATATAAACAGGCTTTTAAATATAAAAGCCTACTTAATTGTTTATAAATTGACTCTTGAATAAGAAAAAGATCCAAAGAAAATAAATGTTGGCTCGTCAGCTTGATAATGTTATTATATTTTCATTTTTTTAATAATTATAACATTTTTTCTTGCTACACGTCCTTGCGATCGGAAAAACAGTTAATTATTTAGATTGCTACGTTTGATATAAACTCAGAAAATATTATAATGAGTTATTATTGAATTTTGAAATAGTTACGATAAACAAAATCAGATACTCAAAATTTTTATTTTGTCCAATGAGTATGATGTTTTATATAAATATATATGTTATATTTCAAGGAATACTATCAAGATCCAGAGGAAACAGCGACGGCTTTTACCCCAGACGGTTATTTTAAGACCGGAGATCTTTTATACAGAGATGAACAAAATAATTACTTCTATGTAGAAAGAATAAAAGCTCTCATTAAGTATAGGAATTCACATGTAAGTAATGAAGCTCCAATAAAATGTAATTAAAATCAGGCATCCATAAAATACATGTTGTAAAAAATGAGATCTAAGATTTTCGCGAATATTCATGTAAATGGAACAAATAATTTCGAAGTACTACTCATTATTTAATTTATATGACATCTCTTCTGCCCGTGATTACGGTTGTTGGAAAGTAACTAAAACATCAGGGTATTTTTTAATTTTATTTTTTTTTATAAAATAACGCGTAGCAAATCGAAAATATTAGTTTCATTTACATCTTGTAAATTTACTATAAAAAACTGCTTTCGTATTCTTATTAAACGGGTAAAAAATAATACGCAAAATTACACGTATAAGTAGCAATATATATATAGTACTATTGGGGATCGTTAAAACAAAATTTGACACAAAATTCCAATATAATAATTATATATATATATAAATATTCTTATAATGTTACATATATTTATAGGTGATACCGATAGAGTTGGAGGATATTATACGCAAACATCCGAGTGTGAAGGATGTATGCGTCATAGGTGTCAGCGATCCTATGGACGGTGAACGGCCGGTGGCTTGTGTTATAAAACAACAGGGTATGGAGATCACGGCTGAGGAGGTCAAGGATTTGGTAGCCAGTAAGTCATAACATACTTACTATAAACAATCAAAAACGTTCAGAAATTATAACTATGTAACACTTTGGCTGAAAACAATAAAAAAAACATAATTCAAGTTTTGACAGTTAATTAAATAATAAAGCTAATTAATTTTTAATAGTTATCATGATTTATTGAACCGTCTATGGTTATTTTATTAATGTATTAAAAGTAATTGCGGATATATAATTATATTGTTTACGTCTTCAGGTAAATTATCTAAAAACAAAGAATTACGAGGCGGCGTCGTGTTCCTGAACGCATTCCCACAGACGTCGTCCGGAAAACTTGCGAGGGCGAAACTTTTGAAAGTAGTCATGAATTCTAAAAGGGAATAACAAATAAAATAATTTAAACATAATATATAGATAATTAAAATATATTTATTGTTTAATAATCGTAATAAACAGGATCATGAGTGCGACAGAATAAATGAAGATTTCTTATCTAAATTGTTTATTTCAATTAAAGCAAAGTCGTGTGATGATAAAATATATAAATAACATATAATAAAAGGAATGTTATATAATTGTCAACGATTGGAAATGTTTTTGTAATCATAATATAGTTATGTTGTAAAAATATTTTTTGTATCGATTTAATATATTGAAGGTTCCTACAACTAAGTTTGTTTCATTAATTTTACATTTGTAAAACAAAAAAAGCAAGTTATCTGTTGAAGGACTTATCTAAATTAAAGTTAAATATACGATATTTTGTCTGTTGGTATTTCTATATGAATTTCGTTTTATTTACCAGACTAAGACACTTAAAAATTTCCATATAAAACCTGAGCTTATTTGCAATACTTATTTAAAACTTAAATGAACATTTACATTTTTTATATGAAATATACTTATTATTGTAATCTCTACTAACATTATAAATTCTAAAGTAATTTCGTCCGTTTTCAGGCTTAAATCACAGAACCGATTTTGTTGATTTTTTTGGATCCCTGAAGAAAAATATAGGCTACCTTTTATCCCGAATCCAAATCCCCACACCCATCCAGTACACGGGTGGAATCATAAAGTGGAATTCGGGTTCAGTATTCGTTGTGTTATTTTTTTGACTTTTCTCCCGATCCCGACTCTAAAACTACGCAAGTGGAACCATAAAGTGCATTTTGTGTTCCATAGTCGTAGTAACAGAGAATAATTCTATATTCACGCCGACGGAGTCGCGGGCAAAAGCTAGTTTATATTAATAAATTAAAAGAATGATTTGCATCCCTTGTTATTTTATTTGAAAACTAATAAATAGATTTAACTGCAGTTCTATTATAAATATTAATTATATTGGTATTCTCAACGATGTGTGTTTTATTAATACTAACGTGATATAATAAAGACAAATTTCTTTACATTGTGATTAGCACTTCGATTAATGGCTTGATTTACACTTTATCAAATACAAATAGATTGTTTATATTAAAGCTTTATTATTAGAATAAATTTATATTAATATTATTTATTTAGTCAACAAATCATGAGTTTTAAATCAAGTGTCCTGAAAAACAAAAGGCGTGTTAGTCAATACAAATTTAATAGTATTGCTTCTGATATTGTATCTAGATTTTTAAATATGTTCTATTATCTTAAAGCCTATTAGAAGTCATAACGATTTCCTTTAGTTTTCTTCGATGTACTTTCGTAGACGCTGTCATTGGTATACTATCCAGAAAAATTACTCCACCTCTTAGTTGTTTTGAATCGGAGAGTTTGTCTAAAACGAATTATTAGATGGGATAAAAGCAAATATTATTATATAAAATACTTTAAAGAACAACATATTGAGTTATATTACCTTGGACAATGTTTTTTATGTCGTCCGCTGTAACATTAGCTCCATTTTGTATGACAACGCATGCTACAGGCAGGTCTCCACATTCTGGGTCTGGCAGACCAGCCACAGCGACATCAACAACACCAGGTACTTCTCTTATCACGTTCTCAACTTCCACTGGAGATATCTAACAATTTTTATTCATATAAATATAATTCAATCGTCTGTAGCCGCCTTTATTTATAGAGATAAATATGTATATGAACTTACTTGATAACTTTTATATTTTAAGAGTAATTTGATGCGTTCCAAAAAATAATAATTCCAATTCTCATCTCTGTAGAACATGTCACCAGTTTTAAACCAGCCATCCTCTGCGAATGTATCTTCAGTGGCTTCCTTATTTTTGTAATATCCCTGACCAAACGCATGAAATTTATACTTATAATTCTATATCCAATTTAAAACTAAGATTAATAATGTATTACATAAAAATTACATTCTAATGTCTATGATTCAGTTTAGGGAACTAAAAAAAAATATATTCAATGTACCTTAAGACATGCAATTTAATAATAAACGTAAAAGAATTACCTTAAATACTGAAGGACCTTTAATCCACAATTCGCCAGGCCTGTTGGGTTCCAAGATATCTTCTGAAGTTTCGGTATCAATTAACTAAAAAGTTTAACAATACTCAAAATATATATCTTAGAAAATTTGTACATTAGTAAATATATTCACGTAAAACTATATTAACTCACACGGTAGTAAAAAATCCCTAGTGGCCGACCACATGATTCGGGTGGACCGTAATCTCTCAGAAATGCAATACTGCTAAGCTCACTCATACCGTAAACATTAATTACTTCTGTATTTGGTGACAAACTCTGAAATTAAACAAAACAATCAGAAGAAAACGTATTATTGAACAAAAAATATGAACTAGATAAAACGATGTCTACCTTTATTTCTTCAATAAGTGACGCTGGAACCGCACTTCCTCCTAACATAATGAACTCAAAAGAAGAGAAATCGCATCTATTTTCATTTTTTAGAAGAGACGTTATCAGCGTAGGACTTAAAATACTGAATGTAGGCTTGAAAAATAAATTGTTTTTACATTATCATCTATTTTTAGAAACATTTACAACTATTAAAATGAGATAGACAATTCAAACAAGAGTTGGTGCGTTGAAAATTAAGAGATTATTTCATAATAAACTTCATATATGTTTTCATTACGGTTTATTTAATTTAAAAAATATTTTTTTTTCACTGAACTTAGAATTTTTCAACTAATGATACATATATATATCGCTTGTATATTTTGCATTAGACTCCTTGCCAAATCTATTTTTATATTTAACCTTTACCTTGTAAGTATCGAACAAGTAATAAGCGTGTTCCTTGGTAAGTGGCAAGGAAGATTGCAGACGGATGTATTTGAATATAGGAGAAGCGACATAACTGAATAAAGCCGTCAGCCACTGCAAAGGAGATCCCACCAGAGCTATTTTCGTAGGCGTAGGAAACTCTGTATAACGTAAGCTGGAGAAGAAAATAAATACTTGGAAATCTTCTTCAGAAATATGTATAATCTTATTGATTAATAAATTTATTTGCTGAATTTTTGGCGTGTTTAATTGGGAACTATAAATAAAATAAAAACTTTACTTACAAAAGATTCGGTAGTGATATTAAAAAGTTTTTGTGGGTCACTTCTGCTGCTTTTGGTAATCCGGTGGTGCCACTAGTAGACACCAGAAAAGCCGTTGCTTCTTCGGGATCCAAATCTGTTGGTCTGTGATATAGATTTTTTCTATAAAATTTGGATACATTTGAAAGGACATTATTACCTTTACTATTGTATTATACTAGTCTATTAATTAATTAATATCTTAAACATTAAACTATAAATGTTTATGAAGAAATAAAGCTTTAAATTTATATTGTAAGTTTTAAAATGACAACGACGGAGGTTGCATATAAATTTTTATGTGAGTTTTAATCTATGGTTATTCCCAATACTAAAATATTAGATCTTTGAACCTCATGTCTTTATGAATTATTTTTTGTTTATTTACGACATTGCAATGTCTCTTTCAATAGTGATAAACATTTAAAAAATTATTAAAGTTATATAAATGTATAAAAGAATTTTGCATATTATATCAAAGCTTTGATATTATTGTTGTAAAGTTATCATCAATAGATTTTATAGGTACATGTTTGTAAATGTAGTTGGTTTTTTTATGTAAATTATAAATAATTATACATCATGTTCATCTTACTCAAATTCGTCGATCATAGTTCCATCATAGAATTTCTCAATAAACGAGTCGAAATCACATAAATAATGTCCTTTATCGAAAGCTACAATAAATGCATTGGAATCAATTTCGTTTAATGCTAATTGTATCGTCGGTGCCTTCGAACTCTGGCAGAATATGATTTTCGGTCCCAAAACTGATAATGTTTGCTGTAATTCAACTGGAAAAATAATAATCAATTCTTTATTATGTTCTTAAATAATGTACTATTCCTTTTGTGTTTATTCTTGTTTATTTAATTTACTTTTTCCCAAATTAAAATCAACAGCAGCTATGACATTTCCCGTGTACAACGCGGCGTAGAATGGTATACAGAGATCTATGTGGTTCGGTGCCATCAGTACAATGACTTCCGTACTTTGGAGACCAAATTTCCTAAAACTTGCGGCGCATTTCACAGATCTTTTTAAAATGGATTCATTTGTTTCCGATTCGCCAGTCGCTCCATCGATCTGTACAAAATTTAACTTATGAAAATTGTTTCAGTGATAAAATTTGTCGTATACTTTTTATATTCTAATTTAATATACATAGTTCTGAACGAAAAAAGTTTATCTTTCATTTAGTTATCAAATACTTATGAACAGATGGAAAAGCATTGAATGAAATTCCGATTTAGATATCGATTTTTTCATTTTTAACAAATATATTACAATCAGTATGTTTAATCTAAGTTGGCATTGGTAGGCAGTGTAACGTTTTTACTTGGACTATGCAATATACATAGCCTACATCTTTGAGTTATTAATTAAAACATGTTTTTTCTATCAAATAAAGCATGCAAATAATGTGTGAAACAATTATATCAATCTTATACAACCATATACTTTCATAACGATCTTTTTATTGATGTATACTTTTTGTAATTTAAATATTTTAGAAAAAATATTTATAATCCCGTGTTTTTCTTGTTCCTTATAAAATTATTTATTTTATTATAGCCTTTATAATAAATTGTGATGATGTTAATGCTTTTATATGTATGTGCACCTGTCTTTAATTTAATGAAATACAGAATGTTTTTTGTAAGTAACATAATGTTAATAATGATGAAGTAAATTGAAATATAATGGCATATATGATGGTAAAAAAGAATAAGCCACCTTAGGAAGGTTTCTTGATTATATACGTCGTATGTAATACTATTTTATATGTAATACTTTTCAATCAAAACCAAATGGGTATTATAATGTTCAATAGATGTAGTGATATATAATTTTGATATAAAAATGTCTTTTGAAAAATTCTTCGTACTTATTAATCTTGTAAACATATAAATGGTCATGTTATTTAGTCTTATATATTAACATTGTCATATAACATAATAATATTATGCAATAATAGGTACAGGCATAGTCTATATTTTAAATAATTTTAACCTTACAAATTGAAAAGTAAAGTTAACTTTCGCAAATACAATAGTACTAAGATTATTACAGATTTCATTTTTTTTTCAAATGATATCACTATTCGCAATTGCTAATTAATTATGCAATAAAATGTCATTTGATCAACGTCATCTTTATACAGGATAAATTTATTTGAACGTGTTTTATTTTATTTAAAATATATACGGGAAATGACTGAGTGAAGGGAAGATTTTTAGGGTAAATAAGTAATATAATATAATACATTACTTGAGTTACTGCCTCGGGATAGTCTTTTAAACATTGCAGTATAACTTTTCCCATATGATATCTGTCTGACGGTATACCAGTCTTCGCTATGATCCGAGATGTAAGATTTGACATGTACCAATGAACAGCATCATTGATCCTTGTTGGAGGCATTCTAGAATAAATTTGATATTATCATCATATCTTTGTATATAAAAGAAAGTCGTTTTCGTTACTAGATGTAACTCAAGAATGGCTGTACGGGTTTGGTTGAAAATTAGTGTAGAGATTACAACCAGGAAAAGGATATAGGATATTTTTCATCAGAGTGAATAGAAAGAATTAGTAGATTAAATCCAAAATCTTCTTATGTACTGTCTTTAAGGATGAACAGATTTCACCCGGTCAGATATAGTACATATCTAATTCTGACTAACGCAGAGGAAGACGCGGGTAAAAACTAGTAAACTAGTAAAGGACTTCATACATTAAGGCCCCAAAAGTAATTTAGTAGGTCTATTAATATTTTCGATTTTTGATCTATGACTTTTTATTTTCTTAATTAAAATTATTAGTTGCCAATAAACTTACCTTTACGATAATGTATAAGTACCTATATTGCTAACAAAATCAATTAAAATACTGTGCACCTCCTCGTCTTCTTTGTGGATATCCGATGACTGGTGAGTTGAGACTAGTTAATAATATAAATGTCCTTCCATAGCAGAGTATACACATAACGGAATCATCATTAATTAATATAAAATAAACACAGATTCGATTGATTTTTCATATACAGTTTATTTAAGCCTTTCATAGCTAATGTAAGAGTAGTCGTGATGAAAAATTCGTTTTATGACTACATATCATGTTATGGAACCAAAGACGTACATTGTAATAAATTTATCTTTAAATACGTTACTTTCTTACCTAAAGTTTAACTTAATAATTTTCATATGACGAGAATTAAAATTAATTATAATAAAACCGTCTTAAAAGAAAGTAAATTCTGCTTAAATCCTTTGCTTGGTTTTAACTTCGAGAATTATTAAATATAATATTATTATCATATCATTCGTTGCTTATTTCGTACAGTGTATATTCTTCTTTATAAGATCGAGTTGTCTTTTGTCGTCCTTCGTACACTACTGTATTATTTACGCTAATAACAGTCTTTATTACTACTAGGTATAGATTTCCATTTTACTCAGTGCTTAAGAAAGTTCTAATTAATTGTTTCAAAATTAAAGGTTAATTGTTAAAGCGGACATACATGTATATACAGTTAAAGTACTGATAAGAATATAAAATTAATATCGTTTATTTATAGCAATAAAAGGGATTGTTGTATGAAATACAAATAAATAATGTTTACTTTGTTACAGTAACTATTGAGTCTTATACGAGTAGGTACAAAGAAATTAAAAAAAGATGAGTTATGGTACATTTTGTATGTATGTTTACCATTCACGCTTCAATTTTCTTTCCTGTTCGTTGATGCTCGACTCCAAAGGCAATAAAACTCTGCATTGTTAGCTAAAAATATACTAACAGTATGCACTAGAATTAGCATCAAATAAGTTTATTGTTAAAGGACATTTTTATGCGACTAAAATGTTACACAAATTTTACATACATTTTTAATTTTTACCCTAAGAAATACTTAGGATCCAATTTTGTTTTTCGTGTGACAGACAGACTGTGTAGTGTGTATATCTAATCCTATTCCCAATGCAAGCATTGATAAATTTCAGTACCTCCGCCAATTTAAGAAAAAATCAATATATCATTTAATTAAACTTATTAAGGGAACATTTTAATTGTATGAAGGTGTTTCAATTTTTAATTGTGTAGAAATTTATCTAGCTATTATATTTTGTACTGGTAACAAATTATATAAGTAATCAGATTTAGTCTTATGAACTTTGTTGATCATTTCTAATGAAAGATTTTGTGAGGTACAAGGCGATTTAGACGTAAGCATTTTGTCTTTTAAATTTCCTAGACTATGGTGTATCTGGTGTTTCAAACTAAAAAACCGTAATTTTTGTATCAACATTTATTTTACAGTCAAATAATTAAGAAACAAATGACCTTATTTTATTGTATAGTACTATTGCTGGAAATATTCTTGGAAAAATATTAAAGCTCTATTCTAATTATTTATATTTTGCACGATTAAAATTTACTACATCAAAATCAATTAACATATATAATATAAAATATATATAACTTCTTTAATTACATGGTTTTCTTTTTGAACTTAATATAAAGAAGACTATTCTTTTATTCTTTCTAGTATAATAACGTACTTAAAAATATATACATATGTATATAGAAAACAATAACAGTAAAATATTTGGACAAAATAATAGTATTTATTTTTATAGAATCACTAAGAACTCGACCAATTTATTTTTTAAAATTTATATAGGTATATTTATATAAATATAATTAATAAATTAATTAAATAATTATTAAAAAACAAGGAAAGTATAAGGTGAAGTGGATTATATTTTTAATAATTATAAGCTTAAATATTTTAAATTACGAAGATAAAAGAAATTGTTATAACAGAGGTTTTTAAATCTATATAAAATAATACAGAAATGTAAAATATATCTACGACCATGTTGTAAACATAATGATAACTAAGAATTTCGCGAATATTCATTTTGATGAAACTATTATTTTTCGGTTTTCTAGGTGTATTGTATTATTTTTTCTAATTCTATGTCTAAAATTGTCTACATTTGGTTCTGAAAATTGGACTACGGTGCGAAATGAATTTACATGAAGAATGATTTTAAGTGCAGTTTTAAAGCATGCAGTTTTAAAGCAATAATATATGTAATTAAAATATCATTGGAGTTTTCTTATATTCATAATAAAACAATATTTTTTTTGAATCTTTCACAAAAAAATCTATTTTTGGTTAAAATTCAGGTTATACTGATGGATAGCCCTATCGCCTGCGACAATTTTGAAGCAAAAACCATGTACAGAGCATTTCTACTAAATATTATGTACATATTATTTTTGTAAAAGTTATTACAGATTTTTAAGTAGTTTATTTTTGTTCAATCGCTAGTTTCTGCAATAAATTGTAATAATATTTTTTACATGTTATTTATTGCAGTATTCGATATCATTTTGCTCATAAAAAGTATGAGGATGTATTAAATGTTATAACAGCAAAAGAAAATTGTGATGAATATCTCATTTAGGTGTAATACACGTGGGATCTGCAAATAGCTGTAAAATGACACTTCAATTATACTTATTAGTTGTCATATTTGACAGATTTATTTTTCCAGTAATGGAAAACATGATATTTTCTATAATGCTTTTTTCATAATGTGTATTGACTGAGTTAATTTCACATAATATGAACAGATATCATTAACGATATTATTTTATTAAAAATAATTCCTATATATTTAATTTGTGAACTCGAACAAATCCGTGGGAAAATATTATACCTAACAAGGTAATAAATTGTGCAAAGTAAAACAACAAAGATAATGTTTCCGTGTTACAAATTTGCTGGCAATATATGATTACATGATTGCTTTAAAATTACAGCAATTGTCTAAGCTGACCATTACGAAAAAAAGACGTCGCTAAGTATAAAATAAATGTATGTCATTCTTTGAATGTGTTTTTATTAATACTATAGTAGATTTTACCTAGTTATTGTCAGAATTGGGTATTAAAATAATGAGGTATTCACAAATTATACATTCTGCTGGAAATTAATTCATCAATAGTTTAATTTTTTTGGCATAAACATTAAGAATTTTTTTATATATTTTGCTTATAATGATACAGTAACAATTTTATATAATTAAATTATCAATATTAATTCACAAAATATTTAACTATTAGTTTGTCACAAGTTGAAAGACAAACTAATTTTCTAGCTAGAATATCTGTTATTAACCTATTTTATCACTAACTAGCTTTCCGCCCGCAGCTTCGCTCGCGTCGAGTTCTGTTACATCGTGTTTCCAGTAGAACCTTTCAAAAAAGTCTAGGATGAAAAATTTCCTACGTTCTTTCTCAAGGTCAACTCTATCTCTGAATCAAATTTCATTAAAATCAATTCAGTGGTTTAGAGGTGTGAAAGCGTAACAGACAGACAGAGTTACTTTTGCTTATAAAATTAGAAGGGATGATCCCGACGTTACGGTTACTAGTCGGCAAATTAATTCATTGATTTTCAAAGAGATCGCAGTATTATAAGATTTTCATTCAATCGATCAACTGATCGACCAACTAGTCGGGCAACTGGTTGGGCAACTGGTTGGGCAACTGATCGTCCAACTGATCGACCAACTGGTCGACCAACTGATCGTCCAACAGATCGTCCAACTGATCGTCCAACTGATCGACCAACTGATCGACCAACTGATCGTCCAACTGGTCGACCAACTGATCGACCAACTGATCGACCAACTGATCGACCAACTGGTCGACCAACTGGTCGACCAACTGGTAGACTAACTGATCGTCCAACTGATCGACCAACTGATCGACCAACTGATCGACCAACTGATCGACCAACTGATCGTCCAACTGGTCGACCAACTGATCGTCCAACTGATCGACCAACTGATCGTCCAACTGATCGTCCAACTGGTCGACCAACTGATCGTCCAACTAATCGTCCAACTGATCGACCAACTGATCGACCAACTGATCGTCCAACTGGTCGTACTTAATAAAAGAAAATGCAAAATAAGGTTTTAGAAAACTACCTGTTACTATTTTTGCTTAAATTTTGAACAGGAATACCTATAAACTACTTCTATAAGCTGTTTGAATAGATACATTAAAATATAATATTTATTATCAGGTACTTATTTATCTACGAAACGAATATAAAGCGAATTCAAAATTTCTTCAAGCTAAAGTCATACGATCACGCACACGACCGCTGTGTAGGGAGCCGACCGAACCGACCGACCTTTTATTTTATTACATTGACTCTCCTCCCCGTACCCCAGTGACGCTTACATAGAGCCTACATCGCATGCCGGCTAGCTGAGCGCGGTGAGCGGCAACCACGCGACTTTTTTCTAATACTTGCATTTTTAAACTTGTGATATCTTCCGAATGAAATATCCGAATTGAAGCCGTCTTGAACATAAAGTAATTTATTTTGATAAGGATTAATACCAAGGTACAAATAAAGAGCCTTTTCAAGCGGCGGCAAATAAATAAAATTTTTAGAATAAAAAACCGCTTACTGCAACATAACTATAATATTTAGACATATACTGTCGCGACACTTTTTGTAGATAATGATGAGTTCTGCAAAGTCGTAGTAAATGATTTGGTTCTATCATCAATAGTTTTCGCAGCGCACGCGACGTAAGGAATTTTTCAGATCATTTTTTTACACTTTGGGTTACATTATTGGAGTTATATGTAGTAAGGATCCCTATTTTTTTTTAAATATAATATAGCCCATATTACTCGGGAATAATGTAGCTTTCCAATCGTGAAAGAATTTTTGAAATCGGTCCAGTAGTTTCGGAGCCTATTCATAACAAATAAACAAACAAATCTTTCCTCTTTATTAATATAGATAATGTAGACGTCAAAGGAAGTAATTTAAAAAAAATTACGCCATTTTTTATGAATATTGTAATAAATACTTAATAAGGGCGTTTGTGTCAATCGGATTATTGTTTTACTTCATCACTACATCTCAGTAATAGTTAGAATGAAGTATTCCTATTACCTTAACTCTCATTTTGTATCTGGATGAAGGAAACGCCAGTAGAAAATAAAGATCCAGTGATAAGTGGTAGATGTTTTATATACCTCCCTATATTAAATTATATTTTATATTAATGCAGATCCTGGCTATAGCTAGGAAATTGCCAGGTAGAAGAAGAAGATTAATACTCGACGTTTCGCCCACTGCTAAAAATTCACGTACAGTATACATACAAGTTGGTGAAAAAGTATTTATATTTTTCAGTAGGATTTTGAGGATTTCTCTTTTCTATTCTCAACAGGAATAAAGAAAGATCATTATTAGAGACCAGTTCTACAGAAACATGAAAAAATCCAAACTTAACTCATCATCTTACTCTTTCTAAACTTTCTAGGATAGTCGTATTTGTAAAATACAATTATTGTTCATGTATAGTAATAAGAATAGATTTTTTTTATCATTAACATGTATTATTTAGTAAATTGTTGTTATAAAAAATATTAAAATAAAAATGTTTTTACCATGTCACCTTGTACTGAACATACAGATTAGTTTGCAATAAAACATAATATCATAAAGTGCACATTGTCATTTACTTTGACGAAAAAATAAACGAAAAAGTGTATACCTATTCTGCTGACTTAGTTTTATTTTGTATCATTATATATAAATAACCTTGACTGTTATAACAGTTTCCATTTCTTAGTTTAAAATTTAAATCATTTCAATACAATATTTTGTAGTTTTAATCGTTGGTATGTTTCATATCTATTGACTGTCTTCTTATAATAATTATCATTGAAAGATTCTCATAAAGACAAGTCTACATTTATTTTCGCCATTCTGTACCTATATACTAAAATTAATAAGTAAAAGTATTTTTAATTTTTTATTAAATAACTACACAATAGTAATGGTAACTCGTTCTCCTAAATTCTTGGACTTTGTAAGAAATTAGAAAAAACTTAATACAGCTAATCTACTGTCGAACAAATTTAATATTATTTTATTATTATTATATTTTTTCGGCGGAAATAACAAACAATTATAATATATAACCATACTGACTAACTGAAATAAGGAAAATGATATTCTGCAATAAGCCGGAAACAAAGTGTGGAGCAGATGATGGTACTAGAAATGGTTCTTTGTTTTCTTTTATATTCTATTCTCTTGGTCGATCAGAACAATTTGACGCGAAGAATTGAAAAAAAATTGAACAAATATAATTTTCAAAGAAGATTCTTCATGAATTATATACTGGGTTTGTATTTAAAAAACACTAGTTTTCGCCTGCGACTTCGTCCACGTTATTTTGAGAATTAGTCATAAATTATGTATAATATACATAAGTGACCGGACGATCCCTATTCTGCCCCAGAGGCGTTAAAGATATTGGAATTTGTTAAGTTTTTTTTCACGATCGAACAGAATTAAATATCCTATGACCGTCTCCTGGTTCTAAGGTATCTTCACAACAAATTTCAACCATTTCCTATAAAAAGTGTAACTAACACAACTTTATTTTTTACTAATAAGATTATAAGCTGACAAATAAAAAAGTGACGATATTTTATTTTATTATTAAACAATTACTGTTTGTTATTGTACCAAGACATATTTTATATCTTGACTTATATAATCTGAAATCACAAACATATGTATTTATTAGACAACAGTTGTATAATGGTGATTTAGATATATAGTAGTCCTTGCATTTTATTTAAATATTTGTAAAAGAATTTTCTCGTATCACATCGCGGGCCTGGCTTGATTACGTATTATTATTTATCTTTTGAAGGTGTTATAATAAAAATAAATTATGTGTGTCTATGAAATGGGTGTATTTTGATAAGGAATAATACTAAATGATAAGATAATCATGTTAGTAAAATTTGTCCTTGAATTAAAAATATAGGAAGTAAAATTTATGGGGGAAAATTTTCAGGTTTCGGGAGTACATGAAAGCAGTATTTTACAGTCGAGAAAATAATTATATTATACTATATACAATATTTTATTTAGTGCATTTATCATAATACTTCTTTAATTACAGTCTTTCGGAAATTCGAGCTAAGGCCGCAAGTTCGGACCTATTTACTTTAGACGTCGAAGTCATTGGTAGTGCATCCAAAAATATCACGCCTCCAGACAAGTGCTTTTGTTCCGATAATGTTTCTGTAAGATAAAATCTTCAATTTAATTTCGAGAGTATAATATGGCAATAAGGAAAATAAACTGAAATTCCTAAGTCATGATAATGTGTTTTGTTTCTGTTTGAAAAAAAAAATTATTTAAAATAATGTCACTGTCGTTTTCAACAGTGTCTTTTTATAATATACAAAGTATTGGCGTTGTAACCTTCGACCATGTCTTTAATTTCTTTGGCAGTTACAGTACTGCCCTTATGTTTAACCACGCAAGCCACGGGCAGGTCACCATGTTCAGGATGTGGAACACCAGTTACCGCAACTTCGAATACTGCTGGGTGCTTTATTATTACATTCTCTATTTCCAAAGGGGAAACCTGGAGAGGCATTAACAAATCCTGATTATAAAAATCAAATTCAATTGACTAACCACACGATTAATGTATTAAAAAATTCAATTATTATGCATGTCTAACAATTAATATATTTGTCGTAAATTTTCCGTGTGATTTCTCCCATTTCCTTAAGTTATTGTTTCTTCTAATTCAAATCAAGAAAACCAGCTATTTTCTGTGCAAAGAAGTGGTTAATAGTTGATGTATTAATAAATGTTTAAATAATTTTTCTATGTCAACTTTTTATTAATTTAATAGAAATTAAAAATAAACCTGATAATTTTTATGTATCAGCAACATCTTGATTCGTTCCACAAAATAGAAGTACCAGTTCTCGTCCCTCTTAAACATATCACCAGTTTTGAACCAACCATCATCTGAAAAGCTATCTTCTGTACTCTTTGCATCATTGTAATAGCCCTGTGACAAAGAATAAAGGTTTCCTGGACTACGAAGAAATGTTTGTACTACAAAATGCGAACAAAATATTTTAAAGCCGATTAACAAAAAAAGTATGAACATATTTTAACTTACTTTAAAAACGGCTGGTCCTTTTATAAATAATTCTCCAGGAACGTTGGGTTCCATCACATCTAATTTTGTTTGCGGTGAAACCAACTGAAAGTAGAATATCCCTTGAATATTGAAGGTACCATTGAGAAATTTATTGTTTAATATTAGACAAATAGATATTACTTACCCGAATTTCATGAGTGATCGCCGGTCTCCCTACCGACCTTGGATTTGTGCTGTCATAAATAAATGCGATTCCCGATATCTCGCTTAAACCATACGCTGGTATGAAAACCGTTTCTGGAACGACCGTCTATTAAAAATATACTACATTAAAACTTACACTTTATATTATGAATTCTCAAATATTAAGAACTAAAAGTTAAAATTTTTGCGTTTATTACATCTATATAGTTTTGTAAAGCTTCTGATACAGCTAGATATGAATAAGTATAGTAATTTTCGTACGTTTATAGTATCGAAGAGTGTGGATGGTATAGCACTGCCGGCGGCCATAATATGATCGAAACAACTTAAGTCGCATTTATCACGATCTCCCTTCTTGAAGAGCGTAGCCCACATATTTGGACTGCACATTGTAAATGACGGCTACGAAATAATAGTAATTAAAACTTCTTATAAAATTTACATTTAAAATAGCAATTCTTAAAGTATCACCTTATATTTATTTATAATATAGTATGCGTGTTCCTGAGTCATTGGTAAAGAGGACTGGAGACGCGTTGTTCTCACTATTGGAGTATATATATATTGGAATAAAGCTGAATACCATTGTATGGGTGACATTATAACGGATAGGCGTGTTGGAGACGGACAAGTATCAAAGAGGACCCTGAAAGGGAAATCATAATGAATAATGATAAACTAAGGGGAGGTGAAATTTTAGTTGGATCTTTTACGTTAATAGAACTGATAAAAATATTCGTAAAAAACCAATTACAATACAGTTTTTCTTAATTTATCTTCGAAAAATTGCCTCCATAAATGTGTCTTCGTGATAATTTAATGTTATGTAATTATGAATAATGTTACGTAATGATGAATAATAAATGAAACACCTGAACACGCACCACATATTAGCGGCTGAAATTGCAAAGTTTGCATGTGTAGCAGCAGCCGACTTTGGTAAACCTGTAGTTCCACTTGTTGAGATCAGTAAAGCTATTGCCTCGTTTGGATCCAGATTGGTAGCTCTGAAATTATGTACTAATAACTTATTATTTGTATTTCTTTAAATCTTTATGTAATGTTAAATTTTAGAATATGCTTACTTGAATTCTTCAACTGGAGTATCGTCGCCATATTTATCAACAAATTGATGAAAATTCAAGTAATCGCTCCCTTTATCAAATGTCACTATTTTAGCATCAATATTCAAAGAACTTAAAGCCAAATTAACATCTGCAGCTTTTTCGGTTTGGCAAAATATTATTCTCGGCTTGTTTATGTTGAAACTATCCTTAAGTTCATCTATAATCATACATTGTTAGTAGAAGATAGTGTTAAAATTTATGTATTTGAAATATTATAAATAAAAGAATAATTAAAACTCCCACTCACTGATTTTTAAATTCATATCAATTCCTGCAACAATTGCTCCAATGTACATTGCTGCGTACATCGGTATACATAGATGTATGTGGTTTGGTGCCATCAAAACCACCACATCTCCCTGTTTTAGCCCAAAATTCTTTAATGCTGTCGCACATCGAACAGATCGCTTCAGAACTGATTCGAAGTTTTCAGTCTCTCCAGTGGCCCCATCAATCTGTCATCAAGTGCTCAAAATGGAATGAAATGAAATAAAGTTAAAAGTAATAATATTAACAATTTAAACAAATGTAACTGTTAATTCGACATACTTAAAATCGTTTTATATGGTTGCTCTTTAATACAGTGAAAACAATATTTTGAAATGATTAAACTACCGATTACGACGTATAAAGGTTGGAAGCAAAACCCTCCTTTTTGACTTCTATAAAGTTAAAAAAATTGCATTGTTTATGAGTAAGTTGGTACAGGTGAAACAAAATTACCTGTGATAAATAGTCAGGTGCATCTTTAAGACTTTGTAATATTAGTTTTCCTAAATGATATCTGTCAGTTGGTATACCAGAATCAGCCACTATTCTTGAAGATAGTTCTTGTAGGTGCATGTTTACTGCATTCCTGCTTCTTATCCATTTTGCCATGTTTACCTGGTGCAGGAAATCGTTTTAATAGTTTTAAGTAAAAGTATAAATAATTACGCTATTACTTTTGCAATTTACCCCTTTTCCAAAGCATTCTTCAATTTTAGCATATTCAAAGAAATTTTTGAATTAAAGGAGAAGCTATTCTATTTAGATATTGTAGATTCTGTAATGGCACCAATAGATTATTTAATAATAATTAGTTTTTAATAATATCATTATGAGCACATTTAGTAATGACTGTTCTTTCGTATTGTTTTGTTTGGTAAATATTGTTGTCAAATTAGGCTAGCAAATTTATGTATTGTTTTATTTTTAAATATAAATAAATCTTAAGACATAGCATCGTTTGCTCATAGTAACAGTTTTTCGATACATTTCTCACGTCATAATTCGTAATAATTATCATGTTCACTGTAAAAGCATCTTGTCATATCTACTAATATGTTTTCATGTTTCTTGGATATTGTAAGTAAAATGAACTGATTTTTGCATCAATTTAATATCAATAACATCGAATCCTATCACGGAATGCTCACGTTACAATAAAGTAGATCGAGGCGATGGTAAGTATATTTTAGGGCTGACTGGTATAATTAATGGTAGTAATGGTACCGTCTATATTTAATAGTAAGTGTAGCCTATTTAGATTCCATAGCAATACATTATAATTACCGCTGAATTTCATCCAAATGCTTACAAAATCAATATAAAGGTTAAATAAATTACAATAAGAAGCATAAACTTTAATATTAATAAATATTAATGAAACTGTAAAAATATTTATCACTTCCTACTAACAAGACTAACTACTCATAAACTTTTATGGGAAGAAGTAATTCTATAGTATTAATACACTTTATAAATTATAAAAAAGGTTCTGTAACAACTGATTAACGTGGTAGTTGCTTTTAATTAGAGAGAATTAGAGAATTGTGCAGTTATTATGATAAATATTAAAGATCTATAAAAAAATATAATATTAAATTATGTGTTAAGTTAAAACAATAATAAATTAATTGATATAGTAGAATATTACAATAACACTTACTTTATCCTTTTCTGATTTCAGCAGCACTTCTATCAATGGTATTGCCTCTGATATAACTGTTTATATATTGCAATCTTACATAAAAGATAAAAATTTAGTTTTGTTAGACTTAACAAAACTGCACAATATAATATACTTAAAGTAAACGTTGTTACTGTGCTAACAATAATAAAATAATAAATGATAAGATATAACATTTTTACAGGCTATTAAAGATAAAATAACTTTATGAATGATCCCTTTTGTTTTATTATTAACTATTCATTTCATTTAATACGATATAATTTTCATAATTCTCTGTTATAAGTCAAGTAAGTGCTGATACTACATGTGTTCTTACAAATTAAAGGGAATAAAATATGATATGTGACCTTATAAAACTCGTTTCAACGTACTATATGCTATTACATCTATCATGTAGTATTAAAATAAATAAATTACATTTAAAATTTGTTTGTAGTGTAATAGAATAGAATAATCATTCAATGCCATCGTTTAATCCCTATTATCTAATTGTATCACATAAAACAATAAAGTGCTGTCAGAAATGATGGTAATGTAAGTAGTCCTTCCTACTTACGTTACCATCATACATCGAAACGATTTGATTAATTAACAATCAATAGCCTTAGCATATTAATAGAACAGACAATCTTTAGGATCCAATACGGTAGGTAACTATTTAAAAACTTTTGTACTTCTGTATGGAATACTTGAGAAGGGCGGCTGTTTATCCGTCAAATATTATCAGTCTCAGAATCCTTGGGAGTTATGTGATTGTTTGACTTTATATAAAAGTAGTTTTGAGTGGTTTTGAGAAAACGATAAAATTGTTATTTTATCATATTAATTTTTATTTGTCAGATATTTTACATATAATATTTAATTTTTCTTAAGGCTTACTGCAAAATTCTTTAATTTTGTTCGGTCTATCTTTGATGTCGATGTCACAGGTAGGTCGTCCATAAAAATAACGCCTCCCCTCAACTGTTTCGAATCCGTAAGTGATTCTGAAAATTGATTTTTAAGAGAATTTAAAAATAAATTCATAAAATTAATATTTCAATACATTTATGTCGTCAGGAGGTTTTCGTAAGAATGAACAGAGTTTTATTGAAAATATTTTTCATTACGTACTATGGTTAACTGTGTTTTTTGACTGATAAGTTAATTCCAAAATAAAATGATACTCCTCGTTGACATATATCGAAGATAAACACATGGAATATTTTTTGATATTATTACACCCTATAAAAAACTTTCAACTGTTTTCTAAACATCGATTTTATGAAGTTACGATAGTAAAGATTTTTTTTTTAGATCCTATTAATTACCTTTGACCAGATTTTTGACACATTGCTCGGTCAGATCATGACCATTCTTCTTAACCACAAAAGCTACTGGAAGGTCACCGTATTCTGGATGTGGTATTCCTGATACCGCCACAGCCATAACTCCCGGGTGTTTTAATATAACATTTTCTATTTCTAAAGGTGATACCTGAGTTCAAAGTTGAAGAAGGTAGTTAAAAAAATAGTCTAGTGCGAATATTTTCAGACTCTGCATAAACTAGTGTACTTAATATTTCAACAAGACATGATCTAACTAGTATGATTTAAAGTTATGTAAAATTGTCAACTGTATAATTAAGTGCTCCAACAAAAAAAAAAAATGCAACAACCTTTAAATAAAATACAAATGTAGTATCTAGATAACGGTTTAAATGTGTAAAAAACTAATTAATAATAAATCAAGTAATTTCCAGTCACACTTTTTAAATACCTAAAGAATTTATACGATTAAGTACCAAGACAAACCACGCTTGTACTTCGTATTGTTCCTTTTTCTGACTCCAAATTTGTTTCTTTTATCAGCACTGAAAACATTTTGTTTACAGGGTAAAGCTTCAAATTACTATTTGATGGTAATTAGGGGTCGTATTATCTAGACGATTATATTTAATATGTTGTTCATTGTGCTTCATACATTAAGATCAATTTGTGGGTACTTTTAATTTAATAGTGTTTTATACTATGACGTATTATTATTTTATTGTCTTCAAAAAATATTTAGTTTAGAAATTTATCCTATGAAACATTACCTGATGATTCCTGTACTTAAGCAGTATCTTTTGTCGATCCACGTAAAAGAAATTGTAGTTTTCATCTCTATATACAATATCTCCCGACTTTAACCAGCCATCTTCGTCAAAAGCCTGTGCGGTCATTTCAAGATTGTTGTAATAACCCTAAAGAAGAATTTGTTTGTTGACTTAAATTTTTTTACCATTACCAATAATATTATATGAATTTGTGTATTTTAGATCATACTTTAAATATAGATCTTCCTTTTAATCGTATCTCTCCAGGCTTATTTGGTTCAAGAATTATTTCTTCTGTTTCAGGGTTCACGAGCTGTAAGTAAAAAATATTGTAATTATGTTTTATCTTTTCATACTACTTTTAATAAATTTGGCCTGCAATTAAAAGGTCAATAATATTAATCATTGAGTAAACTATATTTTAAGTTTACGAACTTTCCAATCAACATGTTCCATTGGTCTTCCAATTGAACCCAGAGGTACGTAGTATGGTGAAAATACAATACCGGACGCCTCACTCATACCGTAACCCACTTGTATTATTACATTCGGGCTAACTTTCTGAAATGAAATCATGGTTCATTAATAATGAGGATCATTATTAAAATATTAACCAAAATATTTCTGTGACAATATGAAAATACCTTTAGGTCTGAGTAAAGTTCTTTGGACACAGCACTTCCACCAATTAACATATATTGGAACGATGTGAAATCACATTCATGATGCTGATCACTTCTAAGTAAAGTTGTCAAATATGTTGGACTACAGATGGTATACTTTGGCTAAAATAAAAATTTGTTATAGGATATTCCAAACAAGTAAGATCCAAATTGTCTCAAATATATGTGACTACGAAGTAGATCAGGTAAGACTTTCTATATACCTTATATTTATTGATTAAGTAATAAACGTGTTCAGTAGACAGTTGAGTTGATGTTTGTAATCTTGTGTATCTCAAAATTGGTGACATTACTATCTGGAAAGTTGATGAAATCCACTGAATTGGAGATATCACCAAACCTATATCAAATGGATGAGGAACTTTTGAGAAACCTTTCCTGCAAAACACAAGAAAATAGTGGTATTAATTCAAGGAGATAATGAGGAAAAATGTGAAGTTATTTAAAAAAATATTTTAATATTATGAAAATGGTGGTATTAGTTCGAAAAGATAATGAGGAAAAACGTGAAAATTTTATTTGTTATGATGATTAAAAAAGTATTTTAATATTAACGTCACCATGGCCACGAATCAAAATAAACCACTTTTCCTAAAAAGAAAATATAACTAATCTAACCTGGAAAGAATAAAATTAAATAAATGGGCATCAAATGAATAAAACCAATCTTTATCTGATTTAATTCAACTTCAGATATAATTATGGTAGTACATACGTAAAAGAAATTAATTGATTATTATTAAAAGCATTACTAACCCATTTTGAATGAAACCAACACTTATATTCTGGTGAGTTAGTACAGCTACTTTAGGTAAGCCTGTGGAACCGCTAGTAGCGACTAACAATCCTATGGTTTCAACTGGGTCAAAATCGCAAATCCTACAACGTTTAATCAAATATAGTTAAATCATTCACTTAATATACTTAGGAATTATAGTTTTTCGTACCTGAAATTTTCAACGGTAGTATTGCCACTGTATTTAGAAATGAATTTTGTAAAACTCATACAGTATTGCCCGTCGTCGAACGTAATTATCTCAGCATTACCTTTTATTCTTGCAAGTGCTTTACGAACTATTTGCAGATTCGAGTTCTGACAGAATATCATTTTTGGCTGGCCCGATTTAAATGTGTCCGCTAACTCATCTATAATATTATAAAAAGTTTTAGTTAGGATCTTCTTTTAATTTCTCTTCATAAAAATTAAATCTCCTTTTTATAAAAGGTTGATTTTATATGTTGTATGCAGTCACGATTGACAGGGCATATTAAATATCGCTTAACAAGATAGACATATGAAATATTTTATATAAAAGACATTATTAATTTGTCTCTGCAAAATAAACACAAACTGCAGAAAAAACAAGGGCAAATTTATATTAATTTTCAATTTAGTATAAGTTGTGAAATTTTTCAACACTTCTTAGCCCTGTTTGGGTGTTGTTCTGAATTCTATCTGTGATTCTATTTCTTATTAGCTCAATGTGATAAACTCAATGAATTAGTTTTTAGGTGAAAGTGCAACAAATATCGATACATCAATACAAACTATCACGCTTACATTGTTAGTGGGTTTTATTGATGTCAAAGATCAATTTGATTTACTTACTCTCTCCCAAGGTAAAGTCTATTCCAGCGAAAACTACTCCAGTACAGAACGCGGCGTATAATGGAATACTGATGTGAAGATGGTTCGGTGCTATGACCATTACAACGTCTTGGTATTTCAGGCCAAAATTTATGAAACTAGCAGAACACATTACCGTCCTCTCCAAAACTGACTTATTCGTTTCCGTCTCACCTGTTCCTCCGTCTATCTGAAAATTTAGTAAGTGTTCTTTTTTTAGTCTCTAAATCCACGAATCGTTAATAATAATAATAATCAAAATCATCATAATTTTATCGAATAGTTGCATAGTCTTATATGTAGAATCTGAAGTCAGTTGAAATCGGGTGACAACTAAAAGTATCTGAAAACCTTACTTATTAGTACTGCTTATACATTGGTAGGCTTCCAAGCTTTAGGCACTCGGCAACTCAATATAGAAGTACTATCAATGACTTTAATTTAATAAAATTGTGTTAAATGACTAACTATTATTCAAAAAGCTGAAAGATGTGAGCAGTCCTGTATTATATACATATGTTGATTCTTATTTTCGACTATTTGGTATAAGCAATATAAATTTAAATTTATCTACTTAATTGGATGTATAGTATTATAAATTCGAACCCAATAGCCTCTGGTTGTAGTTAGAAGTTATTGACTTATAAAAAAATATCAATAGATAAAAAGTACGTGTAAAGTATCTGGAATTTTCCATTTTGTCTAAAAATTTTCAAAGTTGAATACATAAAGACGACCATTTTTGTTCCTGTATATCCATTAAATATTCTTAAACAATAAAATTATGCCTCAATGTAAACATTGAATTTTTTTTATCTTTAAATAACTGCACATATATTACGTACTTTACGTAACATATTTACAATTTCTTTTTAACTAAAACCCCTTAATCTTTAATAGATAACATTGGTGTGACTTTGTACCTGTGCTAAAAAATTCGGTGTTTCTTTGAGACATCGTATGATTATTTTTCCAAGATGCTCTCCATCAGTCGATATTCCAGATTCAGCTATAACCTTATTAGTCAACTCCCTGAAGTAATAATTGCATACGTCAAAAGACTGCTGCATTTCTGTAAAATAGTTTTTATTTAAGCCCAGTAAGTCTGTAACAGCCTGCAAGGAGTAAGTCTGTGAAACAGCCTACAAGCTATTAAATTATTATTATTTTAATTACTCTGTGTAAATAGCTATATGAATAATAATTTTTTCTCTTAATAAAATTATTAAAAATATCTAAAGGTATTTTCTATACTCATCGGTATGTCATTGTTATTAATTTAAATCGCAGAGATTGTTTTGTTAGCAATAATCCACTTTTGTATGTAGTTTGCTCAGTCTTATAAAATGTTTAATAAATTGTGATGGCTTTATTATAACATCATTAAGTTCTTTAAAAAGTCTATAAGTTTAATAATAATTAGCTACATTTAAAAAACAGTTATAGGTTAGCTTAACTCTAAAAGTTCTTATTTCAAACGAATTTCTAATCGAAAATTGCTCATAAAAGTTTCTGTGCATCAGCAAATATCTTGTTTAATTTTAAAATATACTGAAGAACATTTCTGTGGATAGGGTCTCTGTTATAAGAAAACCCAAAAAAATAGTTTTGATACTAAAATCCGCTTTCGATTCTGTGAGTCTTGAGATTTTGGAATTCAGAAAAAAAATAAACATAAAACTTTCTGTTTATCTTCGATAAAAAAAATCTGACATTTATGTTAATTGTACGAAAATTTATTGCCTAGTTTTCTCTACACGTATTGAATATAATGTTATAGACTTCTAGAGAAATGATGGAAGTTTTTTCAAATGTTGTCCATGCAGTCGTCTTCCTTATCGTTTTTATTATACTTTTATTGACAAATGGTTTAATATTACGTGAATTGTAAGAAAATTTCCAGAAGCTGTATTTTAAAAAGCCGAATGAGCCTTAATTTGTTATAAATCTATTCGGTTCTATTTCCCAACTATTTGTTATCATTGTTATAGTCATTGTATAAAAATGTGTGCTTAAAATCAATAATTTTAAATAACTAAATTTGATATACGAGTTAAATGAACGAGAAACAGAGTAGAAAGAAATTTAAGTCATCAAACCTACATTCATATAATTTCTAGTCCTTGTCATTACAAAAGCTTAGTTAATTCTAAATAAAATATATTGAATTACGCTTATATATAAAACCTTAATGTCTAGTACCTATATATAATGTGTAGTTATTAACCATATTCATATATTTTAGCTACTATGCTCTGCTTTCAGAAGAAATTTAATAACTACGCAAAAAGCTTTCAAAAACCCTAAAAACATCGTGAGAATGGCTAGCTATAAGGCCACCTCTCACAAATAGTCCTTTAAATACAGCATGTGATAATATAGGTATTTTTAGTTTTGTTTATATTTTATCTATTTAGATATTTATTTGTAAATATCTGTTTTCTTTTAATATATGTCGTATATGGTAATTTAGTTCAAAAACTTTTTTTGTTATATGTTATTTCATCTGTGGTGTGCATAATTTTAATTAGTACAGAATAAAGAGAATCGTTAAACCATCGTAGTTTTGTTACTAAAATCCTCAACAATAATAAGATCATTGTATCACTTTTTAATCTCAGATTTTTAAATATATTTAAGGGTAAGTAAAAAAAAATACGAACAACTTTACAGGAATAATAGAAAATCATAATTCGAATAAAAAAAATTTTGAACGAATAAAATAAATCGAGAAATAATTCACTGATATCACTTATAAAAAGGACTTACCTAAAGTTAAACAATGCAATTATTTGCCTGACGATAGTTTCACGTTCAAACGACCGATATGAACTGAGTATACATTATATTTGAAATCGTTGACATCATTAGTTATGATCAATATATACATATTTATATAGCAGTTATTATATTAATATAATACAAACTATATTTGTATGTCTGTTGTTAATTTATGTGTTTTAATTATAGTCATCGTTCCTCTAGTATCTAATAAATTATCTTGTTACAAATATTGGTCGTTAAAAAGTTCACAAAATAATTTTTATCATAATAACTGGGCCAAAGTGAACATTAAGCAATTATATGCAATCATCTGTGTTTTAGAACTCGTTTCTTGAGATGGTATTGTGAGTAACTGTTTATGTGTAGGATTAGTTTGAGTTTTAACATTAAAAATTAATTCATAAATATCTTTTCAGTAAAGTTTTAGTAGAAAAATCAATTTTTCAGATATTTTTCGTTCATATAAGTTTTACAAACACAGTAATAATAATGACTTGTAGGGTAGGCACAGCGCTTTAGGAGTTATCTAAAACAGCCTGTTATACTCAAAGTTGTAAAGAAAAGTCCGGTGTAATGCCATGTATAAATAAAGATAACAATAGTGATAGAGTAAAAAAAATATTGAAAATGTATGCGTAGTGAAAAAATCACAAAGCTCATATGAACATAGCTTAACAGAAGGACTTATGAACTTTCATTAATAGTGAATGGTTTTAAATATTGTTTAAGTCTACGATCTTAAAAATAGGTTACCATATGACGCAATCAAACAGATTTCAGATATGGTAATTTCGTAACTTTACTTAAACAATTGGAAATAATCTCGTAAAATTTTAACTTAAATTAAATATTTTATTATAAATAATCTGAGGTTATATAATTTTTATATGCTCCGATAATATTTCGTGTTATTTTTATTATAATTTTAGTTCGAAATAAATTGTCAATCAAATCCTAGTGAGATTTCATGAAACAGTCTGTTGCCTTTAGATTTAGAGATAAGAAATTTATAATCGAGCATTTTTCCAACTAAGACAAAAATTATGACAGACATAATACCATTGTTGTCACATTGTATACGTATGCACATTTGATAATTGTTCATAGGATTAAGATAAATTTATTTGTTTATAACATGACTAGATACAATTTGTTGTATACGTTTTATTAATTAATCAAGTATTATTAGTTCTTTATCAATATAAGTGCATATGTCCGATTAACAAGCAGGTATAAGGTTATATTCAAGAAACAATACCACTACACATAGTACTGCTAAAGTCATAGTATCTACTATTGAAACTTCTGAGTTTAAAATATATATGAAGCAAAGGAAATTTCTGTGACTAGACTATACCGTTGGATAGTATTGTAAGGACTATACAATTACAATTACAGAATTGTATTATTATTGTATTATAAGATTATACAATTACAGAATTGTAAGTACTCAAATTAGACATAATACTTAGCTAGTATTGAAGATAAATAATTAGCACTAGACTTATTCACATCCTGCTGTGCCCATAGACTTATAAACGTGTATATAGGCTCATATAAGTAAAAAGGGATTTTTAGGGGCTTCAATAAATAAATGTGTTCAAAAAACATAATGTAGCGTAAAACAAAAGTTATAACATTTAAAAAAAATCGCAAGCATTCCTTATGATTTAAATCATTAAAACATCATCAATACTGGTAGGTGTGGAGCAGTTAATAGAGTTATCATATGAAAAAATGTATAACATCATATTTTTGAACTACAAGTAATACTCATAAAGTTTTAGGTGGTATTAACTAAACATAGATTAGAATCAACGGAAGATAACTGGATTTCAATGGAAAAAAATAGCATAGCAATCGGTAAATCCGTTATTGAGTTATGATGCCAGAGACACACACGCACGTACACACACGCATACGCTGATTGATGTCAAACTTATTAGAATTCTCTTTTTTGCTTAGGGGGCTAAAAATTGACAAAAAGAAAAAATCCTTTATTAATATCATTCTTTAAGACTGCATTTATTTATCATTTATATATATCACGTTCATACTTAAATAGAACAGTCCGTGAATGAATTTGCATTAATTCATAGATGGAAAATGGCAAATTTTTAAAGAAAAAGGAATAAGAATTTTCTTCATATATGGAGTGGTAATGAAGGTTACAATAATATACAATAACATCAATTATCAATAGCAAAAATATGTAATTCGTTGAGGTTAATGTAACTGTAAAAGGTTTTTTTAATTTCACTTTTATTGAAAATCTATTATGTAAATCTACATTATGAGATGATATGCACACAAACATGCATAAACGCAAGAGTACATCCGTAAGTGCCTGTGCTAAGTAGCAAGCCTTGTACCATGTTTGTGTGTATGGATAAGGTAAACAAAGAACGCTATCATTAAATGTCGCAAGTCATTGTTTTGACATATCAAATATGACACAATATCTACACTACTTAAAACTATTACGCTATAAATATTTACCCTTATATATTTGTTCAAAATATGGAATCTTATTTAAAACATTTTTTTAATTCCAATGGAATATTTTGCTACTCAGGTTGTGATTAAGCCTTTTTTGCGCTGCTATGTCTACTAGCACGTAACTGATTTACGCATGCTCTTCTGCTAAGCAGAGACCTCAATTTATGTAGGAAAATTATATTTTTAAGTACGTACTGTCCTCCTTCACTTTAGAGACAGTTTAAAGATGTATTTATATTTCCTATCTGCCCTCTGACGCACCCGTTGTCAACGCACATCCCGAAGGTCGTTTGATATACATTATACAAGGTACATGCCCTCTTCGTAAGTCGTAATCGGAGCCAAGTGACAGATTTATGCCACAAACTTGATAAAGTACTAATTATTGTGCCTAATTATTGTGTACAACGTCGACATGAAGTTGATTTATTCTTTTGACTTTGCTAAGATTGCGAAAAGGGACGTACCAGAACTGTTGAAGCATTGAACAACAATAAGTTTTTCATAAGGGATACTAAGACGCATTTCAGAGAGCGTCCATGACAATGGTTTCTGCGTAATTTTGTACCATTTTCAATGTACTATACAACCCTGTCACCTAGGTAACTGCTCCTGATAGACTCCTAGAAGATAGAAAGAGGACTAGATTTTGTCCTTACGTGAAATGATTTGTGGAAAACAAAAACCAGATAGCCTTAGTAAATTGTGAAATGAAATCAAGAAATCTGAACAGCGTGAACCCATCGGCGTAATATTCTTCTTTCTTTATCATCGTCTTTCCTTATAAAAATATCCGGTTGATTAGACAAGGCACTGAATTTGTATTTTTTTTTGTTTTATACATATTAAAATGGTAACAACTATAAAGCAGTTAGATACATCATGTTTGTTTCATTATGTTTGTCGACTTGACTATTAGGAGTTAACCAAAGATCTATGCATTAACATAGGTAGTATTTTTAGTTTCGATTTAACTGTAGCTGTTAGTCCTAATAGCTTTGACAGCATCACCGGGACGGGTGGTCCGATGGGACCAACCCATTTTTATTCGGGCCTTAAGATAAGTAGTTACCCTAACAATTGTTTTCCATATATTTCTTTTATGTGCTAGTATTTTCTGAGAAGTAAAAATACAATTGGCTTCATAACAAGCCATAATATAAGTGCTCGCAGTATCAGTCAGTGGAATTTAATTGCACGTGTCGCAATGCACAACAACAAGCTACAAAAATTTCCATTTATTAAGTTGCCAAATAAAACACCGCCTTGCACTATTTAAGAGCAATACACAGAGCAAACAAATTGATACATATATCTTTAAGGTACTATCTACTGAATGATTAAACAAAACATATATTTTCTTAGCAATAAATTATATCTGTTGTTATTTGCTTAAATAATCGAAATGTGATACTATTATAGTAATATATATTTGAATATTGAAATATGTAATTAAATAAAATTGCATATATTTTTAATTTATTTATTTTAATCATGGGTAAGTACTTATGTATTATAAAAGTAAAAACGTTATACCTCGTTAAATGAGTAAATAAATTCCTTAAGGAATTAAATAGCAATAAATATTTAAATAAATAAACATACACATTTGCTTCTACCATCGGGTCTAAGCATATTTATATCTGTCATGTTAAAATCAACTTAAAACCCAAGGGGACTACAACATAATATTGTTTATTGAAGTCTCCTTTGGTTCAGAAACAGAATCTTAATTGAGCACCGATTATTACATTGAAACAGTTTTCACCTCTTGAAAATAATGGACCTGAAGACAAGGGTTGTTTGCAATTACCTATATGGAAGCCATTCTTGTTGATAATATCTGACAGAATAAAAATTATTTATGAATTACAAAGAACTAAGATGAATTTGACTCCTAACGAATGTAGTCACAAGACAACTCAGAGAAAACAAAAATATAAAAAAGTATCGTATTTTTAGTTAGATTCTGAATGTTTTAGGGGTTGGTTGGCTGGTTTGGAATGTTCATTTTGACGAACACATAGTGACCATTCATATAATTTTTCCATCGCTATTTAAAAATAAAACAGGTATTTTTTTGTATAAATTTTAATAACATCCTGGTTTGTGTCAAAAAAAAACAACTTTAACAGGAACTTAAAAATGTTTCCGTACAAATTAAGTAACAATAGTAGCTCAAAAATATAAAATAATGATTATAAATCAAAATAAGTTGTGTTCATTTCTGAAATACCTCAGTAATGTGGACTAAATCTTAAATAGTCTTCTTCAAGGATCTTGATGACTTATCCTTCATGTAAGATATATACCAATACTGGTAATTTAAAACTATTACTCTTACTTTAAAACTAGTACATATATGTAGACATAATATGGTGCCATTTAAGGGGTCCCTTAAACTTACACCTGGGTCGCAAGTCCCAGGCACTGTTGAAGCTCCTCTCCCTTGCAACGCGATGGAACCGGCACCCGCACGGTGAATCCATGGAATGCTGAGAAGCTTCGTCTCATTTATAATCTACAAACGGAGTTCAATCGTTGCATGTATTAGATGGAACAGCATACTCGTATATGTATATCAACCAGAAAAGGTTATTTTTTTACAAATATGATAATTCATAATCAAGCATGCATGGTTCACCTGAATGGTATATGAAATTTAATGGTAACCACATTTAATTTTAATTGATTAAGAACAAAAAAACATACAGAAGGTTAAAAAAGGAGGTTGGTTTGTTTGTTACAAAACTCAAGCAATAAATATGTAGATTGTGTCAAGAACGAGATATTTATCTTAATAATTATCTTACAGAAATGTTGTAGTCTAGAACACAATTCAAACAGGTAGATGAATATTTCCGGCACATTAAATTACAGAGGCATCGGCATTAACAAGAAAATAATGACGTCATAAAAATTATATTAATCAAATACATAGAATTATTCTCAATGGACATCTTTATTTTTTGTTTATTATTTGAAATTGTTATCTAATAGAAAATATAACAGAAAGCTGAATTCTCTTTTGGATTTCCTTATTATTGTATTATTAAAGACTTCTTTTAAAAGATTTTTTCTTATATTTTTTACATACTAACGTCATTACGTTCATAAAAATAAAAACCTTTATACATTTGTGTCTACGAAATTATGTTAATATTTTTATTCGCCTCTTAGTATAATTAATTAGGGCCTTAGAAATATATAGTTTACATTGCATTAAGACGCCTTGAGCTGTTAACTCGTGTGCACGTTAAAATGGAAAAATATCTCGGAAAAAAATATAAATTGAAATCATCGGACAACTTTGAGGAATATCTCAAATTTATTGGTGAGTTTTTTAATATATATGTATGTATTTTTTAATCAAATAGATTTTATGCTATGCGACATATATTGTTTTTTAGTTATTTTATATGTTTTTAAGACAAAAACGTATTGCTTTTTATTATCTGTGTATTTAGTAATTTAAGATAAGTTCCTAACTAAGCTGATAGCACGTTCTTAGGTCAGGACATGTATTTGTATGCAAATAGAAAGAAATTTATCATGTCTTCACACAATTTATTAACGTTTCCTCATTGATACAGGAGAAATTATACATATAACAAAATATTATTTAAGTATGACATAATATTTAATTTATATGTTTTCACCTTTTATTATGTTGTATGTAAATTATAATATAAAAGTAATTAATTATATGTCTGAAGTGAATATATTTTAGATGTTATCCAACTTAATTGGTTAGCTAAGTTTTTAATTACAGTTTTTTGGCTTTTGCAATGAATATAATAAATTATTCTTTTAGAGGAAGTATAAATTAAAACTGGTTTTAATAATACGAAGTTAGAACAATAAGGATAAACTCGGTAACATTATTTAATACAAGTTTTTATAACTGCAACAAACAACGTGAATCTGAGACAAGTTGGGTCTGTCCGTCTCTGATTATAAGCCGAGTTCATTTAGCCGTTCACTTAAAGATAACCAGCCAAACAACTTAGCTTAAAGACTTAAACAGCTATTTGTAGCTTCCATTTGAGTTTACTTGAATATATAACAAAATAACTTGTAGAGCGGATCACTGCCTGGGAGATTACGCGTTATTTCAACTATTATCACCAAAAGTTTATCTTAAAACTTGTAATCATCTAAAAGGTTATAATTACTTGGTCAATATATCTTTTATTTCCAAAGACCAGAAATATATCTTAGAATTGTGATTTTTTTGTGCGGTTCTGGTAGATTTAGGAATACGTGTATATTTATACTATGTGATTATATACGTGTGTAGAAGTTTTTTGACGAGTTTAATAAAATTTATACATTATTTGACTGAAGTCTGATTTCAATAAAATTTGAGTCATTAAAAGAGTATTATAATTATGTAAACCCAAAAAGAATTTTCATTATAAAAGCCAACTTTCCCATTATTCTCATTTAAAGGGAGTCAGTTGTGGCACAGTTCACGTTCATACGACAATGTTAAACTTTATTTAAACATTCGTATATAAATAAATATATACATATATTTATGTACAGTTGAATACATTCCCCAATGTTCCATTAAAACAATGTTTTATTATTTTCTTACTTAAAAAACCTTTTAACTAATTTGCATTAGCTATTATCACTTGCCGGCGACTAAACAGACAAAACAGAAAAACGTAGTTTTATTTAAAAAGAAGATATAACTATAATATTAAATGGATTTAAAAATAATCAAGTATTATAAGATATTTAACATAAATTTTTCGTACTAAAATAAATAATTATAGTATATTAGCCTATACAAATAATTAAAAAATGCATGTAGGTCCCACGTTTCGTAAAATAAGACAATGGAACCGGTTCTGTTTCAGTTCAATTAATACCTACAAGTTCTTTTGTAGTAAATAAATATGGTTGCGTAAGACTAGGCATTGTATAAATGTATCCGTTATATGCATTGTAATGATTTACTTAGTTTTATGATCCATTATATAAAACACGTTAAAAATTTTGATAACTCATTTTTATATAGGTACGTTTATTATTAAACAAAAACTCTTGAAAATATAGTGTTCTATTTAAACATGAGATTGTATTTACATTATTGTTAACTTTAATACGATATAATAAAATTTTAATAATTCCGTATTTATAATATTATTACGGTAATATTTCGAATTATGTAGTTCATATTCAAATTTAAAGTATCAAACTATGTATGGCCTTTGTCTAATTTAAATTTAAAATGTGTTAAGTCGTAGTCACTTACGAATATATTATCTATTTAAACAAAGTAAGACTGAATTTTTTCGTTTTAAGAAATGTTATTTTCTTTTTGTCCCCAAAACTTTATACGTTCCAATATGAAAAATTAACATTAAATTTTTATCAAAAATATCGTTTCGTTTAAGTAAAACTACGTAATAGTTTACCAAATATATTGTCAACAGGTTGCTAAATTTCATATCTCGAGTATGCTAATTAAATTATATTAGAATGTTTATACAAAAAAAAATTGTGTGGTTTTGAACATATTTATTTCTGCATTTTGACGCAAAAATTACACATCGGAAGTTGTTTGAAGGTTATTATTAAATGATTAAAATTTATAACATCTTTTTACATAAATATATTTTTTTAATATAATATATGAGTCGTGTTATATAAATATATCATTCTCGTAAAATTATGTCCTTAAAGTAGGATTCCTTATTCGTCAAGGTTTGTCCAGTGTCAATAAAAATAAAGAATCTGGATGGATGCCGTTCTGAAATTTACTAACGAAGCAATTTAATATTTCGATATTATTAAAATATTAAAATCTTGCTGTTACTTCAAATACATCACTATCATATATTTAGATTCAAACTGTGATTTTTTCCCTTTTCTAACGTGTTTTATCAATTTCACTTCGAGATATAAGATGAAACTAGAAGATCGAAAAGTAGCTTGTAATTACCCATACTTTGTCATGCAGTAAATATTCTTTTTATTGTAGTTAACATTAATAACTAGATTTAATACGTTATTAATATTGGATGTAATACATTGAAAGACAACATTCTTTTTCAGTTTAAAAGTTTAATTCAGTTTAAAAGGAGCTTAACTGACTATGAGCCATAATACAGGGGATAACACTCACAACGAGATAAAAATCAGACTTTAGCTCTTATGAAGTCCGTTATATTACTTTACAAGATTGGGTGGATTTAGTTCTACGATCCAGCGTCTAGTCTCGCTGGATAGATCATTTTTGGATATTGATTATCGTGTTGTTAAGAGGCTTAGTTATCTTCTCAAGAATCAAATCTTGAACAAATTGTGTCCGTGTTTTAAAGATACCTTTATAATAAAAATAAAAGTCATTCCCTTTTTCATGACCAACACCCCATCAAACTATCTGTGAAGTCATATAATGACCTCGTTGACCCTGTTGACCATTTAGGAATTCTCTTTAAATCTTTCATCATAAACAAGGTATTGTTTCTTAGATTGCTAAATTGTAAAATAAATATCCATAAACAATTTTTTTTTTTGACAACCAGCCTTCTCGTTCCTATTAAGTAGTTGTTTTGTTTTTATTACATTATTTGTTTTTAAGCTATCACCTCAGTAATGATCGATAAATTTTCTAAAGGTAATATGAGACGAAACCTCTTAGCATTCAATGGATTCACCGTGCGGGTGCCGGGTCCACCGCGTTGCAGGACGTTATGTTATCAGTGAAAATACGTATATGGTTTTTTGGTGATATATTTATCTCACTAAATAAAATCTTTTGCCTTTACTGCTGTGCCCGCTTTTTTCGTGGAAACACTATGTGAAGGGTCAAATCTTTTTCTGTTACAAACAGAGGAGTACTATTTGCCACCCAGATAGATATACAAAAAAATATATACTTTGAAGAAATAAGACTTCACTTAAATATTTATATTGGATGGACGATAAATATGTGGGACAGACAGAACCTTCCAGAAGTTCTTCATTACTAGCTTAAGACAGAATTTACAGTATGAACTTCTCACTATTAACATATCCTTTTAAAGTAATTAAATAATAAACATCTTAAACTAAATAAATATTTAATACTGATGCATTAAAGAGGTTAATAAGCGATTATTTATTTAGCATCATGTATAAACTGTGCGAGAACTACTTCTACCGCACTTATTTATTTTAAAGTATGAAGCAGTAATTCAAATGTCAAAAAAACTGCATGGGAAATAAAAAATAAATTTTAATTTATAAAATTTGATAAATTTACGTATTTTATTTATGACAATAAATTGTATGTGTCATAAAGATGTTAATTAAGTATACATATAATTGTACGATTTCAAGTTCCCACTTCACTTGGATTAATTATACTTATTTAACTTGTAAAAGACAAATGTCGACAATGACCTTTAAAACAGTAAACATGAATTGATTTATTAGATAATTTTCCTCTTCACTTATTTCATAGGATAATTGCCGGTGATTCAAAATAAAAATGATTATAGACCTACGTTCCGGCTTAAAAGTTTTTTGTCGAACAAGAGCGTAAAATATTATAATTTGTTTGAAATACTAAATTCAAGATTTTATATGGTTATGAGAAGGTAAAGCCGTGTTGCCATTGAACCTTAAACAGAAATATTTGTAACCAGATCAGGCGTATCAAAATGAGAGCTTGACTTGTTTTCTGTATTCGGACGTATCCATATTTAGGAAACTTGTGCAACTAAAATTGGTCAAGTTCACATTAGCCCATTAAAAAATATTATGAGCACGGTACCTTTATTAAAATAATATGTAACTCTGTTTTAAATTGTTTTAAATATTTTAATGTATAGAGGAATTGTCCGATATATAAAAAAATATATCTACATCTTATGAAAGACACCAATAAAACTAGCATAATATTATGAAACTTTACAAAAGTATTTCTGTTTCATTTTCATGTTTAATATTATTTATTTTATTAAATGAAGATGAACGAAATTGTTCCCATTAATTATTAGTGTATAGTTAAAATTTTAAATCATAAAAGTTTCTTAAAATACAAGGAATAAATTATAAAAAAGTGTTCATTTAACCTAGCGTAATTCTCTTCATGTTTTGTTCATCAAAACTTCTATTAATTAACATATAAACATACAATTTAAATTGTATTAAACACTGTTTTAAATATAAATCGTATTATGTATACAAAAAGTCGTCGTAAATGTCGAAATATAAGGAAGTGTCTATTTTTTGCTTGAAATAAAATAATTCATTAATGACTTGTTATTTTGCGTATCTTCTTTTTACTTTATGAGAGGTCTTTGACGCTAATACATAGGGCTATTAAAATATTTGCAGAGGTGGGCCTATTATCACGGAAGCTGGTGACTTCACTGTCTCCAGTCAGTGTGCTGACCAAAAACGAAGATGGCTCATACTCTCTTACAATGATAACTCCGATACGGAAGGTTGTCATTACCTTCCAACTCGGAGTGGAATTCCAGGAGGACAGACCAGATGGTATCAAAGTGAGTAAGAAGATTTTAAGTAACAGTAACATCGATGATATCTCTCCATTGAAATAAAATATTTGTAAACTTATCTACTATTGCTTCAAACTATCAAGACTATAAAGGATGTAAAATAAATTGTTAGAATGAAAAAAATGTTGCACAATCAACATCGTAGGCCATTTATTGGACTAGACTGAATAAATTAAAATATTTTATTTAACACAGAACAGCTGCATAGAACTGCTTGTTACTGATATTTCCATTTGTGATTTATAGAGTATTGTTTTTTTTTTAATCACAATAGATGACAGCTATAGTAAATAAGAAACTTAATAACTCCTGATCAACCTAGCGTGCAATGTACATATCTTGCATATTTGTCTTACGTGGTTTATTCTGATAGATATAATTGATAATGTAAAAAATAGATACATTTATGTACAATTTCAGGTCACATCAACAATGCATCTTGACGGGGATAAGTTAATCCAGACCCAAGTTGAAAGTAATGGTAGGAAGTCTACGCACGTCAGAGAATTTACAGACAAGCTTTTAACAGTGGTAACTATTACTTTTTTTAATTTCATGACGTCCAAGGTCTTCGACGTTCTGCCAATGACATAAAATGATAACAATAAATAATGACAATTATTTTTTTCAGACAACAACTGCTGAAGGTTGGGATGGCAAATGCATTAGAATATACGAATTGGTGGAATAATTATACGGTTACTATAAATGGCTACTATTAATTAACTAATCATAATTGTACAAAATATATTGAATTTTAATATTTTTTATGTATTTATAATAAATATAATATTTTTCATATCATAGGTGAGGAAATGAGTTATTGTTTGCATTTATTTTTTATCCTTTAAACCTTAGTGAAGCGATATGGCAGTATTCAATGAAATACACGTTGAGTATAAGGAAAAAAGTCTTCCTGTATTTTTAGTGAAATGCCAATATTAATTTTAAACAGTAAACAAATAATTCAATAAGATCGGTCATTAAAAGTAAATTAAATGAGCAGATTTTAATTAATATGATTTAATTAGATTAAAAGAAGTCTTTACAAGATAATTAGAGTAGGACATAAGTGATTAATGTTTTGTTTATTTGGTTTTTTTACTTCACGAAATCACTACTTTTCACCCTTATAGCATTTTCTATGACCCGGCGAACTTCGTATCGCCCTATAATCAAGAAATATCTGTTACGTTATTTTATTTATAATTTTGAAATTTACCTACTAAAGCCATAAATCTCCGTGTTTTGAAGTGCGACAGAATGATTGACATATTAATTAGTTGTCAAATCTAATGTCAAAAAAAGCGTTTGTATCAACAACTACTAATAAATTAAAAAAACATTGACCAGCGGACAAAATTGTGAATCTAAACAATTCCCAGATCCCCTTGAATACAAACAAAAAATTCCATCAAAATCGGTCCAGTCGTTTAAGAGAAGTTCAGTGACATACACACTCACAGAAGAATTATATACATATATAAAGATAAATTGAAGAGGTTCATCACTATTATGTTTAAGAAAGAAAATAAAGAAAAGTATTATATGTTAACTGTTTCCATTATAACATTCTTGCTAATGGAAATATAAAAAACAATTTCATACTTTGATGGAAATAAGTTATTTATGGATAAACAAAATACAACTGATTTTGTATCTACCACCAATTGGAAAAATGTTGTTTCAATTAACTCATTTGAAAATAATGACTTTGAAATGATATGTTAATAAATTTGTAAGTATCTAAAGTTCAAAATAGATAATTGTACGAAAAATATTGAAAAGTTATGAAAACTGAACTGGTTTTGTCTTTATTCAAAGATTTGGAAATTATATGTTAAAATATCTTAGTGTAGTTGAAATTATCAAGAAATGCTAGTAACTTTCCCTAACTTATGTCTTTCAGTACAGAACCCGTATAATGAAAATCAGAACTTATTTCAGTGGTCACTCGATTTATTTTTAATCGATGTTTAAAGTGGCACACGATAAAAAATATATATTAAGATAAAAACAATGCTACTCGATTCCATATCGATATTTATCGCAATTTATATTTACGAATTGATATGACACCACCTTAAACAAATAATAGTTATCGTAAAACTTTTATCTGAAATGCAGTGCGAATTGATGTTATTTTACAATTTTATATTTATAATCTAATTTTGTATTCATATCAACTATTTTCACTGAAAAATTTATTTAAAAAAATTGTTACTTTCCACAAGCAATTTTGTTGTTTCATACCTAAAAACTACATTAGTTTTAAATCGACTTCAATAAATAAGATCTTTGTTTCGATTGAATTGTTTTTTTTTTTTGTGAATAACGATTTTCATTTTCATTAAAAGAGGTTTTACTATGAAAAACATTTTTTTTTATTTTGATCAATTCCTTATAATAATATTTTTATATTATCATCAATTCAATGAGTCAGTTTATTTAATGGCAACCTAAAAATATATCTGTAATAGCTTTATCACTTATCTAATGATTATTATCTGTCACCGACTCATAATCATAAGTCCAATTCGACCTATGACGAAACCCGTTACTAACTAGTCATTTAATCCAAATAATTTTGTACAATAAACCATATCTGAATGATTTGGAGTATTAAAGTTTGAAATCAAACATTATAAATTTTTAAAAACTCAAAGAAAGTATAGAAATTTCTCGCTATGAGTCTGTAATGTATATTGTATATTTATATTGTCTTATTTTTTTACTGTTTTGTCTACAAATATACTATCCATCAAGTTATGCGACTTCTTGTTTGAATATAATCGTCGGCATATAAAATTATGATAAAATCCATGAGTTAGAACGACTTTTTATACTGTAACAAATAACTTTGTACATAAAGATCCTATTGTAATTGAAGTATATTTTTATATAATTATTTTCAAGAATTTACAACTCTTTTAACATGTGTACAAATTGCATTAAAACAAACGTGCTAAATCATAAAAGAATTAATACTTTTTCCTAATTAATAGTGTAAAAAAGTTAATCACTTACATAGTATATAGGACCATTGTAAGAGCTTATCAAAACGGTTTATGTTTTATTTTGACTTTATTGAAAATAGATTGCAGGTTATTTTAACGTATTAACCCGTTTGTAATTTTGAATGCACTTTTATTGTAACTCAGTTTAAACTCATGTGTGGTAAATAAATTGCTGTCAAGTTGTCCAGATAGAGCAAGCGTGGTGATTAATGCTCAAACCTTCTCCATGTGAGAAGAGGCCTTTGCTCAGCAATGGGCTCTGATAGGCTGATGACGACGACGAAGTCCAGATAAATGTGTATCAATTAATGACTAAATAATATTAATAAGTAATTTCTATTCGCCTCCAACCAATCTTCAAAGGCAATAATTTTTCATGATAACAGATTTACTTGACCTTTACGAATGTTATTTCAATATCACAATAATGTTGTTTATCTTTACAATATGTTTACCTGAAAGTCGTTACAAAATAGAAATAATACTATCTTTATCATCGGGATTTGGTTATCATGAGATACAGAGGGTAACTCGTACATGATGATTTGAATATCAATCCTATGCTTGTTTCGATTGTCCATAAAAAGATTTAAAAGAAATCTAAAAGGTTAAAATGAAGCGTTTTTCTTGCCATAAACTTTCCTGTATTTATCCTCAAATCTTATAAGCTGTTTAACTAGTATCAAAAGCAAACAATCTATTTCAAAAATATCAGCTAGTGTTTTATATTCTAAACCATCATTAGTTAAAATTTTTAGCCACAGAACAATGATGAGATAAAATTGATGCAATTCATACTATGCACTGACTGTTCTGAGAGCTTGTCAGATAAGTTATCAGATGATATTAGCATAGAATAAAAGGATAATTCGGATCATATTTAACTTAATACATATTCCTCAGTCTCCGGTCTAAGTCGACATTTAAAATGGAATTTCTGGGTAATACCTACATACGCGTTAGGGATGAGAACTATAAAGAATTTCTCAAGACTTTAGGTAAGAGCACATAGAATTATAATTTTAAATTTGACTCGTTTCTTGTCTGCTTATTTTAACGATTCCTTTTAAAAAATTGTTATTTTGTTAATAAAGTTTAATTCAGTAATTAATACTCTATACAATTTAATCTCTTCTTCCAATAAGTAGCTAAAAAGCTTCATGTTTATTCATTAAAATTTGATTTATATTGTACAGGTTTATCCGACGAGAGAGTAGAATCTTTCGCCTCACTCAACCAAAAACAGTCCCTTCAAAAGGATGGCGATGACTACGTCCTGATCTACGACAATCCTGATGGTCAGAGAGTCATTAAGTTCAAGAATGGAGTTGAGTTCGACGAGGAGGTCACTCCTAACTGTATTGTGAGTTATGCCTCCCTTTTTTTGATGTCGCAGGGAAACTCTTTTTACAAGCCGTCCAACCGGCCTTGGTGGGGCTGAAAGGTATGTGTGAGACTCGACCTGGGCAGGCCCCTAATCACTAAAACCACTGCGAAAGCCGTCGGCCGCTATGTCGGTGTACCCCGGATCTGTCAGCGACAGAGCACACCAGCGACTGGCCGGTCCTGGCAAAGACCGAACTTACTCCCTCGAAGTTATGCCTCCCTAACTTTTCTAACAAAATAATAGAAAATATGAAAGCATTATTATATATAGGCTTCTATTTTTTCATTAACTCTATTGTGAAATATATACTATCTTTTTTTTTTCAGTCAAAAACAACACTCACCCTTGATGGGAACGTTCTTACTCAAATCCAAAACTTGGGGAGTGTTATAATAAATATTAAAAGGGAATTCTGTGCCGACCAACTCGTCATGGTAAATATTTATATAAAAAAGAAATTATTTACCTATTCATTATTTATAAGAATCACAAATATACGTTTATATCTATATACATATACATTCTTCACATCTCAAGAACTATTTCTGAAGTATAATTGACTGTGTAAAATTAAGTATGATATGTGATGAGGTATTTGCCCTTTTTGTTCTCATTCCGTTATCCTTTGTTTCCAAAAAAACTTACTAATTTACTTTTTTTATAGACCATTACAACAAACTTTTTGTTATAGACCATTACAACAAACTCATGGAACGGCACTGCACGCAGATATTTAAAACGAGTCTAAATTATATTTTTCATTTAAATTATTTGAATACATTGTGAACTTTATTCTGTTTTTTCTTTAATACCCTTAAATTAAATAAAGACCGTACCATATAACTGTAATAAGCAAGCTTGCTTAAACTGAATTATTTTCTACTACATGATAGGAAGTAATTTTAAAATGTTTTTGTGCACTTAAATGAAGAACGTCGAAACTGAAAGCTCTAAGTTGAAAAAGTAAACTGGCACTAAGGGTACATGTACAAAGGTTAAATTAAAAATTGAAATGTGACACGAGATAATACATAAGTTTTAGAAACTAAATGAAGTGAGAAAGATAAGATGTTATTTGTTGATATGAAGTTTGAAGTTGCATCTGAAGGATAAAGTAAATAATTATTGTCTTTACGATAGGTGTTTACCTGAAAGTTGATACAAAGTAGAAATAACACTATCTTTATCATCGGGATTTGGTTATCACGAGATAAAATATAACAACCCATAATGCACAAATTATACATACTAGGTATATTAAAGTATTGATGCTATAACACAAGGTTCGTACTTATGTAAAAAAATTGTTTTACTAAAATCATAATTTATAGTCGTTGTAAAAGAAAATTGAAAAAACAAACATTTTCACCTCATTTGTTTTGTTTTGACTAGAAATGGACAAATAGACAGAGTTTAATTGAAATAATAGTCGATATATTTATCCTCAAATGTAACGATTTTCGTTATGAAATAAAACAATAGAAATAAATTATAAATTATAAAAATTACAGCCAGTGATATCGCTTAAAGTAGCGAAAATTAAAATTAAATAAAGTAAATTGATTTGACACAGGTGTTGCAAAGTTTAAAATATTTATCAGCTATTGTGAGTGTTTATCAGATAATTTACTAAATATGATATATAAATGGTAAAGGGTAGTTCAGAACATTATTAGTTTCGTAAATACTGTTTAGTCTTCGGCAGACAAGACAACATTTAAAATGGATTTTCTTGGTAAAACCTACATCAAAGAAAAAGATGAGAATTTCAAAGAATTTTTGGTGAGTTTAGGTAAGCCATTGTTTTTTTTATACATTATTACAAATTATAAATAAGACTTGTTTGTTATCTATTTATATTTTAAAAGTTCCGCTTATTTTTTTTGTAGTTTTATTAAGAAATTCATTTCAACTAGATTAAAATATTCACTATTTAAAATTTTCATAATATTGTACAGGTGTGGCTGAGGAAAAAGTAAACGCTCTTGTCTCTTTTGATCAAAAAAATTGCCTTAAAAAGGATGGTGATGACTATCTCATGATCTTCAACAATCCTGATGGTGAAAAGGTGCTTAAATTCAAGAATGGAGTTGAATTCAACGAGGAGATCGCTCCTAATGTTAATGTGAGTACATTTATATTATGTACGTGTTCTAGCAAGATTTGAACTTGTATTTAATTTAAATTTTCCCATTTCCTTTACTCTGTTGAGGAAGATCTTAATATTTTCATTTATTTCAGTCAAAAACGACATTCACCCTTGATGGCAACGTTCTTCATCAAGTGCAAAACTTGGGGCTTTGTATTATAAACATTAAAAGGGAATTCTCTGCCGACCAACTCATCATGGTAAATATTTTTTTAAAACGAACAAACTATTGAGATATTCATTATTTATATGAATTACAAAAATACTTTTATGTATAAGTTTTCATATAGTTATTAAGATCACTTTCTGAAACATAAGTGATCGTGTCAAAATTAAGAACTGTATATAATAATTTAATTGTCCTTTTTGTTCTATTGTCCTGATTTTGTCTTTTATTTTCGTAGAAAGTTATTAACTTACTTTTTTTTGTTCTAGACGATCACAACAAACTTATGGGACGGCACTGCACGCAGATATATGAAACCAGTCTAAATGTTACTTATTATGAAATTTATATATAATAATAATAATTTATTTTAATAAAATGTGAAAATGATACTGATTTATGTTTTATTTTTTTAATCCCTTTAAAATAAATAAAGGATATAATTGCCTGAGAGATTATATTATATATGATACAGAATATAATAGAGAAAATATAATACAGTCAGTGGTGACCAAGTGGTTAAAGGCCCGCCTCTCGTATATGACTATGAGGGCGTGGGTTCGATCCTGGCAAGTACCAATGCAGTTTTTCCGAGTCATATGTACTTTCTAAGAATATTTAGACCCCATTGACAGACGGTGAAGAAAAACATCGTGAGAAAACCTGGACTTATAATTTCACGATTATAAGTCGGAAATCACCAACCCGTCTTGAGCAAGCGTGGTGATTAATGCTCAAACCTTCTCCATGTGAGAAAGAGGCCTTTGTTCAACAGTGGGCTCTGAAAGGCTGATGACTGTATAGTATTACTCATATTCTAAAAGCAAAAATTTGTAGAAATCAGGAAAGGATTATCCTTTCCTCTATGCTTACGAATTAATACATGTGATAAATAATTATTCATATACATATGAGATAAATAATAATTAAACATATGAATGTATATAGTATATCGATGTTGGTATAAATGAAAAAAAATGTAATGATGTTTTCAAAGGCCAAATAAGACCCTGAAGTTGTAAGGCTCTCAATATTGCAAAGGATATATTATGTTCCGTTCTCAAAGTTTGTTTTGGAATTCCGTTACAAAAACATTGCAACACAAGACAACTTCATTTGAACAAAATATTTGAAATTTCATAATCTATGTAATTTTAACATCATCCCTCGCTGTTTAAAACAAGTTTTGTTTCTTTCTTAACACAAGTATCCAGAATACTTAAAATCGAGGCACCATCACAGTTAGTGTAACTCAAATTAAGAAACTGGATAAATTATTATTATTTTTTAATAAATTAACGTTAGGAGTTTTACCTTACGCGTGTAGAAGAGACTGCCAATAGCAAAACATTAGATTAGAATTAGATTTATACCGGTTTTCCCATTAGTTGACAGTATAAGTCAAAGACAAGTAGTCTTTGACTCGGGAATAATAACTTTGGAATCCATACGGACATACATTATATAAAAAAATTCAAATCCTTTGTACCAAATATGTATTTTGTTTCAAAACTTTTAGACTTGCATTGTCAAGTAGCTTACTTAATATAAGATATAATATCTAATGTTAAGAAGCGATAGAAAGGAGTCACTTAACAATTCCTTCAACTCAAAGTGGAATCCAATGCCAATACGGAAGGGTTCCGAACTAATAGCATTTCAATTCATCAGTTCATATATTCCTAGGCCACCTGCTATATAAAAAACAATTACCACCACTTCTCTGTTACCTTTGACATACAAAACTACTTAATGGATAGTTTTAAGTTCAATTTTTGAAAGTTTTTTCTTTGAAACAATTGGATATTAAACTAAGTATGTAGAAATATTTATGGCTTATAAAAGTTTCTTGCTCGTACCAAATGCCTTCCTTGAATTCAGTTTACATTAACTGAATTCAGTTAGAACAAAATTCTTTTCTAGCACATATATAGATTTAATTTTTCATTAAATTCTCTTCGTCATGTATGTCATATCACCGAAGTATTTAAATGAAAAACGTTGAAACCGACAGTGCTCAGTTGATAATGCAAACTAGTACTTAACTTACATGTATAAAGGGGCTATTTAAAAATTTTAATGTGATATCAGATATTAAGTCTTTAAAACTAAATCGAGTCAAAAGATAAAATATTATACGTTGATATGAAGTTTGAAATTGCATCGAAAGGCCAAAGTAAATACATAGATAAATGAAGTACAAAAATCACTTTTTATCTTTTGCTATAACAAAAGCTAATATCATATAAAGGGCATGCGAGTATTGGCCGACTATCAATTACTGATCGGTTTTCAGTGAAGACACATCCACCAATCTAAAAATGGCATTTTTGGGCATCACATACTCTCTTGACAGAGACGAGAATTTCGATAAATTCGTTGATAGTTTGGGTAAGTCGAAAATATAATTTTGATATTATTGAAAAAAAAAATGTTTTATATCAATATGTTGTTTAATCAATAGTTAACTGAGTTTCCACTTTCTAATTTTCCCTATCATACATTTTATTCCAGTTAATCTATCTGACCATCATGTCAAATACAAAAATTTCATGTACATGTGTTATTTTTCTTTGCAGAAATCCCTGAAGATAAGAAACAGTTGCTGCTTTCTTTCAAACCCTCCCAGTCGATTAGAAAGGAAGGTGATGCATATGTATTGAACACAACAAGCCCTGGTGGTGGCAGCAAGGATTTGAAATTCCAAGACGGTGTTGAGTTTGATGAGGAAGTTGCTCCAGGCGTCGTTGTAAGTATTTTTTTTCTGTTTAAGGTTTAGTACATTTTTTTGTAATGATTTTATGTCTAAGTTAGTCTTTGGTCTTATTGGAAAAGCTTAAATTTTAACTTAAAAAATGAGTAAGGTATTGCATCCTGACTCAATACTAATATGCTTGCGATGCCATTTTATCTGTGTTGCTATTTAAAATTTATTTGGTCATTTTATATCACATATTTATTATTTGTTAATGATTACTAATAATAATGACCCACCTATAAAGGTAGTTTAGTTTTTATACATATTTTAAACAAGGAAAAAGAAATATTCTCTTCCTTTTGCGAATTTCTCGAGCTGAGTTTGGGCATTAATATCGATTCTTTTGCTATTGCTCAGCAAAAAAATTAAATATTTAAATCGCAAAAAAGTCTTCTCGTTTTAAACGAAGATATTCCAAGAAAAATAATTTTAATATTTAATGGAAATACTAAAATTATTTAAAAAATCGTATTTGTATTTAAACATATTTAAATACAAATATGATTTTTGGATTTATAGACACTTTTATCTCGTGTGCCTCTGATAATTTTTATTTAATAAATAATATTTTTTTTAGTAAATTCGGAAACATGACCTCTTTTAATAGTTACTTGCGAAATCTTTGATATAATTCCTTAATACTCTTCAATAAAAATTATTAAGAAATTTATTCTTATTTTTAGGCAAAATCAACTTTCAAAGTTGAAGGCAATGTCGTAACCCAAGTTCAAAACCTTGGTGACCTTGTCCTCACCTACAAGAGGGAATACTCTAACGATCAACTCGTCGTGGTAAGTTATATATGTACTAATATATTTTTTGCACATCTCTTTAGTCTCTGCTATGGTGACAAAAATTAGAAATATATTTTACTAATCAACAACGTCACTTATTTATTTTTAAATCTATTTTTAAAAAAGACTTCTTAAAAAAAGGCATATCTAAAGCCTTATAAAAGTCATAAAATTCTGATAATGTTTTTAGTGTAATGGAAGTTCATTTTTTTAATAATTTCATTCATGTTATAGGTTCTTTCATCCAGCAAATGGGACGGAGTTGCACGAAGATACTACAAAGCGGCCTAAATGTATTTAATACCAACTAGTTGTAAAACTACAGCACATGTTTATTTATATAAAATGTTATAAACCTTATTTGTTTTTTAATTTAATTTATGTTCAACCATACACTATTTTGTTTAATAAAAGATACACTATTTTTATATTTTGTTTAATAAAAGAAGTTTCGTATTACAAGAAACTAAAATTAATAAATTAAAAAATAGAAACGATTATTTTTTATTTTGAAATTATGTCTAAAGTGTTATTAAATAACAGTCTAATAATTTCTGTGAAGAGCTGAAACTATTTTTACTTTCATAATATATTCCATTACTAAGCAAATTTTTACAATTACATCGTCTAAGCCAGTTGTTTGATAAAAAAATAAACTGATATAACTTTAATACTGATTAGGTACATCATTACATATAGTACCATATGTTGATCGGATATGTGATAATTATCACGATTCTAGAAATCAGCGATTATCATGATCACGCCATTTATATAGAAAAGTACCTACATGAAATTAATCGCTTATTATTTTTCCTTTAATTTAACTTTTTATAGCTCAGAATTGTCTAGAGTTATAGGAGGATGATTTTTGATGAACTCACTAACTTATTATTCAAAGAAAAGGAAATCTGTAAAAAAAAATACATACTACACATGTGTACTACTCGTGACATATCATTGATGATTCATTATGAAGTACTACATACATTTTTATTAATGAAAGTCCAATAAATTAAAAAATACATGTATTTATAAAGGCAGTAAGCTGTCACTTAAATATCTATCACATAAAAAATTCAAAATTCAATAAATTAAAAAATACATATATTTATAATGGCAGTAAGCTGTCACTTAAATATCTATCACATAATGGACATAGAGGTTTTAGTTTGTGTAATTCATATTGTGCAGTCATACCACATACTTTACAAATAAGATAATTCATTTCTACAATAGGTGTAAATGTTAGGGAACAAAACATATTTAAATGGTTAGATTTACATGTTAAACCAATTAGTTCTTCATCACAACACTGACAGACATGTTGTATATTTGTGGTCACAGAATTAAGAATATTCTGTGGAATTAAATCAGTTATACATTTAGAATATTTTTCACAATAGTATTGAATGAACTTCTTACAACCGTCGAAACTTTGTTGATCGAATTCACTCAGTTCTTTTCCGTCTTGAAGTCTTTCATATAAGCTGGTCAATGTTTTTATAGCTTGAAATTTGAGAATATGGGTTTTTATTTTATCAATAGATAATTCAGGTAGTAATCTTTTACGTTTTTTCACTACATACTTTTGCAAATTATAATACAAAGTTAGAAACACATAATAAACTTTAAGTTTGTAGACATCCTTCTCCCCTTCTTTTAATAATTTTTTATAATCCATTTTAGGTAATGTTTTCGTTTTCATTGTTTTAAGTCTTAGAACCTCGATTTGGTCCCACATATTTGATAAAGTTTTTGCAGGGTTTTGGATAATTTTTGTGATGTGTGCATCAATTTCGGTTTCAGCACACAGAAGTACTACGTCTACTTTTAGCTGCAATTTTCTATGTTGCACTCTCTGGTCCACCATGGCTAATGCATACAGAGCTTTGTTCTCAGATATCGCGAGACTACACAATTCATGTCCGGGATACATATCTTTTATCTTGATTTCATTTAACACCACATTTAACTTTTTATCATCAATACATATATCTATTGTATACATTTTAACATTCTCAGTACACAAGTAGAATACATTATGTTTTTGTGTAATGCAAACAATTTTAAAATCATTTACCGATTCTACATACTGTGATAGAAGTTCCATATTTCTGTCGAACATTTGTACAAGAAAATGCCTATGTTTATTAAATAGGATTATAATTTTGTCATCATATAAGTAATAATGGAATGATATTGGCACCATTTTGTCTGTATGAGGCCACAAGACTTTGGTTTGAGTATTTTTTATCTTATTGTCTTCAATCGAGCAGTCATAAGCTACTATTTGTCCGAGTTCATTACAAGTAACCAGTAGAAATGAATTCTGTAATGATAGCCAATAAATTTTCGATATTATAGCACTGTATTCCTGCTCAATTTCTCCACAGTACTGTATGGAAATATCGTTACCTAATGTAAGTAGCCAAAATATTAAACGGGCACTTTTCATTGCAGTTACAAAGTAACAGGTGTTATCATTGTTTGAATGTGGACACCAACCAATTGCAGAGGTCTCTATTTTGTAAACATACTGCTTTAACTCATTAAACTCCTTTGGTACTTCCATATTATTCTCATTAAGTAGGTATTTATTCATTAGTAATGATACATCGGCTATACAGTCCCATTTCAACCTCTTCTGTACATAAAGTTCCACATTACCGACACTGTTCAATATTGATACTAACCTTTCACTATGAATTATTAAATCTTGAGGTAACCAATCAAATTGAACAATATCCGTCAATTCTTTTGTTATTTGCTTGCTGTGAGGCCATAGTGCTGGATTTGTCATCATTTCTAATAACTCCGAATTTCTAATACCCTTTGAAACATACTGACGTAAACACTTTTTTGGTATAGGACTGTTGGTACTACATGTTATAATGGAATCATTAAACTCAATTTTCTTTTCTAATGAATGTAAATTGCACGACAGTTCTAGCATATGTAGATTTTTATTGATGCGTATGGTTATAATGGAATTATTCCATGATATATTAACTTTATCAATATTATTTACGTTTATGGATCTTCGAGATAACTCATAAAACATTTTTCAGATACAATAATTTAAAAAAAAAATTAAAAAATAGCAGGATTTAAGGTTATGTTTTTATTTTTCTAACAATTGTCACTTCTGACATATAGTCTTTTAAAAGTCAACTTTTGATATTTTTATGCTTTAGCTTTATTCGCACTGGATTCGTGGAATATTTGGCCAATGTCAACGTTTTTATTTGTTGGGCGAATTATAATCTTGAGTGCTGTATGGAGAAAAAACGAATAAGTTGATCAAATTAGATAAAGGCGTTTCTTCAATAATAAAAAAAAACTCTTATTATATTTTTAGCAGTCCCGCTAGTACTATAAACTACACTAAGTCTTATTTAAAACCAAGAGGACAATACAACAAAACATAAAGTGTAACTGATAAAACAGTTGCAAGTGTTTACTTGTATATAGTATATAGTATATTTTGAGTGTAACTTCACTTTCCACATACCGACTCAAGTTTCATTAAGTCGAACTTTTAATTTTAAGATATAAAATATCATATGTAATAAAGTAATAATGTATAATCTTGTTAATTTCATAATTAATCGAAATAGGAAAGCAAATTTATAGTTTCATAAAAAATGGAAGCTACAATTTAGGCCATCCTAAGTTTGTGACTTTTTTAAAATTTATGTTACCAGGTACCTACTTGTATAGAACCTAAAATAAACCATATTGACATTTGACAATTGTCAAAAACTTCTGCTGTCATAACAAAAGCACGTTGATTTATTCTAAATATTATAACTTATAATTAAGTTGACTATATTTTTGTCTTTAATATTTCAATTATAGCTATGTATTAGAACACATAGGAAATCCTTTTAATACAGAGTATTATCAAGTTAATCAATATGGGTAAAAGACGATACAATGCAAAGGCTCGCCAAGTGGTTAAAACTGATATTGACGACTCAAAAACGAATGAGGTATTTATATATTTAACACGTGAAGAACCATTACCATTACCGGGCATATTATCCTTATAAAGAGCTTGAAATGAATACTTACGAGTACTCTTTATATTATAAAACAACTTCTAAATTTGTAATTATTACTATGGGAAATATAATTTTTAAATAATTGTAATTTTACAGATAAAATTAGAATTTGAATCAAGTGAATATGGAACCAGTGATACTGCAAATGCATTGGCCTTGCCTTCACGAAAAAGAGAGACAAAGATTATTACAGACAAAAAAGAAAAAACTAGATTTCTATCGAAGGCTCAAAGGAAACGGCTAGAAAAGATAGTTGATAAGAAGAAAAAGAAAGAAAATGTAAGTCTATAACAAGAATATGCATTTATGCATTGACTTTTCCATTCTGTATGCATTATAATTGTTAACATTTGATAATTAACCCAAAAGATATTATTAATAGTATAATCTATGTTATAGAGAGCTGCACTTTTGGAATCTCTGTCACAAGTACAAGCAACTCCTGAGGAAGTGAAACAATTGACTACAATATCATCTGTTCAGACGCTCGGATTGAGAAAGTTGATGGAATTTAGTTTAGAAACAACTCAGAATGCTACCGATGTTAGTGAACAAAAGAAATTTAGTAGTATTGCAGGTTAGTAGTAGTAGTAGTTAGTAGTATAGCCTACGGAAGAAGTCATCTTTTAACTTAATTAAGATTTTGTTGACTACACATGTGTATGAAATGATGACTGTAGGATATACTTTGCTGTTTATCATGACTTTGGTTACCTTATAGAAACTGTCTCAAATTTAATATAATATCAAAAACCATTTTTCTATTATAGTATTAACTTAATTACAGGTGCAAAGAAAAGATTACGACTTTTAAAAATGGATAGATCCGATGACACTAAAAAGAAGAAATATGACCCTAATGTTGTCGGTCTCGAGGAATCTTCTGATGAATCAAGTACGGACACCGATGATAGCGAAGACAAAGATACATGTGAGGTAATTGAAACAACGGATAAAATAATAAATGTTGAAAAAGAATCTACAATATCAGCCGATATTACCATTAGTAATGAAAATACTAAGGCGATTGAAATTAAAGAAAGTGAACCTGTACAAGTAGAAGTGGAAGTTAAAAAGCCTATTCTAGAACATCCGACAATAAATGTTCAAGTGAAAAGAGACCCTAAAATTCAAGTGGCTAGATTGAAATTACCAATATTAGGTGAAGAACAAAGAGTTATGGAGTTGATAAATGAAAACGAGTTTGTCATTGTCGCTGGTGAAACTGGTATGTAATTTTTGATAATTAGAAAACTGGCAACATCTAATTAAAAAAAACTTCTCAGATTTGATATTTAATACAATACTAGTCTAAAATAGTTTATTCTAGACTTTAGAGTATAATTATGCCGTAATATTTCAGGTAGCGGTAAAACCACTCAGATACCTCAGTTTCTCTATGAAGCTGGTTATACAGAAAATAAAATGATAGCTGTCACCGAACCTCGAAGAGTGGCAACTGTAGCTATGTCAGCCCGAGTCGGGTATGAACTGGGATTGAGTAGCAAAGAGGTTTCATATCTAATGAGATTTGAAGGAAATGTTACTAAAGACACTAAGATTAAATTTATGACTGATGGTAAGAAAGGCATAGATCTATTTTTATTTAAGCAATTGTTTCACTAAGACATGAAATAAGATGTTATATTCTATAATACCAATATGAAGGCTTTAATTGGAATAAATTGAAATTATGATTGATTTTCTTGGATAGTATTTTCTGTGTGATATTATAAGTGTATATTTATTCCAGGTGTTCTCTTAAAAGAGATCCAATCAGATTTTCTTCTAAGCAAGTATTCAGTTGTTATTATAGATGAAGCCCATGAAAGGAGTATGTACACAGATATACTTCTTGGTCTGTTATCTAGAATTGTACCATTGAGACGTAAAAGGGGATGTCCGTTAAGACTTATTATTATGTCAGCTACACTCCGAGTTGAGGATTTTACAGAAAATACAAGACTTTTCAAAGTTCCACCTCCTGTTATAGAGGTAATTACAAATAGATTGCTATTGTGATTTCCTTATGTAATTTGTTTGAAGTATTTTATTTCATTTTTATGAACTTCGATCATTAATTTAACATATTTTTTAAACAGATACAATCTAGGCAGTTCCCTGTGACAGTACATTTCAATAAGCACACATACACTGATTATTTGAAGGAGGCTTTCAAGAAAACAGTCAAAATACACACAAGACTACCAGAAGGTGGAATTTTGATATTTGTGACCGGCCAGCAAGAGGTATATACCTTTTTTTATAATAGAATTTTTTGAATATGAATGTATTCATCATTATGAAGGAATGAATCAGTATAATTATGAATCATTATATTTTATTTGTATGTATGAATAAGTATTTATATAATGCTTATTTATTATAGTCAAATCTAAAAGTCATAAATTAATTCAGAGAAACAGTCTAAATTGACCATGTGTTTAGGTTGATTTAATCAATATTACTATACTTACATATTTTAATAGGAATAAATTCTTTTTGTTGATTCAACATACCTTATAAATATTCATTGACTTTAAGCTCTCATCAAAGCATTAAATGCTCCATATTTATTATTCCAGGTAAACTATCTAGTGAAGAAACTAAGAGCGTCGTTTCCATATCGCAAAGGTGTTGATTATTCTTCACTAATAAATAAAAAGGTGAATGTAGTTGACACTGCTTTGGACTCAGAACCAGATGATATTGAATCGGATGATGATGAGGTTAGTTTGTATTAGAATTCTTTATAATTCAAGGTTATTCCTTCCATATATAATAATTCAAATTGTTAGCCAATGTAAATAATATATGTATAGCAATTCTGATAACATAGTCTTGTTGAATATATATTATAAAAAAATCCTGAATATGGTCTACTCATATATATACATAGTTTTGATGCGGAAGTAGCTTTCATTATTTGATGTGTCACTCACGTCGATATTTCCATACCTTATGATTTATTATTGAGTTTCAAAACATATTTAGGACCATTACCCCAGGAAAAATTTAGAAAACATTTATTAGTAATAATTAATAAAGTAAATATCCCTAGAGGTGTTTTGAGTACATTTATATACTTTGATTCTAAAGTTAAAGAAAATAAAATACTGTATCGTAACTATTCTACTTGATCAGTCATTTTTACTCACGCTCGTATTTTGCTTACAAAATATGGTGAGCATGAGTGAAAAAAAAGAAATAAAGGGCAAATAGGAATCAATGTAATAAAAATTTCGAATGTTCGATCACAGGTGGAAAAGGAAATGAAGCGGATACGCAAAGCCAGGAAAAAAGCGAAGCGGAAAACTATAAAGTTACCAAAAATTAGTTTGGATGATTTTGACATGCCAGAGGACGATGGCCAGCCAGATTTAGTGAGTGACGGTGATAGCGAGGGTCATTTGAGCGATTCGGGTAATTAGTGCACTAGTAAATTTTATGTTAACGTTACCATGGCAATCTTCAATGAATCTATATTTAAATAACCTGCTTCTGATAAATTATTTGACAATAACAGTGTAACTTTTAACATTTCCTAGAAATAAATTATTATATACATTGAAAATATTTCAAAAATGTGTAATTGAACTAGTCTGACTATTTAAATGGCAAATTTATGAGAATCTGTTAATTTATACAGTCTCCATTAACAAGTTGACCAGTACGTATTATTCGTTTCTCTTCAATTAATACTACTGTGTTTACCACGCCACCACTTTTAATACTACTGACAGATTACCCATAAAATAAAAAAGACAATAATCTAAATCAGTCCAAAAAAAAATCATTATCATAGCAGTATAAAACTATATTAATATATACGTACATAAATTTCAGATGCCGAAGAATCAACTCTGACGCCTATCATAAAATCCAATCAACAGCCGCTATGGGTGTTGCCGCTGTATTCTATGTTGAGTACAACGAAACAGGGTCGGGTGTTTGAACCCCCGCCCGCTGGTACAAGACTCTGTGTAGTTAGTACAGACGTGGCGGAAACATCGCTGACTATACCGAGTATAAAATACGTAGTTGATACCGGCAAGAAGAAAATGCGGTTAGTTAATCATTATAAGACGTTTAAAAATATACACCTTATATATAGTGGCTAAAGTCTAAATAAGTCGCTGTAATAATTTCTATATACATTTCAATATAGCTTTGTCTTTGCCAAAAAAAATTATGAAATATAATATTAATTCGATTCATCGCCTCTTCAAAGTTTTGGTCTATATATAATCTAATCTATATGCTTTATACTACATATAAGACGAAACAAATCGATTTATTCGGTTCTAAGTTAAGCTATATAACCGTTACAGTATATACGATCACGTGACCGGCGCAAGCGCATGGCGTATAGTATGGACGTCTCAAGCTAGTGCGGAGCAAAGGTCGGGTCGAGCGGGAAGAACAGGTCCTGGGCATGCGTATAGGTTGTATAGCAGTGCTGTTTACCAACACGAATGTGTACCGCATTACAAACCCGATCTCTGTACGAGACCCGTAGACCATTTAATGTTGACCCTTAAATGTATGGGCATCGATAAGGTAAGTTTATATTTAGGTTATATAGAGACTATAAAGACTGTATTTTATACTAGTTTTTCTATTAATGGTAACTTCGTCCGCGTTTATTTTGGAATTAGTAATATATGTATAGCTGAAAGAGCGAATTTTATTTTAGTGAAGTTTATTCTAGTATAAAACTAGATATTGGAGTTTGTTAAGTGTTTTTTTTGCTTTTTCCTTAATTAAGTATCCTATGTCTGTCTCCTGGTTCTATGCTATCTCCCCGCCAATATTCAACCATATCCCTACGTCCATTGTTGAGTTATAAATAGTGTAACTAACACAACTGTCTTTTGTATAGATTTTTGTGTGTCTCAGTAAGAGTATTTTTGTAAGTATAAATATTATTGTGTTTTTTTCAAGGTGGTGAATTTTCCGTATCCCACCGCGCCAGACAGAATGCAGTTGCGTTTAGCTGAGAAACGACTAGAAGTTTTGGGAATATTGGAGAAGGTTGAAATGAGGAATAGGAGAAAAGATGACGAAGAGGTGAACATTTTTGTTTTATTTCTCACAAACATATGAATGGCTTCATTAATAATTAAATTATATAGGAAGAATCTATATTGATTATGGGTTTTGGTGCTTAAAGTATTCCCTTTGAATAAACTATTATCCATACGCCATGTATTCTGAACAATCTCAAGATATACTTACTACAAAATAACTTGTTAAAATCATATTTGATTTTCTATTTACTGAGAAATTGCATCGTTTGATGCACATAATACAATTTTTCAGTAATCAAAACAAAACTAAAAGTCTAGTACTATTGATTATGCTGAAGAACAATGTTTTTATGTACATATATTTTTTTCTAGGTGTTAAAAGTAACTCCGCTTGGGAAGGCCGTGTCGGCGTTTCCGTTGCTTCCTCGCTACGGCAAGATGTTGGCTCTTAGTCATCAATATAATTTATTACCGTACGCGATAACTATCGTCTCTGCTTTAACTGTGCCAGAGGTAAGTTAACTTGATGTTTTAACCACTAGCATTAATTTTTAATATAGGTATATGTTGGTATGTAATATTTAGATAGAAATTATATAGGATGTTCACTGCCACCAGAGGTTGACGTTAGGATAGCAAGACCATTCCATGTCTTGTGTAGTATCAGGAATCTTCTGGTTAACACGGCCAGTTGTTCGTTTCGTGGAGTCACCAATCTCACCCATTATATTAAATTTTATACATTTTCTTTTGCTCTGATGATGTTCGTTTCTGTTGTGCTTACATAACTGTTTTTTTTTGCATATGGCCATCTTTTAAATCAAAACAATCAAATCAACTTTTAAATTCGATTTTCTGGTTTTTATACAAATACATAAGGCTTTATATGACAAAATAATATAAGGATTTATATAAAAAAACAGAAACTAAGATTTATATAGACCAATACAATATTTTGTATTATGATTTATGTTATACATGATAAATGAATTAAGAAAAAAGGGATTTTACTGCCTAAAATAAAAATACGGGTTCTTCAAGTACTTAAAGCAGAAAAAGAATTTACCTTTAAGATGTACTAATATCTCAATTCCAAAACGAAAATATTTGATCATTGTGTTTCCCTCTTAATTTTGTGTTAAGATAAGATTTGTGTTTTTCTTCTTCTCTATATTAAACATAAAAAAATAAGTAAAATTTCGTATCAAAAAATATTTTCATAGTTTAATCAGTCCAAGTGAAAACAAGAAAAAGTATACAACCTTTTTACAAAATCACCAATCGTAAATACATATATGTATCTAGAAATATAAACGCGACTTAATATTGACCAAATTTTCCTCTAAATGCAGGTAATGTCGGGTAAAACTGATAGTTGGCCCGCTACTGGGAATATGTTATTACTCGGAGACCCCGGCGTACTACTGAGAGCGGTTGGAGCTTGCGATCATAGTACGGAGACTTTGTCAGTGTTCTGTGCCAAGTATGGACTAAGAGAGAAGGTAATAACTGTTTATATTATACCATATACCTATACACATTATTAGAGCATTACCTCTCAGCATTCAATGTATTCACCGTGCGGGTGTCGGGTCCATCGTTGTAGTGAGAGGAGCTTCAACAGTGTCTGGGACTTGTGACCTAGGTGTAGGTTTAAGGCACCCCTATCTAACACACGTTAAACGCTCACCGCCACTGTCCAAGCTCCTCTCTCTATTTATTAACTGAATTTCGCGAATTTTATACCGCGTTGTGTCAATAAAGCTTAAAGTTCTTTGGGTGACTAAAATCTTCAAAGACCATGCCATCAAGGTCAATAAGTATTACGAGCTCACTAACCAACTCAATAGGAATAGACTGAGAAGTTTCGTCTCTTATTATTGTATGGAATAGTATATTTAAATTCCAACCCAATGATGTCAATCAAATTATATTTTGACCGATTTTTGAGTTACAATGCTATTGATAAAGAATATATTTTTAAGCTTATATATTATGAATGTTCATAGTATGACAATTAATGTTAACTTGATTTGTCTGCAACTTTGTTTGTATTATTGATTGTATTATAAGCAATTTATTATTAATATGTATATCCAACACATATGATATATATTATTCTCATACATTTGTTAACAATCGATGTAGCAATCTAAAATGCAAATTGTAATAAAAATCCACGTTTTTTATACTTGACATGCAACCTATTTTGTACGTAATTTGCAATTTATTTTAAAACGTAATATATATTTCTATATTTTTTTTGATTTAGGCTATAATAGAAATTAGGAAGCTTCGGAAACAGTTGGCATCTGAGATAAATCTGAGTGTGTCCGGTGTTAATCTGGTTGTGGATCCAAATCTTCAGCCTCCTGATGATAGACAGGCGAAACTGTTGAGACAGTTGCTGCTTAGCGGTCTGGGAGACCAAGTCGCTAGGAAGATTAGTATGGCAGAAGTTAAAGAAGGTTGGTGGCTCATAGAAAGGTTTTGTCTTAAGAAAATGTATAGCAATCTAATGTAATATATATATGTGTATATTTAAAACCTCTTTATTTGAATTTCAGTGCAAAAATATCATCTGATTAAAAACATTTTTGAAGACAGTTATTATTTTGTATTTTTGTGGAATATTAAAACAATATCACACAATTTTAAGATAGGAGAATAGAATTGATTTTCTCATCAGTCACATAATATAGTTATTAATTTTTATATCTGTATATATGAGTGAAATAAGTTTTGCTGTTCAATGCTTAAGGCTTTGCTGTTAATATAATATTCTATTCAGGAATTCCAAAATAAGGAATGCTATAGAAAATTAATGCTTTTCTCTAAACTTTGAAAACACCTTGAAACTTTAAGCCAATCAAATTATGTAGGTCGAATAATAAGGCTAATAAACAAATATATTCTAGAATATAGACTAATACAAGAACAGAGTTTTCACCATAACAAATTTATTTTCTAGGTGAAGACAAACGCAAATACAAATATGCCTATCGCAGTTCTGATCTGGACGAGCCTGTTTTTCTTCACTCGGAGTCAATACTACGTAAAGTGATACCCGAATGGGTGATATACCAGGAAATGTATGAAACCGGAGCCGAAGATAGGAAGAAGATGGTCATGAGGAACATTACAGCCATAGAACCCGAATGGTTACCAGTATATGTACCGTTTCTATGTAACTTAGGTAATTTTTCAAACTATAACATATATAAAGTACCAAAAAAATCTGACTGTAATATTTCTGGTTAATTAACTGGTGATTAACGAACGTTTACATTGTAATGAACCGATTATTATAGGTATATTATTAATAGTATATTTTATATTGTTCAAGGTGAACCGCTATCGGAGCCCGAGCCGCGATACGACGAAAGATCAGGGAGGGTCAAATGTCACTTCAAAGGGACATTCGGTAAAAGTTGTTGGGAACTCCCCACCGTTGAGATCGATTATCCTGAGAAAATTGACAAATACAGGTAATATTTATATGTATATTAATATTTTTCTATTTTATTTTGCTTTATTAAGGCACAAACAGTTCACAATTCACTTATATTATAAATAAAATACCAAAAACATACACCAATGAAGCTGCCACAAATAAAAAAAACAAACAAATACAATAGTTATAAAAATCAACGAAACGTCGCATTGTTATTTTACTTATATTTAACACACTTTAAGCCTAAGTTGGATATATTTGTAAATTTTTCTGGCAATAATAATCCTTCTAGCGTTTACTTAACCGGGGTTAGAATCTAAAATACTTAGTTGGAATCAATGGTATAATTGAAATTTTCTGTTCATCAGATGGTTCGCAAGATTTCTATTGGAAGGTTCAGTGTTTGTGAAGCTCAAGAAATACGCGGCGTCGCTACTGTCGCCTCCATCCACTATGATAAAGAGTTGGGCGAAATTACAACCAAGGACGGAAATACTATTGAAGGCTCTGATAGAAAAGAAAATAGGCTCCAAAGATAAATTGGAGGAAATTTGGAAGGAAAAACCCACTTGTAAGCAAATCATTACACATTAAGTGAATTGTAATTCCATCACTTACCATACAATTTTTTTTGCCTTATTAATTATATTATGAGAATATTTTTTTTACCAATATGAATTTTATCAATTAATTTAAGACTTATTCTTATACAAATTTAAATCGTTCTACTTAAGACAAGTTTCTTTTAACAGCGGGGATATATGTACATATTACATAATAAATTTTAATTAAATTTGTATAAATGATAAAGAAATAAACCAAGACATTACTTCCTGGAATTATTATACTATGAAATTATTTTAAAACTAAAGAAATATATTTTTGTAGATTTATTAAATTTTTTATTTCTTTATTACAGATTTGCAGGACGAATATCTAAAATGGGTCCCGGAGTCGGCTCACAACGAAGTTATATTGTATTGGCCCCCGTTATAGAAATGTAATATATGAAATAAAATATTATAACAAAATATTCTTTTATTTCAATATTTTTGAATGGAAAAGTTGGTGTTCTTAATTCTAAATTAGTTATTATTTTTCAGATATGTAGAAATATATGTAGGTATATATTTTGTAAATTTTTCCTCTAAGAGATTCAATAAAAACCTCTCACTTACGTAAAATCTTATGCAATCAGTCATAATAATTATACGATTCTCAGTAAACTTTTATCTGAACTTGTAACTACTGATGTTTTTCGTTATCAATATATGTCAATAGTCTTTATTGTGGGGAATTTAATTTGAAAATATAACATTATATAAAAATGTTAGATTGTTACAAGTTCGTGAAAGATTTAAAATGTTTGAGTTGGCTGTATGATACCTAAATGTGACGGTTTTAATTTATCAGGCAGTTAAATATGCATATATTTTATGTTAATAGCATGTTTAAAAATCGCAATATATATAGCGATTATAGTTATGGTTGTATAAAGAAACTAAATTACTCTAGACAAATATTTGTTCAAGTGTTTTCTATTCAAATAATAATTGAACGAAATTATTTAATATTCCTTATAAATCCTAGCATATAAAAATGATTCATTCCTAGTAACAAATCCACTAGTTCTTCGTTTATTTAAACATCTCTGTTTTCATCTATAAAAATAATATTTACAATTCCAAAGGGCTTAGAAAATTGTTTTTAGCTTTGTCTCGTTACAGTTTGTGTGAGGAGGTGATTATATTATTATCTCCCGAGATAATGCAACACAATACAACTCATCATTTATCAGTCAATTTTCTGTCAGTTAAATTGCAGACGTTGAAGTATGAACATTATATGTTAGTGTCATAAAAATGTGTGCCGCATTACACTATTTTGTATTGAATTTCATGCTTGGAGTTGTTTTAACTTTCGCTTTGCCATTCGAAGGTTTGTTTCCAGTGGATTTGATACATTACAATGATTTCCATGCGAGGTAAGTTTTTAAATTATATATATTTATTGAGTATACTATGTGATATTCGTAGGTACGTTTCTTTTTAATATCTTACATAAAATATGTTATTTAAAACAGTTTATATGGTGGTATTTTTTAAGTCAAAAATATTACAAATACTGATTTGCAATTAAATTGTATTGGTTAATATTATCGTATAGTTTTGTCAGCAGACGAGGTCGTGGTTGGCTATATTGACCTTCAATATCTATTATACTAAAAGACAACAGACGATTCGCTTTTGAATACTTTCTATAAGTCGAATTGTTACACTTCTCAAAGTTTTTTTTGATATCGTTTGAACTTAAATGATTCTCTTATCGCCTACTTATAATTTTTGAAGTGTTTACTTTCCTACGAAATTCTATTTACTAAATTTTTTAATTTCGTCAAAGTTTTATATACTATAATTTACTTAATAGTATATTATACATTTTATTGAGTCTTTGTGTATGATTTCGTACCTAAATCCACTTTCACCAGATCACCATCTAGTCATGGATTGTTCCTGTAGTCATGGATTTCTCTTAGCCAGGCTCACGTACCCAAGGGCAATTCAGTTGAAATTTATGTAGAATATAACGGTATCCTGTCCTTTGGAGGTGTAAAAAAGCACGTACCAATTTTTATTCCGTTTATTAAATGAATAAATTTTTATTCCGTTTTTTTTCGGAATCTTGACGTTTTCAAGGAAAACAAAACCTAAGATTGGCCCCACATATATTGAGTCAACATATTTGGTAAAAATCACGTATCACAAATAAAAATGTAATTTCGAATAAGATAAATTCGTCTTTGGGTGTACCTATCATAGAAAAAAAATTTCAAGAACGAAGGAAAAATGTTACACAGGTCCTTAAATATTTTTCTCATTTCACACGATATTTTTATATATCATGTGTAAGCATTATTATTTGCATAAACATTATTATGTGTAAGCAAATCTGACTCTCATAATAAATATAAGTTATAATACTTTTGTGTAATAACCCAATTGACCCAACTTAACATTGCACCGCCAATATTGCGACTTGATTGAAAATTCGTTTTTCAACCAAACGCAAAAGTTTTAACTTTATTTAATTAAGCTCATTAAAATATACGAGAGGAGAACATGAAAGTTTCAAGAAATACATAAGTCTTCATAAGGTAGATGAATTTAAAGATCTAAAACAAATATTACTGACAGTGTATAAAATACCTACTTAAAATTTATAAGTTTTAATTCAAGTCAAGTCAAAATAAATCCACTTAAATGTCTTTGTTTTAGAAAATTAACTTCCCTTGTATTAGAGATAAAAGGATTTCTCCTTTTTATCTGATATCCAAATGGTAATACTAAAGTCCTATCTATTATGTATATACGTACCATTAAATAGGTGAACAGTAGAGTACAGTCATGTTGTTACTGCACTAAAATTTAAGAACCAAACGGTAGAGCAACAGACAAATTGAGCAATATTTTATTTCCTTTTAAATGTTTAATGTTTTTTACCTCAGAGGGAAAGTTAAGAGACTTTTATAGATTGCAGTGTTTTTATTTCCTTAGTGTTTTCAAGTTTTTGTTTTTCAGTGTTTCTTGCACAGAGCTCGTAAAACTATTTTTTATTCATTTTGTCGGCGTCTACAAAGAAACTGTGTCAGATCTTCAAGTAATGTTTTAGTCTTTAATAACTTTTCATTCTATATTAATATACAGTTTTTTCGTTTAGGTTCGAAGAGACATCAGTTGAGACGCCAACTTGTCGATTCAACAATAATTCCTGTATTGGTGGACTGCCCAGACTTTTCCAGAAGATAGAAGACTTACGAAAGGAGAAACCTGATTCAATCTTACTGAACGCCGGAGACAGCTTTCAGGGGACGTATTGGTATACTCTTCTTAAATGGAATGTAACCCAAGAGTTTATGAATCTTCTGCCCCACGACGCTCATGTAAGTTGTTAATTAAATTAGCATAAATACGAATAGTACTGAGAAAAATATTACGCCTAAGAGTGCTATTAATGTTTTGAACGATATAGCAATTACCATAAAATAATTTGCTTATTTCATAGTGTCGGATAAACGTTGCAATAACTAGCAGCTATTATGTTATCCAGCGACGGAAGTGTATGAGTAGACTTGGTACCCAAGTGCATTGTTGGTTACATTGTATGTTGATTGGTGGGAACATCTCAGCTTAAATGGTTGTGACCTTTATAAAATAAAATGTCCTTTACCGAGTAAACTGATCTCATATTATTTTATTTAGTTCGGATTAGCCCATTATTTTATTTAGCCCAAAATAATATAATATTTGAAAAGGCCTAGTTATCTTTGTATGTTTTAGGCCATCGGAAACCATGAGTTCGACGACGGGCCACAAGGTTTGGCTCCATATCTTAAAGCTCTCAAAGCACCAGTACTTGCTGCCAACATGGATGCTAGTAAGGAACCAATTTTACAAGGCCTATATAGAGGTCATGTCATTATAGAACGAAGAAAAAGAAGAATTGGTCTCATTGGATTAATTACTCCTGATACAAAAGTGAGCTTTCAAAATACTTTTTTCATAATGGAATAACTTTTTAAATTTTGAATTTGTATTCTCAGCTTCTCAAATTGTATATTAGAAAAATATCAAGGTATTCCTTTTAATCAAACGATATTTTAGGAATTATTTTAATTAATTTTTCTAAATACACCTTAAGACACTATAAAATCTTGTTTGGAATGATCACGCTAATAAAAATAACTGTACATGTACGAAACACTCGCGGCACATTTCTTACTATCTACTAGTATCTACGAGTAGTTGTTATAGTTTTATGATAACGTGATCTCCGTGATAATGTGAAAAATGCCTGTCTTAAACACGAATGTACTTTATAATAACTGTTTTGGTCATACCAATGATATATTTACACATAGTTTTGTGAAAAGTTTATGTACTAATAGGTATAATTTTGACTTTAAGATATTATCATCTGCTGGCAATGTTGAATTCACTGATCCCGGCGAAGCGATGAGAAGAGAAGCTAAGTTACTGAATGAGAAAGGAGTAGACATCATCATTGTACTCTCACATTGTGGTCTTGAAGTTGATAAGTTAGTAAAATTGTATTGATATTAAAAAATCTTGATATGAATCTTAACCACATTTATCGCGGATATTGGACAATGATACATTACATAATATTCATCGAGAAAAATATACTATGTATTATAGTTTTTATTACTCTGAAACTATAACAACAAATTTTCACTTTTGAGTGAAACTAAATAATATTATATAGTTTCCAAAACACAAATAATAATTCCATACACAAAAGCGATATACTTAAAATATTAAAGATTTAAAGAGAAATAAGACGTTACGAAGCTTAACGTCTTCCGTGAAGTTGTTGGAGAGTATAAGTCCTTTATCCGATCTTAAAATAATTTCTACAGAATCAGTCCAATATGAAATCTAAAAGCAAAAATAATCATTAAAATCCGGTTTTGAATGTAAATAATAATTTGAATTACATCTTATTCTGCTCAAAATTAAAAAATTTGGTCACAATCCCCCACATTTTGAGGTCAGTAAAAAATATTCATTGTATGATAGTAGAGGCTTTGTAATTAAAATTGCTTAAATTCCTTAAATATATCTAAAATTTTGACCACTTCCATTTGCATTCTATCTTTAAGAAGTACATAGAATTTCCGTTTTCTTGATTTTATGACTTGTTTGTTTATTTTCGAAATTCAGTTTTGAGAATGAATAAAAATAATAAATTCAGAGAGTCAAAAAAATATACAATTTTTTTTTTGTAGGACATTAGCACGCGATTACGGCAAATACGTTGACATAATAGTGGGTGGTCATTCCCACTCTTTACTATGGAATGGTCCCTCTCCTAGCGGGGAGGACGTTGCCGGTCCGTATCCTGTATTTGTTCAATCTACTACCACGACTAAACATAAGGTATGACCATTGGAAAACTGTATTGATATAACATATTCAGTAAAGAGCCTCAAAGCGTTACATAGAAATATCAATATCAAATATATATTCCCATTACTATTGCACTAATTGCATTAGTATCAGTATTGCAGTTTTATAATTCTAATAATTTAAAAATAATTAATTAGTCGTGTGTGTTTATTAGATTGGAATATCTTAATTATTTCATTTATAGTTTTAAAATATGTATCGCTTGGTGAAAACCGCTTCGTTGTTTTCAGGTTCTAATAGTGCAAGCATCGGCGTTCACCAAATATATGGGTAACTTGACAGTGTACTTCAATTATAGAGGTGACTACGTTAAATGGGAGGGAGGACCGATTTTCCTTGACAGATCCTTACCGGAAGGTATAGTTCTTTAGATACACATAATTTCTAAATTGTATTAAAAACTACAAAAAATTTATAATATTTTGCAAAAATATTAGTTAATTTCAAAGTTATAATGAGCGTTGCTAGTATATATAGATAAAAATATATAATCATAAAGATATAAAAGTCATTTTGAAGAACAATATGAATTTTGATTACTATATTTAATAAAACATTATGTGAGTTAATAATTTCATGTTTTGACTTTAGAATAGAACAGAGCAATCAGAATAATTTTACAGATTTTCTATGTTGGTTTATGTTACATTTTTACCAATCTTTTTATATTATTATATAGATAAAGAGATAAAAGCAAAGCTAGCGCCTTACGCCGCCATGGTACATGCAGCTGAAAAGGAGGTAGTCGGCGAAACTTCTAGAACACTCCACTTTGAAGAGTGTGTGTCTGGGGAATGCGCTTTGGGAGATCTATTGGTTGATGCAATGACAGAATATGTAAGATTTTCAAATATGATTCATACAGAAACAAACGGCATATCTATGTCTTAAAATATATAGTTTTCATTCTCTAATTTATCACTAGTTTAGCATATAATAGCAACCACGTCTATTATAATAGTAATTAAATAACTGTTGTTATCACCCAGACTTGCATTGTCATTGCAATTTATGCGGGAAAATGAAAATATAAAGAGAATTAAACATTCGGAATAAATAACAACAAGGTAATTCGAAAATGGTCAGTAATTTTGTATATGTAGTGTGTTAAATCTTATTTAAAATTAACAAATAGTTTTTTGTTTATTTGAAAAGTTTTTCATATTGAGACGTGTAAATTTTTATGTCAATGATTATTCGAGTAAAAGTATTAATAAACAAACAAAGAAAAATAGAACGTACCTCTATTATTGGGCTTTATGTTAAAAATATTTATTTCGTTAGTTAAAAACACGAATATATTGAAATTTCAGACTGACATAAATAAAAATTTATTCACATCTATTTTGTGATGAAATTAAAAACTCTATTAAAAATTTCCTAAAACAATCAAATTCAATGATCATATTGCAATTGTTAAATTAAAAATTAGATTTATAATGTCGCCTGATAATAAATCTGGAGCAGAATTAAAAATTTATATTTTATATATCCAAGCTCTTTACTTTTACAATCCAATTGACTCCTGCATAATACATATTTGGAAAATTTTACCACAGGGAAAATCTTTGAAACCCGACTTGCATTACATCGGTTTTATTCAGCGCGGGAACATAAAGTCTTCTATTCCGAGTGGAAGTCAGTATCTAAATAATATAAAGAATAAATGTCTGATATAAATTTCATATTCTATCGATTTCTTTTATTATTGATGTTTAAATTTCCAGATATAACGAAAGGGGTCATATTCGAACTTTTGCCGTTTAACGACCGTATTGAGATTTTCGAATTACAAGGCAAAGATATATTGAAAGCCTTGGAGAGGAGCTTTTCCGGAGCCTGGAACGTTAATCCGTTTAAGGGTCCCTACGTGTTACAACTGTCTGGTAAAACTATTAAGAAAATGGCTTCCCTATATGTACTCTTTATTTCCTTTTAAAAGTTATAGGTATTCAATATATTTTAAGTACCTTTGCCTCACTGTTTTGCGACATCTTACAATTTGATTTTAAATAAAGATCCACATTAATCCTGTATAAGTATTCAAAGGTTTTGGTGCTAGAGAATGTTGATGAATATATAATTTATTTCATGATCAATTTCTAGGTCTTCAAGTAACATACAACGTGTCAGAACCCGAAGGGCAGCGTGTGAAGTCAGTATATGTTGGCCATAGTAAATCTAATATATCTTTAGATCCACAAATATATTACCATGTGATAGCACCAGCATACTTGTCGGACGGAGGAGATGGATTTACCGTAAGTTTATTTGTTATACTTTATTTCACATCTAATGTTCTCCTTTCATAATTAGTTTTGTTTTAAAAAAAATCCCATTTTTCTTGTTTACTTCTTGAAACCGAGTGACAAAACTTAACTATATCAAGATGAACATAATCACGGTAGCTGTGAAGGAACCGAAACATCAGGAGTATGTAGTTATAAAATAATAATAAGAAAACGCGTACTTTCCGAAAATCTTAGATTCATTAAAATGCGTACACGAGAATATCGATAGCGTTACTAAATTTGTAGGAAGACGTATTTTCCCAAGAATTCTAGAGAAACAATATTCTTTATATAACATTCGTTGTTTTTGTTGCAGATGTTCAAAGAAGGAAAACGGAATAAAGAGATCGTTGGTCGAGATGAGAAAATTTTGGAACTATATATAAAGAAGCACTCTCCCTTAAACGTCAGTGCAGATGGACGAATTGTTGTCAATTATTGAATAACTATTATTTTTATATTCCAAATAAATATGCAAAGTTTATGAATAGTTCATAATTAATTGAAATATTTATTTTATAGTGTTTACTATTAATTCCAACATTGTTATTCCGTGGTTTTACTTTTGTATGTTTTGTTTTAAGTAAATATTGAAACTAATAAATAATAAACGAATCTAACATTTGTTATTTTATATAACTATAATTATATTTTTTCGAACAATTGAATTCGATGCAGCGAGTATATTACGAAAATATTTTTAGAAGATAATGACCTTTTATGTAAATTAAAGAAAAAAATAATCTTTAAATAATTTGTTAACAGTATGAAAGTGTTCCATTCAAAATAAGCGTTGACAAGAGCTCAAAATTAAAAACAAAATAGTGTTATATTTTAAAATGCAAATATAATTTTTGTTTTATGAAAGGATATTTGTCAAGGTTTAAGAAGAATAGTTATTTTCAGTTAGTAAAATGATTTCAAAGAAATATAACAAAAATGACAGCTAGCAAAGAAAAATACTATTGTAAATAAAAGATGAATGATTAGTTTAAATATAGATTACTGCTTTAACACTTCTAATTTATTCATTATCTTAAACTAAGGACAAAAGAGGTTACATATTAAATTGACAGGAATTTTAATGATAATTGTGGGTTGTAAACTGAACAGAAGTTAGTTTTTCTATTATTCATACTATCGGACAGAGTACCTGTAGTAAATAATTCGCATACGTCGACTCAACCAGTTAACAAAGGATGTTATGGTTTGATGGCTAGGCTATGGATGTAAAAGCCTTTACATTTCCATGTCATATGACATGCCTGTTGTCTTATTGTGAATGCTGATGAAGAATCCTTTATTAGCAATGAAGTTTATTCAAGTTGAGCTATACATAAAATTTTATTAAAAATTAATTTATTTTCCCATTTTTAGCTTTATGTTTCAGTCGATATTTACGGTTTTAAATTCATCTTCAGCCCTAAAAGCATTATTGCGTGTTGCTTTCCATTAATCTATACTTTTCCTGTTCCAGATATTGTATGATATGTAAGTTATATTAATACTATAACGTAGTGTCTGTGCGTATATGAAAAATAACAAAACCCATATACACCCATATAAACCCATACGTAATACCACATGTTTACTCTTATAATGTTAAGACGACATGCATCGTTATGCAATATATAAAACAAATATATTTTTATTAAACGTTTCAGTATTAAAAACAAGTCATAATTATGAGATATATTAACATTTATGATAGTAAATAAAACAATGTAAATATATATAAACATTTGAAAGTTATAAAATATACTATGTATCAAATTTTACATTTTACGCAATTGCAGTCACTAGTGATTGGTGCTTTTAATGAAATCTTAGGCTTTCGCGAGTATTTATTGAAATAAAACTAATATTTTTCACATCTTGTTGCCCATGATCAAAATTGCTACATAGTAACCGGAACGTAGAGAGTGTAAAAAAAATAATAATAAAATAGTTTTATTTCAATTAGTTCTTTACTTTTTATTTCGCGGAGTAAGGTCAATATTATTAGTTTCAACGGGAAATGGCACATAAAATTATAAATACCTATGTCTTAATTGCATTTGCACGGAACAATATTTTATTTTAACGAAATATATGAAACGATGGCTCATCTAGACAACATAAACGAAATTGTGGAATATATTTTTATTGATAAATTATATTAAATTGATTCAATTTAAAAACAACAAAGAAGAAGTCAAAGATATATACTTTTTTCATTTAAAACTCTATTCAAATGATAAAAGTTTTTGCATCGCTATAAATGCATAAAGTTTCTCTGGTATTGTTACCTTAATTACTTAATTTATAAACATATCAAGGTTAGCGAACTAAATAATGAATAATAGATGATGAAATCAAAATACGGCGTACACCCTAAATTGGTACATTACTAGTAATGACTTTAAATGTATCCACGTCTGTACTATTATTTATTTTAATCGAATATTTGTTATGAAAGACGAAATAAATTCAGTTCTAATAAAGGTCAAGTTATTCCACAATGTTGTATTTAGCATATGCACTAACAGTTATTAAAATTACAAAGAATCATCGGCCTGAAACTTATGTGAGGAGAATAAGACGTACTGCTTTTTCAAGGTTCATCGTGATTTTCCTCATACATTTTGCCTTGTAGTCATCTAAAATTATTTTATTAGCTATTTATTTGAATAACTCTGTGGTACTTCAACGAAATTTCTTATTAAACATTTACATTGTCAATATAATTATTTATAGTTTAAAACGCATCTCAATTAAACGCCGATAAAACAATAAAAACAGTTCTTTGGTCAATCGAGACATCTTTTTTTGACTCTATAACAGAAAAAATCTTTTTATTCGAAGTACTTCATTTTTTTTTGGGGACATATCACTGGAACTTACCTTATATTTATTCATTTTAATTTTGATTTTCGCTGGAGAGGTGGACAAAGAAATCAACTCAAAAAAGTGCATTTAGCGAACCCTTTCACTAGTTTAAATATTAGAACGTAACTTAATGACATTGTAATATATTGTAAAAATGTTAGTCGATGTCTAAGTATTAAAAAATAAATTACAATATTACTTTCATTACAATAGTTGTAAAAATAAAACAATACAATTCCAAAATAAATAGGTTTAACCGTATAGAATCGTAGTCTTTTGTGGTGTACCACGATAGATCGTTTTAGAGACATGAACCATTTCATTCACATCGCATCATTACCTGTTCGTCGAAGGTTTCATTCAATAACTACAATGATAAGGAGAAATTGCTGAGCATCTATCAAGTAGTAAAAAAAAGAGTAATCAGAAAACTAAGCCGCTCAATATTATGGAATTGGTTTTTATGCAATAGGGAATTTTGAATTATCATTGATTAAAGATTGATGTTTTATGAAAGGATTTAAAGAGTAAGATGCTATTCACACCTGGACGATACATGTTTTGTGGTTAACACGTGTGTGATACACGTATGATAGCTCTATACACATCTAACGTGTAAAAATAATCTAAGTCACGTTTTTTAAACTATTTAAAAAATATTAAAGACTAAATTCAAGCAAATGAAATCATTAAAGTAAAACATGTTTTTAAAAATGTTGTGTGGAATTTTTT